AGTCACGCCTGAGCGAGCACGCCTCGGACCCACTGAGAAATACGTTCTTGCACCTTGGCCGGCTTTGTGAGTCACACTTCATTCTGCCATGGAACGAGGCTAGTTGAGCTTGGGGGCGGGGGCGGGGGTTGTGAGACAGAAACTCAGCAAATGCGTGGATGCTGATTGCGCTCCTACTAACAGTTACTGTTCCTGGCCCGATGTTTGTGAGAACCAGCGTGCAGGCAGTGGAGCCAGATGGGTGTGCGGCTGGCCTCGGCCCCACGTTTGGCTCCGCCCGACTGGAGATGCACACACTTGGGGAGACCGAACGATTATGTCTGTACGTTGAATTTGGGCCCAGTGAAATCTGGCTCAGTGGAAGAGCCCTTGCGTGCCCTGCGGCGGCGTCTGTAACCTGCACAGCTGTGCTGGTGCTGTGTGGGCTGTGCACGGCCTCTGCTGCAGGGTCCCCTGCAGGCCGGCTGTAATCTGCAGTCCGTGCTCCGAGGGGAAGTCGGGGCCAGAAGAACCTCGGTGCAGCCTTGCTGTAGGCCGTTGAGATGAACAGGTACAGGGCCCCTCCCCCACAGGGGCCGCTCCGTAGCACTGGTAACTCAGCTGCATTGTCTGTTAGCACCCCAGGTTTATACAGGAATAGAGAATCCAATCCCAGATGTGTGGTAAGAGATGTCTGCTCGACAGCGAACCATTTGTAATTCCAAGGCTGTGGGTTATGAACATTTAGAACTGGCTGGCACTTGTGAAGTCTGGTGTTGGATGGGGAAACTGAGGCCAGGAGTGTGTGCAGCTGGTGCAGAACTTGGTTAAACATGTGGGAAGGGGCACTCCCAGAAAACGGCGCTGGCGGCGGCGGTAGTGCAGAGGCCCCCGCCCGGCCTCACGAGGCCCACCCTGCTTGAGCAGGGAGGAGGGCATTGCACCTGAGCACAGCAGGTGCCGGTTACTATTGGGCGGATGGTTAAGTTTCCTGGGAGGACAGAGTCCAGGCTTCTAACGTCTCGGAGACCTAATTCTGAATTCCCAGGAGAGCGGCTCATGGTTGCCCAGAGTCTGTCTCTCTCCTTGCGGGGGTGCTGGCGCAGGTGTGCTCAGGCCTCTGGGCTCCTGGGGCTCCGGGGCGAGGGCTGGGGGCTGGTTAGGTCTCAGAGAAGCTTGCTGTCACGGGGAAGGCCAGCGGGGAGCTGTCTGTGTCCGTGCTAATCTCTGCCCAGCAGCCTGGCCCTTGCAGAGTCCGGGAGGAATCTGTCAACTGGCAGAAGTTTGGACTCACCGGTTTTAACAAGACTTTTTAGCAATATCTATCAAAATAAGTATTTCCTGGTCTAGTTACATAATTGAAAGTCTTTTGATTTTTAATAATCAAGCATGTTAACACAATGGGGAAACATGGTGGCCCTGAATGGCTGGTAAGTGATTTTTCCTTCTCTTGCCTTTGCCAGTTTGGTGTTTTAGTTAAGAGCAAGTTACCTGAATTTAAATGACTGGCGCTAACTCCAGCCATGTAAGGTGAGCAGTTGTGAAGGCGGCCCCACGGCTGTATTTGGCCATGCTTGTGGGGTCCGTGGTCAGGTGAGAGCCGCGTGGAGCTGCAGCTCAGCCGGTGCCGGCACTGTGCCAGGGTGAGAAGGGCTCTGTGGTCGCGGGCAGCTCCGTTGTCTCTGGGGGCCGATGCCTGCGCTGGGGTTGTGTGCAGCTTATCCTCGGCTGGATCCTTGGCCCATCCCAGGGCCGGGCGCACAGCAGTGCCTCATAAAAATGTGTTGAGTGAAAGAGTGTATTAGTTTTCTTTTGTCCCTGTAGAACATTACCTCAAATTTAGGGACTTAAAACAATACGAGTGTATTCTTGCGGTTCTGGGGGTCTGGCGTCTGAAAAGAGTCTGCCTGGGGTGCTCAGGATGTCAGTGGGACTCAGTTCCTTCTGGAGCTCCGGGGAGCCTGTTTCCTGGCCTCGTCCAGCTTCTGGTGGCGCCCTGTTGCTCTGCCTGAGGCCCTGGCCCATCCTCAGAGAGGGCCTCCCCATTGTCGCACCTTTCTGACCCTGGCCATCCTGCTTCCCTCCCCGAAGGACCTTTGGGATGACATTGGCCCACGTAGATAACCTGGGATCAGCTTCCACTCTCAAGACCCTTAATTTAATCATATCTGCAAAATACCTTTTACCATATGAGGTGACATCGTCACAGGTTCTGAGAAGTAGAACATCAACACTTGGTTGCTCAACCTGTCCCAGAGTTTGTAGAATATGAAATGGTCCCTAAGCAGCCCTCGCATAGTCCATGGAATAACTCCCACTGGTGAATAAAATACTCATGTTCTGCCCTGGCCAGTGTGACTCAGTGGATTGAGTGCTGGGTTGCAAACGGAAAGGTTGCAGGTTTGATTCCTGGTTGGGGGCACATGGCTGCCAGGTCCATATTTGGGGATGTGCAAGAGGCAACCAGTCGATGTTTCTCTCATATATTGATGTTTCTCTCCCTCTGTTTCTCCCTCCTTACCGCCCCCCCGCCTCAAAAAAAAAAAAAAAAGTTCTGTCCCTTTCCCAGGGCCCCACCCCCTCTGTTGGGCCTTGTGGGGACCCCTGCTGGACCTTCCTGCCTCTTCCTGGGTGGGGTGTCCTCTCAGACTGTCTGTCTGTTTCCCACCTGGGACCAGGGAAAGTGCTTGTTTAGGACCATTAGGCCCAGGACCAGCAGACCTTTTCTACACATGGCTTTGCAGCCAATCCGTTGCATATTCTTTGATTTTTTTATTTTTTATTATTATTTTTTCTTTGATTTTTTTAGACAAATATAAGAACGATTTTAAAAATACCATTCTTAGCCTGAGGGTCTTACAGAAATAGGCCATTGGCTGGGGCCTTGGCCCAGTGTTTGCTGACCTCTGTCCTAGCCTGTAAACTCTGCGGGATAAGGACCTTGTGCTGCTGTCACAGTTGTGGCACTTCTAACTGTGCCTGCCTGTGTTTGTGCGCAGTGGGGGGTGGGAAGTTGGGGGAGTTGCGTCTGGTTTCTACCCCAGTGATCTTTTCTGTGTGAGTTGACAGAAGTGTCTAAAAATTAGATCTAATCTAACCTAATTGGAAACTTTAAAGTTGATCTACATTTGATAGCCTGTTGAATATGAGTCACTCTGGCCAAAATAAGACCCAGCCCCTGTTGTTGAGGAGCTTATGTCGTCCAGCCTGGGGAAGGGCGCTGCGACTGGCTGTGATTTGGGGGGTGGGCAGGAAGCCCTTGTGCACCGAGATCAGAATTTGGACCCTTAGAGCCAGTTCGCACCCCTGGTCATTGCTGTTCTTTGCTTCTGGTGCCCGACGCAGATGCTGGGGAGGGCTGCTGGCACCAAGCGGCTCTGATGTGTAACCCGGGAGCCGCGAGCTCTGGGGAGCGGTCCTGCAGGGCCTTTCGGCATCGAGCCCCTTGCCGCGCACGTTGTGGTGCAGTTGGCTTCCCGGGCTTGGCTGCTGACTTGAGCCTCCAGTAGTTGAGGGACTGGAGTCTGGGTGAGGAATGAAGTTATGTGTCCAACCAGGGTGCCTAACACCACGTGGGAGGCAACTCCCGCACGTCCACAGCCAACTCACGACGCTCACCTGTCCCCAGTGTCTGTCTGCACTCGTTCTTTATGAGCGTTTTCTGGTTCGAGCTACATGCTGGTCTATTCCTGCGTCTGAGACAGTGACTGGCAGGGTACGGGTGACAGTCAGGGTTTGTGAAATGGGGGAAGGGGTGGGTCTGCCTGGGCGTGTGTAAGAACAAAGTTCATTCCTATTTGGCATTGTTCCCGGTTCATCGGTGTCAGGGGCGTGAAGTCAGCGTCTCCTGTCTCTTTTCAGGGGCCCCAGTTTGTAAGTGACCTTTGGTCCCTGTGCTGTGTAGTCCTGGATCATAATACGTAGAGTTTTATCTGAACACCTTTGGGGGGTGTGAAATGCTTCCCCAGCACAGTGCTGTGTTCCTTCTGGCCTGCGGACTTGAGAACAGGATGAGGTGGCAAACTTGGCTGCTGCAGCTGCTGCCATTTTTATTAGTCAGTGCGTGTTTGTACCGTTACCTCCGTTTTGTCATTGAAGATGTATCAGTGTGCCTAACTTGATGCTTCAGCTCTCTTTCCATACATTAATTCCCGTGGGAAATAGGCACTCATGCAAGTAGAACCTGTAGCCAAGGTGGAGTGTAGGACAGGAGGCACTGAAGCCTGACCCGTGGTGACTCGCAGGCTCTTGGAGGTCACTCCCCAAGTAGTTGAATGAATAAGTGAGCAAATGAATGAACTAATGAGGAAAGTGCTAAAAGACTTGCAGGCGCCAGTAGGAAATTAGTGGTGGCTCCTGTAGATGGTATGGCCCCCTTCCCCTTCACCCCCTGCCCCCCCCCCCCCCCCCAGCACTTACTTCTGTTTTCCATGCCTGCACCTTGGAGAGCCAGCTGCTGTTGCCTAAGCATGTATTTTTTGTCTGGATGGTCCTGCTTTATTTTGAAAGGTGGACATATGCGACTGTTCCTGGATGATTTACTGACTTTGGTTGCTTCCCTTTGATTTTGCTTGTCCTTGGAGTAAACAGCCTTGCACAGTGGGCTGTGTACCTCTCCCTCCGATGCCCCGTCTGGCTGCCTGACCTTTGGTGTTACGTGGAGGTGCTGCAAGGGACACACGTTTGTTTTTTCACCTTGAAGGCAGGTCGAGTCTTGGAGAGAGGACTCTGAAAGTTGACATTTCAGTGTAGTTGATGAGCAGTAGACTCCAGCCCTTTCAGAGAGAGCGGGGTGCAGTGTGGGTGTGGGTACGAGTGAGCGTTGGGAGCGGGGATCAGCAAGTCTACAAAATGCTCTTTAAATCCTAGCAAAACTGCCTGTGCGTGGTGAGAGTGTATTCCTGGGGACAGAGCCCAAAGATTCCTTTAGCTCTTCAGAAAGATCTCTGATCCCTAAAGGGTTTATTCAGTGGGTCAGAGGTTCTGGGGCACTGACATGCTCTTTTTTTTGCATTTCAAAGGCAGATCGGGGGCGGTGCCTAGAAAAATTTCCTTACTAGATGACATTTCATCGCAATGTCCGATCGTTTGGGGCAAATAACCAAGGGCAAGGATGGGAAAAGCAAGTATTCGACTCTCAGCCTGTTTGATAAGTATAAAGGAAAATCAGTAGACGCGATCAGATCCTCAGGTAAGAACCGGCTTGGGGGCGAGTCCTTCCCACTCTTCTTTCATTGAGAAACTGCAGGTCAAAGGCCGGGTGCCCCGGGCGGCCAGGCAGGGGCCCATGCACGTCAGGCCTCCAGGCCGATGCCATGCGGTCACGGGGAGCTCTGGGAAGCAGACCCCCAGCTCCTCTCTGAGGTCTAATTTCAGAGCCTGGAATCCCCGGGCTCTGCTGTGGGGGTTATTTCTCCCTCTGTCATATTGAAACCATGGCTACTTTTAGCCTGATGATTAGAACAGGGCCTCATTTGCATTAGAGCTGCCCGGTTTAGGTTTCACGGTTCCAGTGTTCTCGGACTGGGTGGGAAAGTCCCTGCTGCCACGCTCCCCCCACCCCCCGCCCCCGAGGATTTAGTGAGTGCTTGGGCCTGGCCCGGCTCCAGGCAGAGGCTGCCCTTTTAGCCCTGCTGTTGTGAGGCCCGAGAAGCCTCAGCTTGCAGATAAGTGTTGGCCGTGGGGGCTGTGCCGGGGGCGGGGGGGGGGGCTGGCTCCTCCCCCACATCGTACGCTCCCCAGCCCGCTCCAGCCCACGTGTCATACGGAAGCCTCTGTACAGGCTCCAGCAGCTCTCCTGAAGGTCAGGGTGAGATTGTCAAGTGACCAGAATGACCACCAACACTCTTGTCTGTTGTCATGGCTGGCCTACCCCTCATTTTTTGCTGTTAGCGCTTAGGGTTTGAAAGAACAGCATGACAGTTCTGGCCCCTTTCCTTCTGTGACCCACCATGCCACGCCCGATCCCACCCCTGTCGCCCTGCAGTTATTCCTAGACATGGCTTACAGAGTCTTGGGAAAGTTGCCACAGCCCGGCGCATGCCACCGCCCGCAAACCTGCCAAGCCTGAAGTCTGAAAACAAAGGAAACGACCCCAACATCGTTATAGTGCCCAAGGACGGGACGGGATGGGCAAACAAGCAGGATCAGCAAGACCCAAAGAGGTGAGTGTACTTCGGCTGGCGGCCCCCACAGCTTTGTCGTTGCCCCGGGGCTGGCAGGCCTCGTGGCGGCCGGGCAGCAGCCGCGGAGATCCCGGGGCCTCTTCCTTCCCCCTGGCTCCTGCTGCCTTGGTGTTTCTCGTGCCCTGCTTCTGTTTTTCCTGGCTCTTGGAGCCAGGGCAGCAGTATTTCCATGGGCCGCCTGGTCCCCAGGGACCAGTGTCCCCCTGTGCCTTATTAGGAAAGGGCTCACCAGCCCAGAGGAGCTTATGCGGTAACTCAGAGCCAGTTCCCATAAGAGCCGCTGTGGACAGAGCTGGCGCTTGACACCGCATTCTGTGGTGGCCCATGCATGCCAGGCCCCAGGGTGAGAAGGCAGTCGTCCTGCCTGTGGGCCAGCAGCCTCCCACCCGGGGGAGGCTGCTGCAGGTGCCCCCGACACACCCGGGCATGAAGGAGAACAGCCCAGGGTCTGGCACAAAAGTCATCGTTCGAGAGACAGCAACTGGCGGGCTGCTGCTGCTGTGTGGTGGGGCCGAAGTGAGTCCCGGGCCCTCTGCTGGGGTGCCGAGCCTTCCCCTGTCCACTTCGCTGTGTGTCTCCTCTGGGTCCCGCCCGTGATGAGGGTGTACGAGGAGGAGGGCCTGGGGTTGAGGCGGGAGGTCTGTGGGAGGACAGGGCCAGGCTGCGGCCAGCGGGCAGAAGCCCGCGCTGGGGTTCGCCGTCGGGAGTGAGAGCGCCAGAGCCCTGTCCTGCACCCCTGTCGGCCACACCTCCTCGTCTGGCGGCTGATGCTTGGCACTCAGACGCAGCTGCTGACCAGCATCCTTTGCTTTCGCTGGAAATGGCCGCGTGAGCTCTTATAAAGCTTCCCTGCGGTTAGTTCAGACGAGATGCAGTGAGCGAGCCAACAATTCAGTCAGATGGGCATGGTGTACCTGTGACTGAGAGAGAGTCTTAAAGCGATGTAGATTTTTTTTCTGACAGTTTGCTTAGAGATCATACTGCTTGATGGTATAGTGTGACTTCATAAGGGACTTGTGTGCGAGATGTCCAATCAAGCAATTCATTAGCTTTATGGAGCCTGGAGAATCATGACTTCTGAGCGTCACTGTCCTGTGAAGTCAGAATAACCCCTGGCTCCAGGGCCAGGGCCAGGAAATGGACAAGATGGCGCAGGCTGCACCAGGCGCGCAGCCATCAGCTCTGGGTGTCCGCTCTCACTGCCCTCGTTCCAGTCGGATGTGGGCGCTACCAGTTCTGTAGTGAAGTGCGTATTGCACATTTCAACATAGGCATTGAGTTGCCTGTGCTGTCGAAAGTTGTAGAGAGGACAAAGTGCTGCCCCCTCCCTTTATTTATGCTCCCCAAGCATTGGCACAGCTGGCAGAGCGGCATAGCGTGAGGCCCATTGGTGGAGCTGAGGCCTGTCTGCTGGGAGGGGAGGAGCAGCCCCGGGCCTGGCCACGCCTACCTTGGGGTGTCAGGAAGTGGCGGAGTGGGGAGGGGGCACAATTGCTCAGTTGGAGAACACTTCAGTGACACTTCCTGGAGGCTTTTGTTTTGGGTAGAGGGTCACGAGAGAGGGGATGAGTGGCCTTCATCTTGTAATGGTCACACGTGGCAATGAGCTCCTCGGGTTAAGTGAACCTTGGAAGAGAGTTGTGTAGGACTGGACTTCAGTTTACAGATGAACCGCCGGCCGGGGGCGGGTTCTGGCCAGGTGGGTGGCCGCCCTCCCTGAATCTTGCCCGGAGGGAGGCTGTGTAGAAAGGGTAGTGGGGAGCTGCGGAGGCAAAGATTGGCCTGCAGGCACTTCTCTTGCTCAAAAGATCACCTTTGGGGTTTAGACTGACCCGGCCTCTTTCGGGAGGGCAGTTTGGCAATACCTTTTAAATTTCTAAACATCTTTTGACCCAGCAATTCCATTTCTAAGAATGTACACTACTGAATTGCTTCACAAAAGTGTGCAAAGATGTTTATACAAAAATGCTCATTGCAGTTTTATCTGTAATAGAAAAAAATGGAGATTGGTAAATTATGGCCATCCAGTTGTACTGTGTCATTAAAAGAAAGAGGTAGGTCCCAATGAATGGTCATGAAAAGATGTTGAAGTAAAACACGAGGTATAGAATTGTATGTATGGCGTTATTCCACTGGTGTTTAAAAAGTGCTGTATTATGTAGAGAAAATTGTGCTTAAGAGTTTCTTTCTGGAGGATGAGACCATGACCAATTCTGTGTTATATATGTTTATAAATGTGTTTTACTATGAGCATGTATTTCTTTACAAGCCAAGATAAGGTAAAAAAAAAAAAAAAAAAGATTTTGCTGGTTCAAAGCAGTCAGTCCCCTGCATTGCTGTCAGCTCGTGAGTCCCTTCAGTGACTCGGCTTCCCCATCGGCAAGCCCTCCATCACTTCGTTGTGTCCCATGAGCTTTCAGCGTCTGCGGACAAGCACCACAGGAGAGCAGAGATGGGCCTGCCCTGCCAGGGGCGGCGAACAGGCCTCAGACTCAGCCCCCTTCTCATTGGTCTCTGCCACCATAAGCGTCCGCTGGGGGAAGGGGCCACTCTGCTGGCCAGAGGGAGGTGTGTTTTCAGCGAACAGCTGATGAGCAGCTGTGGCTTTAGAAAGGCAGAGGGACCATGTCGGCGTGGCCTGTGCTGGGTCTGACCCTCACTGCGTGTCCCTCTGTCCAGTTCCAGTGCGACGGCCTCTCAGCCGCCGGAGTCGCTGCCGCAGCCGGGTTTGCAGAAATCTGTCTCCAATTTACAGAAGCCGACACAGTCGACCAGTCAGGAGGTAGGTGCGGGGGCCCTCCTGATGCTGTCCTGACGGCGGAGCCGCCAACACCCCTACTGTTGGCGTGGGAACTGTCACCAAGAAGGGTGGTTTTACGTGGCTTGCTTATGCCAAGGGCAAACCCGATGGAGACCTTGGGAAAGGAGCCCAGGAAACTGTCGTGGTCACTGAGGAGGTGATGGTACCTGCCCCTTCTGGAGTAGACCCCTGAGAGAGAGAATGCAGACACCCCGTTTGACTCCTGCTGGCCTGTGTGGTGGAGAGGCCGCTCAGGCTCGGTCTGGCTCGCTCCGAGTCCCCAAGCGCGCTCCAAGGAGGCCCGTGCAGGAGCGCAGGTGGAGAGCGCTAGGCCCAGAAAGGCGAGTTCGGGAAGCAAAGTTAAGCAAACCCCTTTAAACTGCTGGACGTCTTGTCTTGTCAGTGTCTTTAATGTGCTCGTGTGTACCCCGGCTTGTTGAGAAGAGGACGTAGAGGACAGCGGTTCCCAAATTGTTTGTCCTGGGAAACCTCTTTTAATAAGGTCTCTAGGGACCAGCAGTATCTCGGAGCACACCTGAGAAATACTGGCTACCATCAAGCGTTTATCGTTCATGCAGTTAAAATGTTACTCTGAAGAGAAAGGCGTGCTTAACCACGCAGGAGCCCCTACTTCACTCAGGCCACTGAAGACAGAGCCTGGGCTACAGAGATCCACAGGAGCTTACGTGTGCCTGGAAACCTAGATGAGGAGTCTCGAGTCTTTTAGAGGAGGAGAAATCTAGACACAGATGCCTGGCATTTGCCAGCCCTCTGCAAACAACTCCAAGAACTGTGCCTTAGTTTTGTGATGCTGCCCAGGCGACAGGAGGTCTGAGAAGGGCCCCCCACCACTCCCCCAACACCAAACTGCATTTTTGAAATTAAAGTAAAAGAAATCATATTCATGTGAGGTTGAGTATGTAGAGCTGAGTTGGTATGTTTCTCAGAATCTGAAACTGATGGCTCTCTGTGGCTGTCAGCTGGTTTTCTCTCAGAGGCAGAGGTGGTAGGAAGGGACTCCCAACTTCTAAAACCTCCCTTGAAGGTTACCCGGGAGCTCTGTTCTCGGGGTGCAGTCTGCCAGCAGTGTCCATAACCCTCCCGGCCGTGTGGGTGCGCCCTTCCAGCTGAGTGCCTTGGTTAGAGACGCCCAGTGGGGGCCGTGCGGGTGGCCTTGGTGCCCCGCGGCTTCCTGCTGAGTTGGGAGGCATGCTCCTCCTCGAGGGACTGTCCAGCCCCAGCTGCATGGCCCCCGTGTGTGGCCTTGTGGGGAAACCTGTGGGTGTTCCGGGCCATCGTGCCCGGCAATCTGGGCAACTGCCGAGGAGTGAATGGATTGTTAGAGCCGGTCAGTCCTGTGCTGAAGACGGGCAGCTGCTGCCCTGAGTCTGATGGTGGCAGCGGCGGCAGGGTGTGGACTGGAAAGGAGGGGTCGTGGGAAGGGAGGTTGTCTAACCTGGTAACCTAATCTAGTGCCAGCACAGTGCCAGCCCACAGTGAGCTTTTAAGCAAAGGTTATCGGTCAGATGGAGCCTGGACCAGGCAAGTCCTGCTTCGTGGGGAGTTGTGCCTCGTGGGTGGTGGCAGTAGTGACGGAAGGGGCTGCAGAGGGCCCTCCAGCCAAAGATCGGACATGGGGGCGTCCCCATGTTTATGTCCTAATAGCAGTGGCCCGTGGATTTGAGACACATGCTAGAATCAGGGCTTGCTCTTTGTAGCAAGGCAGAGTAGCTCTGTGGGCAGGAGAGGCAACCTGACAGAATGTTCTGGATTGCAGCATGACGGTGGATGTGGGTTTGAGTCCTGGCTTTGCTGTGTAACTCACTGTGTGACTCTGAGCTGGTCTGCGTTGGCCCCCCTTCGACCTGCTCCTTGTCGGTTCTCCGTGGCACCTTGTCCGAGCTCATTTGAGGGACGGATGGCAGACCGACGGGGCTGGCTCTCTACTAATTCTCTTCCTTTTTCCAGAATACAAATTCAGCGCCAGGTGGACCAAAGTCATGGGCACAGCTGAATGGAAAGCCAGCAGGACACGAAGGTGGTAAGTGTGTGAGGGGGGCATAGCGGTGGGTGGGCAGGAGGGACGTGCACCTTTTCTGGCCTGTTCTAGTCGGAGCAGGTTGTCTGTGGCCTAGAGTGTTGTAGAGTCTCTCGCCTGTGAGTCCGTGCTCTGTGGGACCCTCACCTTTGTGCCAGGTGAGGAAGCGCTGATTCTGAAAGCGTGTCAGCTCTTGGATTTCACTGAACATTGTGGCCCAAACCTCCCTCCTGAGGTGTGCGCCTGGTCCGCCGCTCTGTCCCCTGGCTGTGCTGAAGGAGTATGCGCGACCTCCTCTCTCCTGGGACCACAGGGCGGTCTCCGGAGGCATGGCGTTCGCCGTGGGCCTGGGTTCACAAATCAGCCAGCCCTGGCGCCCGAGCCGCCTGCCAAGCGTGCAGGGGCTGTGTGGGGTCTTACTGCCACGGGTGCCGGGCCTGACACGGAGCCTGCGAAGCTGGGCGTAGCCAGCTGCCTGGTCCTTCGGGAGGCGAGGTCAGGGAGAGGAACGGAAGGGGACAGTGTTCAGCGTCCTGCGTAAACGCTGAACGACAAAGGGAAATGGCTTCCAAGCCAGGCCAGAGCGGTGGGGCTGGATCAGAGGTTACCAGGCCCGCCTCTGGGGACGGGCGCCTGCCAGAATGCAGGCCCGCAGTCGGCGGGCGTTTTTGAGAGAAGCCAAAAATCCAGATGTGGTGGGGGGGATTTTATTTATTTATTTTTCGCGAGAGGAGATGGGAGGGAGAAGGAAGGAGAGAAACATTGATTGGCTGCCTCTTGCACACCGCTAACCAGGGTCCTGGCCCACAACCCAGGCATGTGTCCTGACTGGGGATTGAACTGGCGACCTTTTGGTTCTCAGGTTGGCGCTCAATCCACTGAGCCACACCCGCCAGGGCCAGATTTTTCTTTCTTTTCTTTTCTTTTAAAAAAGAGTTTATTGATTTATTTTTAGAGAGGGGGGAAAGGGAGAGAGAAAAACATCGATGTGAGGGAGAAACCTCAATCAGTGGCCTCTTGTACGTGCCCTGACCGGGGACCGAACCCACAACCCAGGCAAGTACCCTGACCAGGAATGGAACTGATGGCCTTTGGTCAGGGCCAAACATTCCACATTTTTCTGTGGGAACTCTTCTGACTTCTCCACGTCAGCTGAAGTATTTCTAGCGCACTGTGCAGACCAAACCAGGCGCTGCCCCTGCTGGTGGGGGTGTGGCGGTGTGAAGGCAAGCCTGGGAAGTAGCGCTGGCCGCCGTGGCCGCCCTCTGTCTCGGTGTGGCGCGGCCCAGGCTCCTCTGGGTGTGCCTTCCATTGCATTAGGGAAAAGGCCGCCTGTCCTGTCCTGCCTTCCCTGACCTCCCCCGACCTCCCCCGGCCGCCTGCCCACAGGACATGTCCCTCTGAGTGGGGACCATGGGGTGGTTGAAGGCTCTCCGCAGTCTCCAGTAGGGAGCGATGTGCCAGTCCGTGTGCTGGCGGAGCCGTCCCCAGCGTGCCTGGCTTCACGCTCCTGACCTCATGTGGGGGTAGGCGGCGCGGCCTGTCCCTCACGGTTCTCCATTCAGGTGTGGGAGAAGGAAGGGGAGGAGGGAGGGGATGGGACAGGTGATGCACCCCCTCAGGTCAGGTACCTGTGTAGGGCTGTTAACAAGCCCTCACTGGATTTTTGACAGTGGCTCTTTGGCTTTCTGTGACCTGGGATTTTAAGTCAGTCCAATGTATTCATTTTTCTTTAAGAAGAACTACAAAGACTAAAAACAAAATAAAGTAAATGGGTACAGTCCCTATGGAGAGCAGTTCGGCCCTTCCTGTCAAGGTGCTGGACCCAGCAGCTCCACCTGGAGGGGTCACCCTGTGGGTGGTACAGCCCGTGTGCGTAGGGGAGAGTGTGCAGACACACGGGGTCCTTTGTTACAGCGCTGCAATAGTAAAAGATTGCAAAGTCGTGGGATTGGCCATCAAATTATGGCACTTTAGTGAAATGCTGTTTAGCTCTATGTGGGAAAATCTGTTTTCTACTGATAGGGCAAGATCTACAGGACACAGTCTTACATGAGAAAAGTGCAGGATAGTGTGTAGAGGATGTTATATTCATCCAGAGAATGGGGTGGAGAATACACTTCAAAAAGTATAAACATTCTTAAAAAACCTCTGGAAGGAAACTCGGGAGGAAGGGAGGAGGGGCGGAGGGGAGGGGGAAGCAAAGCGCCCGCCTCCCCAGGCATCGCAAGCGGGCAGGGAGGCTGCGAGGCTGGGGGAAGGCTTCCGTTTTGACCGTTCTGTGGCTTTTTCCTTTTAAACCTTGTGACTGTGTTCCCTATCAGGAAATAAAGCAATCTGGAAAATAACCCTGAAACTCAGGGAAATACTCTGTAAACGTGCGCTGGCTCGCCTGGGAGATGGCAGAGCCCAGTCGCCCGAGAAGGGAGAACAGATGTGCGCTGGGCCCAGGCGGGGCTCTGAGGGATGCAGTCTTCGGGGTCCCCCCCTGTGCTGGGTCACTGGTCCACAAGGCCGTCAGGGTTGTGGGGGTTTGGGGATGTGCTACCCCCAGACATTTTCAAAAGGCCTCCTATTCAGGTGAGGGACTCTCCGCGTGGAAGGCAGTCTCTCAGTTGGCAGTGTCACCCGGGAAGACCAGGAGGCCGGGTTGTGTGGTTGGGTGGTGGCTAGAGGCTGGTGGCGCATGCGTTGGCACCAGCAATGCCACCAGTGCTTCCATCTGCGACCTTAGAAGAAGCCTCTGATCTCACTGCCTCAGTTTCACGGCAGAGAACAGATGGGACAAGGGGTGGGTGGGTGGGTGAATGTGGCAGAGCATTCAAACTCTAGCCATGATAATACGTGGGTTTGAGATTTGAATTCTGCCCTTTATTCTTGTATCTGTGGAGGGTAAATTTAATTAAATTCATGACTGGTGAGGCAGGAAGAAGGTACTGGGCTTTCTTTCTTTCTACTTCAAATAATCTACCATGGTTTTATTTGATTTTATTTTTTTCTACCATGCTTTGAAAGCATGACTTCACGTTTCATCTCGCCAGTTCGGAACATAACGCACTCACTGTGGGAGTTGGTGCCCCCTTCCCAGCGCCGTGTGGCTCCCTGGTGGCCCTTGGAGCCGGCATCTCAGGCGCATCGCCGCCGAGGACTGTGCCCAGCAGTCGTCCTCGTGGGTTTATTTGGCCCTGGACCTTTTCACTAAGGGGGATGGTGAACGCATTGCTTCCTGTGCTTGAACTCTGACCCCACCGTATCTCCCTGGTGAGGTCGGCACAGCCGGCAGGTCCATGAGCCAGTGGTCCTGAGGGTAGTGCCGTGGCGGGGCGTGGGGTTGAGCTTTGCAGGGCATGTGTTCCAGATGAAGGGACCAGCTTGCCCTCTGGACCCTTACATGCGTCACTTGTTATCATCTCTTCTTCCGGAAGATGTTGGCAGGGTCCTGACGGGGCTCCCGACAGGGCCGAGGGCCCTCAGTGGGAGGGTGAAAACGAAGAAGAGCCTTCTCTAAAGGCGCTCAGAGTGTTGGTGGGTGAATGAAGGAAGGAAAGACGTTGTTCCCAGGGTTACAACAGTAAAGTGTTTGGCCTTGCAGGGCTGGAGGAATGCTGTAGAAAATGGTGAACTGGGCAGGACAGAAAGGAGTGGGTACTCACGAGTGTAAATCTGGGGCCGAGGTCTTTGGAGGGTGGTGGGGGGCACCTGTTTTTGGCGTTGCCCCCACATGAAAGCAGTGGACTTCCTTGAACTGATTTTGCCGAAGACTGCCACCCGGGCCTCCAGGAGGACCTCGCTGCCTGGGCCGGGAGGATCTGGGCCAGAGCCGCTGCGGCACCTGACCCCATGCCCTTTGCCCCGCGCTCCTGTGGGTAGCGTCTGGGCACTGTCGGGGAGCCTCATGCTGCTCTGCAGCGCAGACGCCGGCCTGCGCTTCCAGAGCCCGTCTCTGGCCAGCGTGGCTGTCGGTGCGTGGAGATGCTGAAGCCAGGAGCTGCTGTGCCGACCTCACTTGCTCCATAAGTCTTTCTGGTTCTCTTGACAGGTTTAAGGGGCTCAAGCCGACTCTTATCCTTCTCTCCCGAGGAATTTCCGACGCTGAAAGCAGCTGGAGGGCAGGACAAGGCTGGCAAAGAAAAGGGCGTCTTAGATCTGTCGTATGGGCCAGGACCAAGCCTCCGCCCTCAGAGTAAGTGAACTGCAGCCCCTGTTGGGCACATGTGGGGACAGCAGGATCGCCCCTCATTCTCCTGGACTCTCAGGACAAAATGCATGGGTTCCCAAAGAGCCGTCGCTCCGGGGGCCCGGTGCCACGCCTGGAGAGCGTGGTTGCTGCCCCCCCAGCCTGGGCCCTGCGTCTGCTGGACTCCCTCCCTCGGCTGGTCTGGAGGCCGCTCCTCTCTCGTCTTTGGGGTTGGGCTGGGCCTGTCTGCCCTCGCAGCTGTCGCCAGACAGGCAGTTCTGCCGGGCTCAGGTGCTCGTGGCGAGTGCAGGCGGACCAAGGGCTGAGCACCTTGGTACCTGATTCGGGGGCTTGCGGCCTACACCCTGGGTCCCCAGACCAGCCGTGTCCCGACGGGACCCCTTGGGGAGTTTGTTAAAGAGTCTGATTTCCAGGCCTTCCCAACCCCAGCCAATGAAGAATTATCTGTTTTTTCACGTATTCCCTTGTGTAGCCTGCTTAGTACTGTCCCCGGGGCCCCTCCCCTGGGGCCTGGCCGAGGACTTGAAAGTGTTGTGTAGCCACACTTGCTGGTAATATTTTTCTTAGAAGCCTCGAGTGGTTAGAGTTTAAGGTGTTAGGAATGAGATTTCCTCTCTGTTCTGACCAGAGACTATGAAATGGCTCTTGATTTTGGGGGGAGGTGTTTGCGGGTATTCTTGATCAGGTCTTGAACTATGAGGCACTTGTGCTGGCTTGTCCTGGCCGCTCCCCTGGCGCCCCGGCGCCGGCGCCCCGTGGGTGAAGGGGCCTCTCCACGGCCTGCCTCCCAGCCTGCTGCCGCCTCGGGCCTGGGCCGGGTCATTCCGTCCACTCCAGATATGTCTTCAGATTCCGTAGGCCGACAATTGTGACTTTCTGGGTTTAATTAAGATGAGCCGTGGCTGGTGTATCTCCCCACACCATGCCCCTCTCCTTTCTTGGAGAGTGAATAAAAACTTTATCCTCTACCAAAAAAAAAAAAAAAAAAAAAAGATGTTTTATAGAACTGTAAACATTTAGAAGTAGGAGAAGCTTCTGGAAGTAGTTCCATTTCCTCGTTTGGAAAGGTGGAAGGCAGAGGGGGCACCATAGACAGACCGCATGCGAGGGCTGAAGAGCTAGAGTGGAACCCAACTTCATGGCTCCCGTCCTACGTCCCTTTCTCTGGGGGGGTCACATGCTTGGGGACCTTTCATGCCTCAACCCCTAACCAAGAGCTGACTGTAGAGAGGAGTTATTTGACTTGAACATTTTCTCCTTGGCCTGCAATTCCCCCAGATCGTGCCCCGTTTGGCAGCAGGTAGCACCATCTGAAAAGGCAGTCCCGTAGGGCGGCAGGTCCTCCCTGTGCCCGGCGGCAGGACCCTCCTCCGGCCAGTGCTGGAGCAGGCGGCCGGGCCTTGTGGAGGCCCCGCCCTTCCACACCCCGCTGGCTGAGAGCCGGCTCTGCTTTGTCTCAGGAACTGGGGAGGCCTCCGGCTAGAGGTGCAGTTGTGACACAGTTTGAAAACATGTCAGAAGTCTCCGTGGTATTAACATCAAGTCCAGGGTTGAACTCTGGGCCGATCCTACCTGGGCTGGGTCGCTGTTTGTGTTCCCATCGGGGCGGCCCAGTTCCTGTGGGGTTGACGTGGTGGGCGGGGGGTTTCAGTCAGTCTCTGAAGACTGTCTTGTGTGCACTTGCCTTCTCTCTGAGCGGACCTTGTCCTGTGTTTCCCTTGCAGTCAGACTTCCCTCAGTAAGTGCATACTCATTGGCCAGGTGTCCGCCCCCAGCCTTTCCTGACAGACGTCACCAGTCGACTCAGTACTTCACTTTTTTTTTTTTTTTTTTTTGGTGAATGAGGGGGTCCCTTGACCTTCAGAACCTCATAAAATTCCCCCTCCCCCCTTCCTGTTTCCTCTCCCCTTTTGCCCCCTTTCAATTTCCAGATGTGACAAGCTGGAGGGAGGGCGGTGGGCGAAACATAATTTCTGCCACGTCTCTGAGCGCCTCCCCAACTGAGCTGGGCAGCAGGAACTCGAGTGCGGGAGACGGAGCCCCCTCCTCGGCATGCGCCAGCGACTCTAAGGACCCCTCTCTCCGCCCGGCTCAGCCTGTTCGCAAAGGGGCTTCACAGTTCATGGGAAATGCATACCACCCACCTACATACCATGACATGCTTCCTGCTTTTGTAAGTCTTCAGAGTGTGCATTTTTTTTCCATGACGTTGGCCTGTCCACATCCAGCAGAACCCACTTCACGTGGTTGAATGTCCACCTTAGGTTCTCCCCCGTGATTCCACTCTTTGCCCTGATACCCTACCGTGGAGGTTTTCATTAGTTTTGTACTTTCTCTCCCTCTTTCCACATCCTAAGGGCTTCTGGCCCCTTTCCCTGGTGATGTGGATAGGATTTCAGGCTTGGTTCTTGAGAGAGAGGAGAGGCAGCTTTTCCCCAAGACACAAGTCCCCAGTTTTCCTTACAGTAGGAAAGGAATGGGGAGATGGTGGCAGGATCGAATGGGAAACCCCAAGTCTTTCCTGTTTCTTTTTCCCATTTTTCATTTTCCTAAACAAATTATAATGGGAGCAGAACTTGGAGGTTGGGCCATTACCCGAAAACCCTGTTCATTGGTGTTATGTTTCAGATGTGCTCGCCACAGTCACCGGAGAACCAGGGGCCAGTGGAACGAGGACCTTTCCCCCTCCCCCAGCTCCGCCTGGAACCCCGTGTTCCTTTTAGACAGTTCCAGATGAACGACCAGGACGGGTAAGGCTACTGCATTATCGTCACGCGTGTAGAGATAACCCCGGTACAAGACAAGGGGCTGACAAATGCCCTTGTCTGCTGGAGTCCACAGTGCGCCTGTGAACCAGCGCTGAGCCCCAGGGGGCGTGGGCAGTGGGGCTGGGGCCGGTGAGAGGCTGGGTGATGACTTCAGGCCCCCCCCGGCAAAGGTAAAATTTTGGCATTTCTGCTCGCCACCACCCTGGGCATTTGCACTGAGCCACAGAACTGCAGAATGAAGTGGGACTTCTATCTGCGGTGCAATTCTCTATCGCGTATTTTTTTCCAAAGAAGATGACTTAAATATTAAACACAAACGTAAACCTCTGTAGTCTGGGGCTTGTTTCTTGAAAAGTGTTTGGTTTTGCTTCCACATGTGCAGAGTCTTGAGCTCTTCTCTCTCTCACCAGAAAAGAGAACCGGCCAGGAATGACGCGCCCGCCCCGCCCCCTGAGGCAGCTGGTGGAGCGGGCTCCGCGGCCCACCATCATCACAGCGGAGAACCTCAAGGGCCTCGATGACCTGGACACCGACGCAGACGACGGCTGGGCAGGTGGGTGGTGTTCCTGGGAGGAGGGGAGAGGCGGGAGTGGGGGCGCGGGGGCGCGAGGACAGGGAGCTGCAGGAGCCCCTTTAGTGCTCCACACAGGTCCTCCTGGGCGCTCAGCCAGTCTTTTGGCCTTTGGTCTTGATCTTAGAACCATGGTAGACTTTTACCATGCTGTTAACACTTTTAAAAACTTTTTTATAATGGAAAAGTTAAACCAAGCAAAACAGTGTCATGAACCCCCTAGCTGCCCATCACCCAGCTTCTGCAAGTACCACTGTCCTGCCGTTCCTGTCCCTTTAATGTCGCCCGCTCCATCCCCCAGCCCAGTTGTATTCTTTTATGTTCTTTTGTTTGTTTTCAAGAAAATTTTAATCACATTGAAAGACACTCCTCTTAACTGTACAGTTTTGACAGGGATATACCTGTGTGACACAAGACAGAACCTTTCCCTCTTCACCCTGTCCCTGCCCGTCAGCCTCTCCCCCAACCTCTGGCCCGGCCTCCTGCTCTTCCGGGGGACCGCACCGCAGGGTAGCTTTGCCTCCGGGGGAACTTAGGCCTGTGGAGCCACGCGGCTTTTTCTCGGGCGGCATGTTTTTGAAATTCATCAATGTTGGGGGGGGGGTGTTTGTTTACATATATATACGTATATATACACACACATATATATATATGTGTATATATATATATGTGTATATATACGTATATATATAGATTCAACACACATATATGTGGTTTTTAATTGCCGGGATGTATTTCATTGCAGCAATATACTTTGTCTTCCCATTCAGATGTTCCATTGTGAATAATGTTTTCATTTCTCTTGAGTAAATATCTTGGAGTGAAGTACTGGGTCAAAGGGTAGGCAGGGGGCGAGGTTCACAAGGCTCCCCAGACCGTGCCCCCCAGTCCTTGCCCCCCAGGCCATGCCTTCCCACCTCCCCAGCGGCGACCACGGCGCTCTCCTGCCAGGCCTCACGATTCCTGTCATCCCGGCGGGTGTGCGGTGGTATCTCATTGTGCTTTTAGTTTGCATTTTGCCAGTGACTAATGATGATGAACATGTTTTAATGTGCCATTTGGTTACAGGTGTATTTTTTTGTTTGTTTGTTTTGAGTGGTATAATACACGTCTGTTGCAACGGAACGTTTCACATAACATTTCCCCCATTGCCTGCCTTGTCCATTTTTTAATGAACTGTTTTGAAGAGTGGGAGTTTCTAATTTTGATGAAGCTTATAAATTTGTGTTTTATGGTTATTTTGTGTCTTATCTAAAAAAAAATCTTTGTCTCCCCCCACCTCGGTGGTGAAGATATTCCCTTATGTTTTATAGTTTTAACTTTTTTTATTTTGAGCACCCCGGTTTTCCTGAGGTGTTTATTTGGGTAGACGAGGGGACAGGGAGTCCCTGCATCTAAAAAAAGGTGTTAGGCTTCTTGGTGGTGAAGCGTGGCTTGTGCTGGCGACAAAGGACCCGGCAGCAGGAACTTGATCTTGGAGTCATGGAACTGCCTGACTGCCAGCGGGCAGCACATGCTGGCTGCAGTCTCCTCCACCTTCGTGATCTGGATCGAGTGGGCGCGCGCACGCTGCCGGGCCCCCATGTCTCGGTAGCACTGGGTGCCGGTGCCTGCGGCCGTCAGGTCCCGGTATTCCCAGTACATGTCGTGGGTCCCCCTCCGGGAGTCGTAGCGCAGCCACATACCAAAGTCCTTCACCTGAAGGGGGGGATTTTTCAAACACCTGCCCACAGTAGACAATTTCCCCTGAAGATGTCTCCATCTTCTTCAGCTGAGACACAAAGTACCAGGAGCAGGACTTGGCAACGACATGGTTAGGTGCAAAGATGCGCATGCGGGCGAGGGGCGGTGTGCGGCCCTTGGGGGTGGGCAGGCAGTGCCCCACCATCTTGCACTCTCGCAGAGTGCCTGGGGCCTTCACAGCGTTCTCTGCGTATTCGCCACCACCCACAAAAGGCTATGGTTTTAACTCTTCATTTTTTGGATCTATGATCCATGCTGAATAATTGCTCTGTGTGGTGTAAGGTAAGGGGTTGAGGTTTTTGTTTTTCCATAAGGATATTAGTTGCTTTCCACCATTTGTTCATAAGACTTTCCTTTCTCTATTGAATTGCTTTGGCATCTTTGCCAAAAATCAATTGACCTGGTAAGTGCAGGTGTGTTTCTGGACCCCTTTCCCCGCTGATCTGTTTATTCACCCTTATGCCAGCGCCACGCTAGGCTTCATAGTATGTGTTAGATTCAGGGAGTGTTGTAAGTTTTCAACTTTGTTTTCTGTTTTTGTTTTTTGGTTATTTGACTATACTGAGTTCTTTTCATCCCCATATAAATTTAGAATCAGCCTGGCAGTATTTACAAAGAGCCTGCAGGCATTTGCGTGAGGACTGTATAGAGTTTATTTCTGGATAAATTACGTCGTTTTAATCTTCCCTCCCAGCAGCCTAGTGAGTCTGTTAGGTCTTCCATTGCTCCCAGCAGCATTTTACAGTTTCTAGAGTGGAGATCTTGACCGTCTTTGAAGTTTGTTCCTGCGTCTTTTATGGTCTTTGATGAAATGGCTTTTTTTTTTTAAGTTTTGTTTTTAAGTGTCTGATGTTGTTCTGCAGAAATATTAGCTGATTTTTGTGTATTAGCCTTGTCAGACACTTTGCTGAATGCACTCATTAGTTTTACTAGCTCTTTTTAATTTCTTAGCATTTCTACCTAAATAATCACGTTACCTATAAATAGGGACAGTTTAATGTCTTCCTTTTCAGATCACATGCCTTTTATGTCTTTTTGTTGCTTTATTGCACCGTGTTATTTCCAGTACAATGTTGTGTTCAAATTCTTTGTTTCTCATCTTAGGGATAAAATGTTTAGTGTTTCCCCATTAAATATGATGTTAGCTGTAGCTTTTTGGAGATGTTCTTTATCAGATGGAGGAGATCCCCTTCAATTTCTGGTTGGCTGAATTCTTGGTTTTTTAAATCATGAATGGGTCTGTATGAATTTTGTTAAATACTTTTCCTGTGTTTGTGATCATATGATCTTTCTCCTTCATTTTGGTAATCTTGTGAATTGTACTGATTTACTTCTTTAATGCTAAACCGTCCTTGCATTCCTAGAATAAACTACTTTCTTTATGCTTTGATTCAATTTGCTGATATTTGATTAAGGTTCTTGCTCTCTCTGTTTATGGTGGATATTGGTCTGTAATCTTCCCTTTTAATATTTTTGTTTGGTTTTGGTACCAGCTTATGCTGGACTCATGAGATGAGCTGGAGAATGTTTCTTCCTTTTCTACTTTCTGGAATAGTTTCTGTAAGGTTGGTATTTTTTTTTTATTAATGTATGATAAAACTTGCCAGTGAAACAATTTAGCCCTGGAGTTTTCTTTGTGAAGATATTTGTGGTAATAGTTTTATTTCTTTAATGAGTTTATGTAGCTGCTCAGGTTCCTGTTCTGTGTCAGTTTTTGATAACTGGGTTTTTCAGAGGGTTTGTTCATTTCTTTCAGGTTGAGTTTACTGGTGTAAACTGTTGATGCTACTTTTCCTTTGGGGTCTGTAGCATCTATAATGCTCTCTCTCTCTCTCCCCTGATAGTTGGGTAACTTGTGTTTTTTTCTCTTTTTCTTGTTCACTTCTGTCAAGGGCTTTTTAGTTTTATTAATATTTATAAAGAGGCAGCTTTTTGGCTTTAATTTTTTCCATTGTTTTCTGTTTCATTGTTTTGTTCATTTTCATGATTGAGGCTTTCTAGATTTCTAATTTAATTCTTTAGAGTTAGAGATCACACCCTGAATGATTTCAGATCTTTTCGACTTATTAAGACATATTTTATGACCAAGATGTGGTCTATCTTGGTGAATATTCTAAGTGGATTTGAAAAGAATGTGTACTTTACGGTTTGGGATTATGTTCTGTAAGTATCAGTTTAGTCAAGGCAGTGGGTGGTGTCATTCAGATCTTACGTATTTATTGATATTTTTGTCTAGTTCTATCAGTTACTGAAAATGAGGTATTAAACTTTTTCACTATTGCGGATTTATTTTTTCTCCTGTTTTCGCTTCATATATTTTATTAGGCTTAGTGCATACTTATGTTTATGACGCTGACACGGACCCCTTGAATTGTCCACATGTTCTGCATCTCTGGTAGAGCGTCTTGTCTTGGTGTCTGCTTTGTCCCATGGCAATATCATTGCTCCAACTTTAATTACTTGTTTTCATGGTGTATCTTTTTTCCATTCTTTACCTCTCCCCTCTTTTGTGTTTGTATTTAAAGTGACAATCTGGGAGACAGCACATAGTTGTGCCTGCTTTTTCATCAAATCTAATGCTGCCTTTTAATTGGAATGATGCCTTTTAAAAATATATGTATGATTTAGTGATTTTTAGTGTGTTCACAAGTTTGTTCAGCCATCACCACTACCCAATTCTAGAGCATTTCCATCACCCACAAAGAAACCTTTTGCTCTTAGCAGTCACCCCCAATTACCACCCCCCCCCGCCCACACACACAAACACACGCTGCTTCTCTGGCGAATACTAACCTATTTTCTGTTTCTGTGTATTTACACCTGGACATTTCACATACATGGAATCTTACAATATGTGGTCCTTTGTGTCTGGCTTCTCACACTTAGCGTGGTGATTTCAAGGTTCATCAGTCTCAGTGTGTGTGGCTCTGCTGCATTTTGTGACCCGCCCAGCAGTTGGCAGACACCGCCCCCCACCGGTGCTGGTGGGGGTGTGGGGGCGGTGCCCGGGTCTGTGCGGTAATGCACGTGCCCAGGTCTCGCGGGCTGGGGTCAGCGCCGGTCCAGACTCTGCCTGCTTTTGCTCACCCTCCTGCATTTCCAATACATTTGTAAAATGTTTTGCCCAGGTTCAATAACTTTCATCCGTGGGAGGACTAGTCTGACCAGCCCGCTTTGCTGTTACCAGACGCGAGCAGTGTCATTCCCTTTCACCTGCAGTTTGTTCTGGTGGTGGCAGCTGGGCGGGGCGCCTTTGTCCCCAGCTGGGTCTGCGTAATTCCTGACTGGCGGAAGCCCCCCAGGGGCACTCTCAGTGGCTGAAATTCTCATTTCCTTGTTCTTCCTGGCCCACCGCCCCCTTGCAGGCCTCCATGAGGAAGTGGACTATTCTGAGAAGCTGAAGTTCAGTGATGATGAAGAGGAGGAGGACGTTGTGAAGGACGGCAGGCCACAGTGGTAAGGCGCCCCACCCTGCTCCCGCCATGCTCCAGGGCACCTGGGTGCTTGCCCGTACTGCTGGGGGCTGGTCTCCGTGCCGAGCGCACATCCTTGTGTCCAGCAGTCTCGCAGGGCAGGTGCTGGCTTGGTTGGCAGGGGAGAGGCCTGAGCCGCTCAGGAGGGGAGCCAGGGTTCCCATCCCAGCCCAAGTCCTACGTTCGCGACCGCTGCCCCAGTCTTTTCCCCAAGTGCCTCGGGTAGACATGTGCCCTGCAGGCTGATGACGGCGCCGTGCCCTCACAACCCTGGGCGGCCGCGCCAGTTTGGGGAACCACCTGGGTTCACCTGTTGCTTTCTTCCGGGGTCACCCTGGCTTGGGACATATGTACAGAAACATGTTGAGAACCTTTGGGGACAGGGAGAAGCTGTGAGCAGGGTGTGCCAGGTTTCCCGTCCTTTTCAGACCGCTGTAATCTTTCCTCTCTTCTTTTGGGTTATTTTATTAGATTAATTTTCTCATAATGGCCCTTTGGAAACTATTTCATTGTACTCTAGCCCCTCCTGTTTTTAATCATAATATCAGTAGTATTGGCTGGTACTTTAAAGATAGTACCTTTGGTTGCCTTAATTTGCATTTTTTGAGTACCAGCAAATAAGCACATTTTCTTTCGTGTGGAATCTCCTGTTTTCTTCGTGCATTACCTCAAAGATGTGATTGTTTTATATTGCTTAGATATTAATGCTTTAATGTTTCCCTTTGTTTATTTTATCGTCAGTGATTTAATGTCTGTACAGTTGAGTCTGTGAGTCTCTCTATGTTGTATCATCTTTCGCTTCAAAGCTCCTGAAGTAAGTGCCCCTCGTCTGGAGGAAGCTGGTAGCGATATGCTGCCATTCTCTGATGACACACAACTAATTGAGGCTTCTGTAATTCTTTTCATGCTGTTTGATTTTTAGCTGAAGCTTTGAATGCACTTGGGGAATAGCTGTGGGTCATTTCTTGGAACGCTGAACTCAGAAGGATATGTGACCAAGAATTGAAGTGAAAGGCAAAGAAATAAATATTACAGATTTGTTAGATCAGTAGGACATTCTGTTTCTTGTCTCTTTCCATCGATGTTAAAGGAATATTTAACTGAAAGAATTAGGCGTGGGTTTTGGACCCAGCTTTGCTACTGGCTATGACCCAGGACACCTCAAATTGAACCTACAGGTCCCTAAACCTGCTCTTTTTTTGATATTCTCTGAGCTGGTTGATGATGCTCAAAACCCGTGCTCCCACCCCTCCCTCCAGCCAAGACGCATGCGACAAGCTCCAAGTCCCCTTTGCCATCTTTGTGTCCCCATCGCTGATGATTCCTGAGGCTGCCCTTGACTGTACCCCTCCCCACTCATTGGGACTGGGGCCATGGGGCCTGCATCCTGTCTCTCCCGGACCTTGCAGGGGTCAGCTGCGTGTCTCTGCTTCCATCTCATCCTCTTGCCCTTCACCCTGTGCCTGGTTGTCTTTAAAGTATTCTGGCGGATCAGGAGCCTTACTGCGGTCTCTCCCAACCCGCCGCCTCCTCCCCCCAGGCACGTGCGTGTGTGAGCAGGGACAGGCGCAGACAGGTGCGGATCAGCCAGGCCTGGTCCTGTTTTTCTGAACTCCTGTTGCGCTACTGAGCTCTTGTTTCTCACACAGAGGTGCTTGGTGCGTGCAGGTCCGTTCTTGGCCCAGAGCCTGTGTTTACACCGCAGCCCATGACGATGAACCCTGCGCAGTTCCCCCTCCCTTCCAGCCTCAGAGCTGCCCTCTGCAATTCCCCCTTCCCATAGTGTGGGCTCTCCTCTCTCGCCCTCTTTAGGAGGGGCCTCAGTCAGGGAGCCGTCGGTGGCTGTGCGAGGAGGGTGGTTGAACCCCTTTCTGTGCAGAGCACAGGGCAGGAGCCGTGGTACGCGGAGAAGGACCTTCATCTGCCAGCTCCTCCCGGGCGAGCAGCTGTGCAGCCTCTCTGAGACTCTATGTTCTACTCTTAAAAATGGGCGGGGGTCGGGGGGAGGCCTTTTTTCCTTCCATTCGATGAGGCAAGGGTGTGAGACCTCCTACCTGGAACTTTGTGTGTAGAAGTGATTTGGTAGATGCTGGTGTTCAGTTCTGGGGTTCTGGGCCGGTCCTGCTCCCCATGAGAGATGGGGAGGTAGGTGTGTTCTGACAGAGGACATTGGTGTGCAAGCAGCTGACCGAGGAGGGCCTGTTACTGGTGAGGTCCAGCCGTATCGGGCTGACGGGGAGACTATGTGCGTGGTCTGTCCTAGGAACAGCTGGGACCCGAGGAGGCAGCGGCAGTCGTCACTGAGCTCTGCAGACAGCGCCGACGCCAAGCGCACCCAAGAGGAAGGAAAGGACTGGGGCGAAACGGTGGGCATGAGCCGGGCAGTCCGGAAGGCGCCGGAACCTCAGCCGCCGTCTAGGAAGCTTCACAGCTGGACGTCAGGCCCTGACTACCAGGTACCATGGGCGCCGAAAGGGGTTCTGTACCTGTGATCAGGCTGGGACACACACTCATTGCATGTTCATGTGACCGGGGCTCCAGGCGCAGGACCACAACAGGCCAGCCCGTTGGCCGGTCGCCAAGTTCAATGGCTCAGTTTCTCAACGCCCTAGGGGGACATGTCTCTTTTTTTTTTTTGATTTAAAAAATGTCTTCTGAAATAATGAAACAGGCAGAGACTGACAGAAAAGCTGGAAGTACAGTACAAAGAATACTTTTTTCCGAGCCATTTGAAGAGACGTAGCCTGATCAGGCACTATCCCCACGGAACACTTCGGTGTATAACACCCAAAAAATGACAGTTCTTTTAAGTAACCACAGTCTCAACCAGGAAATAACATTGGTGCAACGCTGCCGTCAACTTTTAACAGTTGTCCTATTAATGTCCTTGGATCGCCTCCTGCCTTAGGTGCCCTGTCTCTTCCATCCCCGTCGGTTTGGAACGGCCTTTCCTTCCCTTTCATGACTTGGACACTTTGGAGAGTGCGAGCCAGTTGCTTGTGGGATGCGCCTCAGATTGGGTTTGTCTGGTCCTTCCTTCCTCACGATTAGGATCCAGGTTTCCTTTTTTGCTCAGAATCTCTCAGAAATGACACAACTCTTCTCGTTGCATCCTAACAGGGGACCATGATTTTGCCCTGTCCCTCTCTGACAACTGTCACTTGATTAAGGCGGCACCTGCCAAGTTGCACACTGTGCAGTTATTCTCCTCCACGTTTGTAATTGATAAGAATTTTGGGGGCAGATACTTTGAGGCTGGGAATATCCTGTTTCTCATCCAACTTTGAGTTTATTTGTATCAGTGAGTTATAATCTGTTTTTATCGCTGTTTTGAAGCTCAGATTGTCTTTGATTTGGCTGCTGGGAGTCTCTTCAAGCAGCGTCCGTGCCCCTTTTCCAGGCCTCCACCTCCGTTGCGCAGCCCCTTGCTTTCCGGTAGAACGAGTTTTTCTAAGCTCCTTTCTTCCTCCCCTGCCTGGGCCCTGGAAGCAGTCCCCGTGCAGAGTCTAAGATGCGGGCACTAGGCGTGCTCAGTGCTGTTGGGGTGTCCCTGCCCCGGGCACAGTTGGGGAATGTCTGTGCACACGTGTGTACACATATGTACACACACATCCACGTCCACAGTTTTCTGTATCTGTCCACATAGAAAATGAGAAGTCAGCTGCCTGCTCCATTTCCACAGAGTTCAGCCTAGTTGTCCCCCATTCGTCCGTGACATTCACACCTGTCTGGTCAGCCGCCCACCGGCGACCCGTCTCCCATGGCTGCCGCCGCCCTCCCCTGTGCGCTCATGCCCTCCTCGCTCAGGCGTCGGCGCCCCGCGGAGCTGCCCCGCCTTCCCCTGCCGGGCCGCCTCTCCTCAGGAATCCCCTGCTCAGGCAGCCTAGTGGGGCCCCGTTGCCGCGTGGATGCTCACCCTGCCCGGGCTCTGACCACCTGCTCCCGGCCACCAGGACGCTGTCGCAGATGCTGACTTTGTTTCGCCACAGTCTCATGACTTTGGGACTGAATTGTTCAGGAGGGGCAGAGCTGGGGGTGGTAAAGGCTATACTTTAAATACATGTGGCAAAACTTAACAATTTTCAATGAGTTTTGCTATTTAAAGGGCTCCTGTTCCACATCTTATAAGATGAAAATGCCCGCCACTTTCAGTCTTTTTTATTGAGTACATATCGTGTGCCAGGTGCTGTGCTAGATACAGAGAATAGACAGACACATGGCTGCTCTTAGAAATTAGCCTGAAATTAATCCAAATTTCATTTATATATTGGGTTGTACAGTATTCAAGAGAAGGTTTCACTTTGACCTACTTATAGCAACACTGAATTAACTGAATAGAGTCAACAAAGATAAAATCTGTAGAATTCTATGCACCCTCATTTTTGGAAAGATTATTGTAATTCAAATATTTTTCAGAACTTTAGTTTACAAAATAGCTAATCTTAGAGCAGTTTAGAAAGACATGTCATTCGTCTGAACAATGCCCAGATAGCCTTTAATCCCACTACCTCATTGCTAGGACTTTCTGACAGACAGTCGGGACATGCATTAAGGGTTATCTGCAAGTGGATTGGCCACCAGGGTTTCAGGTAAATTATAGCTGACGCCACGCGGTGAGACAGCGCCCACCCGCACCAGAGCGTGGATGGACGGTAACATCCACGCAAAAGAGCAAAGGGAAGGAAGTGTGCACACTGTGGTCCCAGTTGTATTACATAAAAACTACCTTCATGTTTCCGAATTAGAATTCTGTCATCTTTTATGGTCGCAGCAATTGTCTCTGGAGCATAAGTTAATTTTTAGGAGAAACTTTTTGAATCCGGCAGCTGTGTTGCATATTGCTTTTATGGAGATAAAAATAACACGTAAGAAAAGTCATAGGCCTTACTTACTTTTCTTAATGTTTGGTGACTTTTGACAATTCTTGTTCATCTGTGTAATTACCACTCATAACAGGAAGCTGTATGTTTCAGTAGTCACATCTCATTGGGATTCCGTGGCTGTGGCCGTCCGTGCTCCCCTCCCCGCTCGCCAGGCAGAGGTGGTCCCTGTGTTGAGTCCTTCTGCCTCTTTGGCCCCTGAGTGTTGCCCAGTGACTGGCAGCCAGGCAGAGATGTGCGGGTGGATGAAATAGACGCAAGGACTGGTCTTAGACATGCCTTTTTGCTTTTGTATAAAGAATCACCTGAAACCGTGTACCTGGCTATGAATTTCACTTCTCAATGGCTCTTTACACCCAGAGGTTTATAGATGTTCGCGAGGGAAGGAGTAGAGCATGTGCTTTTCAGCTCTTGTTCGTTACCTGTGTGTTACCCACGGAGGCCTCATCTCCGTGCCATTCGGAGGGGCGCGCGTCCTTGTTCTGGGAGTCCCTCTGTGTCCATCCAGGGCTGAGTGCTTCGCAGGCATTTCAAGGCCCCTTCACAATCCCAAGGGCTTCTTGTGTTGTCCCCAGTTTGCCAATGAAGAACGAAGGTGCAGAAGGTTGGCCCTTGCCCAAACTTCATTCCAAACATCTTCAAGGGCGGAGCAGGGGCCAAGCTCTGGCTCACCTAGCGCAGGGTAATAGCCGGATAATCCCGCGGGCCCCGAGGGTGTTGAGGGTCTCAGAGGGAGCGTTGACTCCGCCCTGGGAGTGGCCCTGTGTCCCGTTTCATTTCTTCTTTCTTCTCTTGGCAGAAGTCCTCTGTGGGCAGCGTGTTCCGGCAACAGTCTATCGAGGACAAAGAGGACAAGCCACCCCCACGGCAGAAGTTCATCCAGTCGGAGATGTCTGAGGCCGTGGAACGCGCCCGGAAGCGCCGGGAGGAGGAGGAGCGCCGAGCCCGGGAGGAGAGGTTGGCTGCCTGTGCCGCCAAACTCAAACAGCTGGACCAGAAGTGTAAGCAGGCTCAGAAGGCCAGTGAGGCCCAGAAGCAGGTGGAGAAGGAAGTGCCCCGGTCTCCAGTAACCGAGAAGGTGCCCCTGCAGGAGAATGGCCCTGTGGTCCGCAAAGGTAAGCGGGGGTCCCTCTCCTATGAATTGGAGACCCTGGGCTGCTTTTGTTTGCATCTGCCTGGCTTCCTAGCACAGCCTGTGGCTTACCACTAGAGGATTTTGGGAAGCATCAGTCGTTCAGTTTCAGCCTGGGTCACATGCCTGGAGTTCCACTCTGTTTCAGCTGTAAAACTAGAGGGCTCTGTGCCTCACCCCCCTGGAGCTGTTCTCTTACCTGTGGATGGGGTGATAACAGTGTCCTTTCCCGAGGGCTGCAGGGCCAGGTGAGGTGATGTTTGTGAAGCCCTTGGCACAGTTTCTGCCCATAGAAATCACGCGTGTACTTCTTGGTAATATTACCAATTATGTCGTCTTTGTCACTGTTGTCATTACTTGTGCTCAACCAAAGATGCAGATGTTGCAGGTCTTTAAAAAAAGCACAGAGTCCTCCATGCCATTGGAAGCGCACGTCTTTGGGCACGCTCAGAGCGACAGCCCCCGAGCCTCCATCAGACGCTGTGCGGAGCTGTTTGATGGGGCATCTCTTGAGCATTTTTAAAGAACATGATCAGCTGTGTTCTTTATGATGAAAAAAAAACCCCAACCAGCTAAAACCAGCTCTTCAGGAGAAGGGCCCGCTCTTAGTTTCGGCCTCTGAAAGGCTCCCAGACGGGGTCATGTTGCTGGTCTGACGGCCGTTGGTGTCCCCGTCAGCTCCCTTTCAGTGATGTCCCAGGGAAGCCTGTGCCGGCTTCCAGTCTACACTGCGGGGCAATGGAGAGTCTGGGACGTGGGCTGCTTGGTGGGAGCGTGGTCAGTGGGTGCTGGTCCCCCAGCTGTGCCGAGGGTCTGGTGATTCGGGCCAGGCCTGGAGCTTCCCTGCGCGCGCCCCGGCCTCCTGCAGTGTTCCTCTGTGCCTCGCTGGGTCCGCAGCCCCCCGCAGCAGAATGAAGAATGCAAGTGTCAGTTACGCCTCGCTAAAGCTGGTGGGCAGGGAGGGGGCGCGCAAAGCTGGGAGAGGGGCAAGGAAGAAGGGAATTTCAGAGAGAGCGGCGAGCAGTTGTGTTGAGCACATACGGGCTGCAGGGTGCTGCTTTAAGTTCATTACGTGGATTGTCTTGTTTACTGTGACTTCCACAAGCCCTGTGGGGTAGGCACAGCTGCTGTGCTCACTGTCCGGATGCAGAAACAGCCAGGAGAAGCTGGCTTGCCCATGTCACACGGCCTTGGACGGGTTGAGCCATGCTGTTGGAACAGTGTATGTGCGGGGTGTCGTCGAGCTTGTGGCTGCTCACTGACTTACCAGGGTCCTTATTAACGAAACCTCTCTCACCTGGACCATAATCCCGGCTCCGCCACTGGCGCTGTGACCTGAGACAGTGCCCTGACCTCTGGACCCCTCATTTCCTCTAGCAGGGGTGCCCAGCCTTTTGGCGTCTCTCGGCCACACATTAAATACACAAATACTAATGAGAGCTGATGAGCAAAAAAAAGAGGTTTGAAATAAATTTACGATTTTGTGTTGGGCCGCAGTCACAGGGCCATGTGTTAGAACACCCCTGAGTGGTGGTGATGTGGGAACCCGCGAGCCGGTGCTGTGAAGCCTTAGCGCAGTGCCAGGGTCCGGGGTGGGAGCAGTCTGCCCCGGCCGCAGTGCCGACCAGGAGAAACATTCGCTTGTAAGCGTTCGATTGGCCACGCCCCTTTGAGCTCACCGCGGCCATTCCTCCGGTTATTTGTTCTCTAGGCTCTCCCGAGTTCTCTGCCCCGGAAGCCCCCAGCTCGTTTTCAGAGGAAGCCCCCACGGCTCCTGCAGCTGTGGCTCAGAACGGCAGCAGTGAGGACGGGGCCAGGGAGGCTGGGTCCCCGGCACAGGAGTTCAGCAAGTACCAGAAGTCGCTTCCTCCCAGGTTCCAGCGCCAGCAGCAGCAGCAGCAGCAGCAGCAGCAGCAGCAGGTAAACAGAAGACATTGAGAAGGTCTTTGTAAACAGACCCGACTGCTGCGTGATGTCCCCTCCATTAAAACAAACCAAAGTCCACCCTCCCATCTCCCAGTCACACCAGGAGCTGCACCTCAAAACCCTGGCCCTTGGTAGATCAGCCTCTGACTGTTATTTCTCCAAGTGATTTCTCTGCTTGGCAGTTTATTGACCTTGTTGTCTATTATTAGTACGGAAGAGTGTGCGGTGTGTGCCCTGGACTTGGTGTAGATGAGCTTGAAGAGTGGTTTTTTCCATTCAGAGCGGTGCACCGTGGCCCCACCCTGGGGCCTTCCAGGCGCTGCCTGGAGAGCTCTCACGGTGAGATGCGTGCGCTTGGGGTGGAGGGTGTGGGTTGGCACCTGTTGACCAGATCGCAGCTTCTCCAGTCGGGCATGGCCTTGGGGCAGGTCATTGTCAGCCAGGAGGCAGGACTACCTGCCTCTCAGAGTGGCAGGGAGGGCTTTACGGCTCCTCTGAACTGACCTAGCAGTATCGTCTGTTGGTGTCTCATAAACTGTAAAAGAGGCTTGCCTCCTGCCCTGGGCAAGAGCGCTTGGGCGATGGTTGCGATCATGCCCAGCCCCTTGCAGGCCTGGCCACCTTGTCCAGCTGGAACACTAGTTGACAATTAAGTGTCTCTCATAGGAGTAATAAAGGGGCAAGTGTATGGCCGATGAGCAGTGCATGGTGGTGGGAAGCGGGACGACACCCAGACGTTCCTTAGTTCATCAGCTAGGTGCGCAGCAAGTCACTGCTGCTGGTAATCAGAAAAGTGTCGCACTGTGTGTGTGCCCTGGGGGAATGAGCCGTGCGCTGAGCCTCTTCCCAGGATCTCTTTCCGTTGCCTTTAAACCCTCGCGCTTGGGGCCTGCATACTTTGGGCTCCTAGGGAGCGTTCCAGAAGCCCACCGGCTCCTGGGCTCTGAGCAGTAGGTTAGATGCAGTGGGTGACACTGTGCGGTGGCTCGCGGCTTGTGGAGAATCACTGACCAGTGAGCTCTCCGGGGTAGCTCGAGAAGACACGGCAGCAGCAGTTGCTCTAGGTGATTCTGCTGGGGGCCAGTGATGGGCAGGTCCTTCCTCAGAACAGGAGTCTGAAAGCACCGGGGCAGCCTGTCTGGTCAGGTTCCCCGGGGACCTGGGGTCCAGGCGTGAGCAGCCACTGTGGGCAGAGGCCCATAGCCTCCCCTGCAGCTGTGGAAGCTCTGGTTGTTGGTGCCGAGCGCTCTGCCCTGAGAGCCAGTGTGGCTGTCCGGGGTCCAGTCCCGCCAGCGGCTGTGGGTGGCCTTCTTGCTTGCAGATGGGAAAGGCGCGGCCTGCTGGGCTCCCCTCCTAGGCTGACCCTGCACCTGAGTCCTGCCTGGCACCAATTCAGGTGGTGCCTGGGAGGCAGCCTGGAGGCCCCTGATGCCATGTGGGGGCTGTGCAGTCAGCCCCCCGGGTCCACGGTCCTGACTGTTCTACTGGCGCTTTATGTTTACCCACTTGTGCATTGAGTGCCCTTTATGCCAGACCCGGCGGTGGGGGGCAGGGACACCCCTGTGAACTCGGGTGCCACCCCTCATGCAGTGAGGCAGACGGGCACTGGACAGCGATGGCCTGTGTCATCCGTGCTGCCGAGGAGGACTGTCAGTGTGGGGGCGGGGGACGCAGAGGGTCGGCCCGATCTCTTTAGGGGGTTGGGAGAGGCTTCCCAGAGGAGGTGCCTTTTAAGGCGGAACCTAAAGAAAGTGTGAGTGAGCCAGGCCTTGGGGTGGAGGAAACAGGAGCTGCCCAGACAGAGGGCCCAGCGCGCTACCAAGGCCGCAGGTGGCAGGCAGCCCTGCGAGGGGAGGCGAGGAGGTGGGGCCAGGACCCTGCAGGACCCTGCAGCCGGCGTGTGAGGCTGTGGAGCCTCCCTCAGAGCCCTTTGGAAGCACGGGGTTGACGGCGGGGGGCGGCGCGCGTGTGTGTATGTACAAGATTACCCCTCTCTCGTGGCGAGTGGCTCGAAGAGGGCAGGGGAGAGAGGGCAGAGGTTGTGCCACACCCAGGTGGCTGTAGGCAAGGAGAGTCCCCAGGAGGCATGCTGGCCAGATGTCGGTTCCGGGAGCGTGTGGTCTGAGTGGGAACTGGTATGAAATGCTTTGTATTAGAGGAGCACGTGGGCTCCTGCTGTGAGGACGGTACGACTGTCCCTCCAGTTTGGGGACCAGGGCCATGACCTGAGAGTTGTAATACCCTGGGGTGTCCCTTGGAGCCAGGTGCTCAGCCCTTCCCTCTCTTGGTTTTCTGTTCTGGGTGGGCTCTGCGCCCCCTGCTGGGGGAGCGTGTCCAGGGGCAGGGCATGCCTGTAGCCCTGCCTCACTGGGCCTGTTCCCCCACTCAGGACCAGCTCTACAAGATGCAGCACTGGCCGCAGGTGTACCCCCCGCCCTCCCACCCGCAGCGCACCTTCTACGCGCACCATCCCCAGATGCTGGGCTTCGACCCCAGGTGGATGATGATGCCTTCCTACATGGACCCACGGATCACGCCCGCTCGGACCCCAGTGGACTTCTACCCCTCGGCCCTGCCGCCTTCGGGTAAGCACCCTGGGCCGGTGGGCCCCACCTGTAGAGGCCCAGACAGGGCCCCAGGATTCCGGTCCACGGGATGCCACTGGCAGCTTCCGCAGGTCACATGGCCAGTCTGCCGTTTCACTTCCTTGTTTGCAAAATGAGGGTATAATATTACCTGTCACAAAGAATTGTTGGGAAGAGTCCTAAGCTCATGCATTACAAATTGCTTTAATTAATTTTTATATCTCTTCTATGTTGTTTTGTCTCTTTCCAACATTCTTAATGTTCTCTGCGGTTTTTTCCCCTTTGATTGTTCTTCCCCAAGGTTTGTCTAATTAATGCCATTTTTAAGAAACAGCTTGGCTTTCTTAATTTCTCTGTTTTGTTTGATTTTTACTTCATTAACTTTTGCTTTTTCTCATTATTTTCCTTGAAATTATTCTGTTTCTAATTAATGGTGTTGGATACTTAACTCATTAATTTTTTACTTTTCTGATACACATATTTAAGTATCACCTGAGCTATGAACTCCTCTTAGTCTTATGAGAAGGGACTTTGTTATTGTACAGTTTTATATGTTAGTCTGATTTTGATTTACTTCTTTTAATGATATGTTGTAAATTTTCCAAATACAGAGTTTAAAATTTATTCTTATGGTGTGATTTTCTAAAGTGGCTGTTTTGTGGTCAGGTAGTATTTTCTGTATAGTAAGAGACCATGAGGTCATCACACTTTTCCTATAAATGCTGGACAGTAAATACTGTTTTAGGCTTTGAGCAGCCACTCAGTTTGCTGGGGTTAGAACAAACACAGCTGCAGACAATAGTAAGTGAATGAGCGCCTCGCTTTCCAGTGAAACTATTTTTAAAACAGGCAGCAGCAGGTCGGATTTCACTCGAAGGCCAGAGCGGCCAACAGTTGGGCCCCAGTCTAGATTGCTGGGCATTTGTTGAGATTTTCTTTGTAGGCTTTTTTTTTTTTTTTTTTTTTTTTTTTTTAACATTCTGAGTTTGCTTGAAAAGAATTCTGTTCTCTAGTCAGGAATTGAGCTTGCTAATTGTGCTTGGAGAATGTCTATTTCATCTATATCATCACAGTTTTTTATCCCCTTGATCAGTTTCCCAGAGGTGTGTTCAGGTCTCCCGTGACGACTGTGGGCCTGTCGAGTCCTGGGAGCCTGTGGGCATCCGTCAGGAGGCACGTCCTTGTTACGTTTCTCACCGTCAATGTCTGCTCTGTCTAATAGTAATGTCGTTCCAGGTGTCTTTGGATGAGTGATCATTTGGTATCTTCTTTTTGTCTTTTCACTGCTGGCCTTGCTGAGCCGATGTTGGGGAGCGTATCTTTGTATATACAAAGCACCTAGTCTCATTCATTCTGAAAGTATGTCACTTGGTGGCTAAAGCCAGTCCTTGAGAATTCCTGGGATGGTTGTGTTTGGGTTTCTGCCTCTCCTATGTTATGCTTTCTCTTTGTCCCTTTCTGTGCTCTTCTTTAAAGTTTTTATTTTAAATCAAGTTTTCCTTCTACATTCTGTTTCTGATTATTGTAGTGATTTCATTAAATTTTAACAAGTACCGATCAGTATTTTCCCCCTTAACTGGCACTCTGAGTACCTCCTCGTCAGGCTGCTTATTCCTGCCTAGAACTTTAGCTCTTCCTGGTTTTTCGCTGCTGCCCCCCCGCCGGCAAATCAGGCATGATTACTGTTGTTTAATCCCGTCTGTGCTGGTTGAGATTTGCTTGTATGTTCACTCATTTCTTTGTTGAGTCCTCTTTTCGCCTCTTTCTCCATCATCTGGTTCGGCTTAGTCGCCTGTGAAGTGCGCTCTGTGAGCCCTTCAGGAAAGCTTGCTGGCCGACTCCCTTTGCCTGAAGAAGTCTCCGTGTCCTCTTTTCTCTCGATTGGTAGTACAGCCAGGCGCAGGGACCTGGGCTGGCAGGTACTGTCACCTGTGACAGGGGAGTGCGTTTGCCTTTCCTCCGGCTCCTGCTGCTGCAGGAAGCGCGCTGTTGGGGGGGTCCACTGCTTCCTCTCTGAAACCTCCTCCCTCTCTGGCCTCCGAGGCTCTGCCTCGATCTGCTGTGTCCAGGGGCGTGTCTGCCCCACCTGTTCATTCTGCTGAGAGCTCAGGGTGTGCAAACCTTAAGATGTATGTCTTTCATCACTTCTGGAAGGTTCTCTCCTAATTATCGATTCACATACTGCCTTTTCCTCATTCTTGTATCCTTTCTTCCTAGGACTTCCACTTGGAGTATCTTGTGGCTTCTCATTCTGTTTTCCAAGTCTCTTAAATATAACAGAGAGGGTATCTCTGGGACCTTCTGGGAAAATGCCTCAGAACTATTTTCTAGTTTGGTTTTCTCTCCAGCTGGGTCTAATCTGCTTTTTTTTTTCCTTCCTTTACAGTGAGTTTTTAATCTCAGTGACTATATTTTTATCACTAGAATTTTTCTCATGTTATTTTTTCTAGTGTTATATTTTTAATTTTTTCTTTTATGCTTTTTAATTATTTAAAACATAGCTCTGTAGTGTTTAACAGATTATTTTATTATCTGAAATTCTTGGGGAGGTATGTAATCCTGTTGATTGCTTTCCACAGCTATTCTGGTTATTTTGGACTGGAAGTTCTTTTTTTTTTTTTCCATTGGTTTGAGAACGATTTCTTGCTCCACTTATTTATGCACTCGTTGGTTAATCCTTATATGTGTCCTAACCCGAGATAAAACCTGCAACCGTGGCCTAGCAGGACAATGCTCTGAGTGACTGAGCCACCCAGCCAGGGCACAAGTTAGTTCTTAACAGAGCTTCATGTATTGTGGGGACCCAGTGGGGCTTGGCGTGAGCGTATCCCTCTAGAGCAGTTTTCTGTTTTCTTCTGCCAGCTTAGAGCCATCTTCAGTTTTAACTTGGGGTGCTTCTGGACCATGCTGGGAGTATAACCCTGAACACCCCCTCCCCAAACCTGCAGCACGTGGCTGTGGACTTCTGAGGGGGCTGTTCTTTCCCAGCCCCACCGGGGCCAAGACCCAGACATAGTCGCCTTCCTGTACAGAGAAGCATGTGTTTTTCTGATCGGCCTTGTACCTGAGGACATAGCCCTTTGCAGGTCTTTGTTCTAAGCAGCATATCCGCGGTGGCTCACTGCGTTGTGCACAAAAGCCCCATCCCCTGTGCTGCGTTGAAGAACAGGCCCATAGGTCATGAAGACCAACGGGGGTTCCTGCTTTCAAGGGGATTGACCACTGCGAGCAAAATGTTGAATCTCGTTTGCCCAGCACTTTCGTGGCAGAAGTGTTTGCGGCAGGGGCGTTTTCCAGGTGCTGAGGCTCTGCCCTAGTGCCAGAACTCAGTCCGCGCACTGTGCCACGTGGGCCAGCCCGCCTCGCGTCAGAACCTGGGAAATGGTTTGTCAGTGGAGCCTTCCAGAGAGCGGGCGCCGCCACCAGCCCCGCCTGGCGCTGCCCCGAGCCTGGTGTCGGTATTCGTTGCGCAGCGCTCCCCACAGCCACGGGCAGCCTTGAACGCTGGCCTGGGGCCGAGCTCTTTCCCGGCATGAGCGTAGCTTAAAAGATGAGCACAGCAATATTTTTGGCTACTAATAAGCTTTGTGAAGAAAATATTTGAAAAATCAGATCTCTTCTCCCCCCCCCCCCCCCAATCTGAGGCCCAACGAGACCTTTATCATCGGCACCACCCCAGCACCTTCACTTGTCAGAGGTGGACAGAGGACTCAGGGGTGCAGTTCGTTTCTCTCTGGTAGGACCGAGATAATCGTCTTCATCCTAAACTCGGGCCAGTCGACAGCTGAGTGTCGTTTGTGGGTCATGCCCCTGCCCGTCCTGCAGGAAAAGGTGGAGTGCTGCTGTCAGGCTCACGGCTCTCTGCTCACACAGAGGTCCTCGTGGCTCCTCTCGGGCCCTCGCCGGCCGCCTCCGACACCGAGGAACGCTCTGATTCGATAGTTCCAGTGTCCGCCTGTCACTTTCACATACCCCTCATCACGGGGCTGCTCCCTCTGAAACCGAAGCCAAGCCTCACTGGTCTTTGAACAGGTCTCTCAGCGCCTTGGGCTGCGTGCCCTGGTGCCAAAGGGCCCGTGGTCGGAAAAGGTTAAGAACCCAGTGGTGTTTAGCAGGGAAGTGTCATGTCCAGGCCATAGTCGGGGGGTCACTGTCGTCTCCCTTGGGCCTTCGGCTGACCCTGAGGTTTGAACACAGCGTTCGAATGGGATGACTCAGATCGGTTCTTTCCTCCTTCAGGACTGATGAAGCCCATGGTGACCCAGGAGTCCCTCAGTGGGACCGGCTGTCGCTCTGAGGGCCAGAGCCGTGTGCCCCCGCTGCAGGAAAGGAAGGTGACTGCCATCGACCCAGCCCCTGTGTGGAGCCCCGAGGGCTACATGGCGTTGCAGAGCAAGAGCTATTCGCTCCCCCACCCAAAATCCAGCGACACTTTGGCCATGGACATGCACGTCAGGTGAGGCAGACTTGGTGCTGCCGGCCTGTGCCTGAAGGAACAGGCGCTGTCCGGGGAGACGCTGCTGGGGGATGGGGGCTCCTGGGAGGGGACTGCCAGCGCCCTCTGGGGAAGGAGCGTGATGAGTATGGCGTCCATGCTGAGGTGGGGGCGGTGCTTCTCTGATGATGGGACTGAGGCTGAGGCCACAGCATGATGAGGGTCAGAGGCAGATCTCTGAGCCAGGGGCAGGGCGAGGAGGCGGGGCGTGGGGCTGGCAGGCGCGACAGGCGTGTGGGGCGTGTCTCCCCCCTGTGCAAGTAAAGCGGGTGGGCCCTGCTGGCCCGGGCCCAGCTCTGCAGACCCCCAGGCTCCAATGTGGTGTCGGCGCCGAGGACCCCCAGCTGCTGTCTCCAGGGTGGCACCCTTTACTCTCTGGACTCCAGGGGCGACTGCCCATGCAGGGCCCAGCCGCTCTGAGACCTGTTTAAGGATAGAGGAAATGTTGGTGCTTATGGGGTTTTTTCTTTTTCTTGTCCCCCTTTATTTTTTTTTAAACATTTTTTTCTTTTTGAAACTCAGCTCTACATTCAGCGTAGAAAGCAGGACCCAGGCTCCAATCACATTGACTGATTTTTCTGGTTCCTTTTCAGGAACGAAAGCTCTTTCTCTGCCTCCCCCGGAAGGTCAGGGGGCGTAAGTGCGCAGCGCGGCCTCCTTGAGGAGAGAGTGGAGGAGTACTTGAGTGCTTTTGACAAGAAGTCCCCAGCAGACTTTGACAGCTGTGTCTCTTCTCAAAGAGTAGGCCAGGAGCTTTTGTTTCCCAACCAAGAAAATATACAGGACGCAGGTGCTCCTGGGGGTCACACCCCGAACCTCAGGTGTTCCCCGCTGCAACCTGACTTCGCCCCAGCCGAGAAAAAGCCAGAGTATAGCAGTTGGGACGTTAGCCACCAGCCCAAGGCTGCTGACACAGCTGACAGCACGGAGGAGCTGCCCCGCGAGGAGCCGCCCTTTAGCGTCTCCTCCTGGGAGAAGGAAGGGAGCCCCCACAAGCAGCCATCCTTGGAGCCCGAGTGGACCCCTGCGCCCCGGAGCGCCGGCAGCCAGCACCAGGAGCAGGCCAGCAGGACCCGGAGGTCCGGGCCTATCAAGAAACCCGTACTAAAAGCCCTCAAGGTGGAAGACAAGGAGAAGGAAGTGGACAAGAGCAAGCAGGAGCTGGGGGAGGAGAGTGCCCGCCTGGCCACCAAGGAGGAGGCGCCACCGAGCCCCCAGGCTGGAAAGGACGAGGATGAGGAGAACAACCCCACGCTGGCCAACTCCGCGCCCCCTGCCCCAGAGGCCCAAGGCTCGGCCCGTGCTCGTTTGGGCTGCCCAGCCAGCAAGTCTGAAGAGGACGAGAAGCCCGACAGGGCCTGGGAGACCAGACCCTCCCGGGAGCCCAGTGACACGCCCCCGACGAAGAGGAATAACTGGATCTTCATTGACGAGGAGCAAGCCTTTGGGGGCCGAGGGCAAGCCCGGAGCCGCGGCCGTGGGTTCCGAGAATTCACTTTCCGAGGCCGGCCTGCTGGTGGCGGCAGCCCCGGCATTTGTGGCGGAAGCGTCCTCGGGGCGCGGGGCATCTACACCAACAGCCAGAGGAGCTGCCGTGGCCGGGGACTGCGCGAGTTCGGTCAGCCTGAGGACTTCCCCAGAGCGAAGCCCCGGCGCCGCATCGCCAGCGAGACCCACAGCGAGGGCTCCGAGTATGAAGAGCTCCCCAAGCGGCGGCGGCAGCGAGGCTCGGAGAGCGGCCCCGAAGGCCCGCCCCTGGACAGGGAGGAGGGTGCCTTGAAGAAAGGCGACTTCAAAGACTCCTGGCGGTCCAACAAGATGTACTCTGACGACCACAGTGGTCTGGAGGCAAAGAGCAGAGGCCCACGGGCCTTCGGACGAGCCCTCCCTCCCCGGCTCAGCCACTGCAGCTATGGGCGGAGAACCTTCGTGTCCAAGGAGTCGGCCCACTGGCAGAGCAAGGGCCCCGGCCCCTGCTGGCAGGACCACGGCTCCCCTGACGCCTGCAGCTCCCGGCGGCCTGCAGACAGAGACTACGTCCCAGAGGCCTACAGACACCCTGACTCATTCGGTGCCAGGGGCTTCGAGGACAGCCGCCTGGATGACAAGAGGACCTTCTTCCAAGACGACCACGTTGCAGACTCTGAGAGCGCGGAGAGCCGGCCCTTTAGGAGGAGGCGCCCCCCACGCCAGGATAAGCCCCCTCGCTTCAGGCGCCTCCGGCAGGAGCGTGAATCCTTGGGCCTGTGGGGTCCTGAGGAGGAGCCGCCCCTGCTTGCGGGCCAGTGGCCAGCCCGGTCCAAACTCTGTCCTGGGGACAAGAGCGGGGCCGTAGGCCGCAGGTCCCCCGAGCTCTCCTACCAGAACTCCTCTGATCACGCCAACGAAGAGTGGGAGACGGCCTCCGAGAGCAGTGACTTCAGCGAGCGGCGTGAGCGGCGTGACGGCCCCGGGGCCGAGCCCAGCCCCCAGGTGGACGGCAGCCTGCCCGGGGCAAGCCTCGGGGAGAAGAAGGAGCTGGCCAAGAGGAGCTTCTCCAGCCAGAGACCGCTGGTGGACAGACAGAGCCGGAAGCTGGAGCCGGGAGGGTTTGGCGAGAAGTCTGCTAGGCCAGGAGGTGGTGACGCTTCTCCCCGTTTTGAGAGCCAGCAGAATGGGACGCCTCTGAAAGCCAAAAGGTAAAGCAGAAACAGAGCCCGGGTCCCTTTGGTGGCCGTTGTTCTGTCACTGAGCCAGTTCTTTGAGCAGCACTTCACGCGTGCCTGTTCTGCTGTGTGTCGGGTGCCCCGACTCTCCCGTGCGCGCAAGTGCAACTGCCCGCCAGGCCCTTGAGTGTGAGTGTCTCCAACACTTGCCCCTGCACCGCTTGTCTGCTTCTCTGTGGCGTTGTGTTATTGTGGCTTGAGAACTAAAGCCAAAACTAGAGTCCCCACCCCAGTGGTCCTCATATGGTGGCTGTCCTAGCACCTGTCCCAAGTTCAGCCTCTCTATGTGCCCTGGGAGGTCCCACTGAGGGGCCACCACAGCAAGGTGCCTGGTGAGCCCTGCCCAGGCCCCAGTGCGTCTGCCGTGGGGCTGCCCGGCAGCGTCCCGGGCGGTGCTGGCTGCCTGGCCTCAAAGGCAGCTTCTAGAGCAGCTCTGCTGCCCCACGAGGAGGAGTTGTGGCGCCCCTGCTGGGACTGAGAGAAAGGCAGAGGCAGCGGGGAGTGCGCTGCCTGAGGCCCGGAAGTGTCTCTGGCCCAGAATTAGCAGCTTCGCTACGGGTGCCTGGGATCAGGGAGGGGTGGCCCTGTGGGGCGGCAGGGAGTTGCTGGTGTGGGTCAGGCCTCCGCATGCTGGGGAGATGGCTTCCCTCCTCCCTCTCCTCAGAATTCAGATGTAGTTCTTACCCCAGCAGAGGAGCCATAGGACATGCTGACTCTTCAAGAGTCGGTCTAGTCTGTCTTCCCAGGATGCAGATGTCGAGGCTGCGCCTTGCTTCAGGCTTCCGCCCCAGCAGCCCTGGGGTGGGGCATGGCCTGGGCACCCTGCCGGTCCGAGTCCCGCAGCTCTGCTCTGCGCCCTCCCCGCTCTCCTGGGGGAGCCTCGCCGAGCTTGGCTCACAGTGGGAAGGCCCAGAGCTCCTGAGCCCCGGGACGGGTGGGCGGGAGCAGCTTTCCAGTGCGGAGGCAGCGCTGGCTGACAGCGGGGCTACAGGGGTGCCTGCCGGCGGCCTTCCCCACGGCCTGCACATGGCGCACTGCTGCCTGGAGCGGCTTCCAGAATGAGGGGCGGTGGGTGCAGGCCAGGCGAGTCCGCGTGCTGTGTGCTTATGCAGTTTTGCCTCTCCCCGCCTTCCTCAGCCCCTGGACCCATCAGAAATAATGGGGTCCTCCTTCCTCACAGGTCCCCGGATGAGGCCTTGCCAGGAGGTCTAGGCTGTAGCAGTGGGAACGGCCACTACACCTTGGAGCGGGGAGCCCATGTCACCTCGGACATCCCCGAAGCCGCCTGTGAGAAGGCAGAGGAGGCCCAGCTGGCTGTGCAGAGGGCGGGCGAGCAGGGAGAGGCCATGAAGCAGTTCGACCTGAACTATGGAAGTGAGTGTCGCCTCGCATCTTGGCGGGGAACAGAGCCAGGTGAAATGGGGCCTTGCTCGGGGGAGGCCGCCACCTCTGCCCTCACACTCACAGTCTGGGCCGCTGGGTAGGCCCTGGGCCACATTCTGGGGTTGCAGAGGCAAGACTCATGCGACCCCTGCCCTTGTGTTGCTCACAGCTTGCTGAGCCCCCATAACTGCCCTACTGTACCCCAGTTCTAAAGAGGGAAACCTGAGGCCCAGAGAGATTGAGTGGTTTGTCCAGGGTCACATGGCTGGTTAGGAACAGAGCTGGGTCTTACATGTCTCTGTCTCCAAAGGCTTCTCTGAACCATAGTGTTACTTAAGCCTCTTTGCTTTGTGTTAACGGTGTGTTAGAGGGTGTATAGGACGGGTGTAGCAGCCACAGCCAGTTTCTGTAGCTGCCAGTGAGTGTAGTGCTCCTTGGAGGTATCAGGCCAGGCACTGCCCAGCTTTCAGAGCTGAACCCATCCTTAGGTATCAGTTCCCTGTAGGTCTGGGTTATTCTTGGTTTCTGGTGAGTGGAACATGGTCCCTTCTTGTGACTTCGTGGTTCAGGTTCCATCATTGAGAATTGCGGGTCCAGCCCCGGGGAGGAGGCTGAGGTGGGCTCCATGGTGGGTGAAGGCTTCATTGAAGTCCTGACCAAGAAGCAGCGCCGCCTGCTGGAGGAAGAGAGAAGAAAGAAGGAGCAAGCCGTGCAGGTAAGGGGCGCGAGGGGAGGGGCAGCTGGGCGGAGGGCCGGCTGGTGATGCAGGGAGACCAGAGTCAGGAGGATGAGAGTTCCGCATTAAGCCCAAGGTTGGGGGTGGGGGACAGTCCTTTAGCACATTCCCTGCCGCCCTGTGCCAGCTGCAGAAGCCTCGCTGGGCAGGGTGCAGGCCCTCGTCAGCCCCCAAGTCCATTCTCCTTCCACTGAGCCCTGGCCTGAGTGGGGTGAGACGCGTCACCTTAGGAGTCACGAGGGGTGGGGACCCTGTGCTCACGTGGCATCAGTGGGACACTGCCGCTTGTCCAGTTGTTGGGAGTTCGGGGCCACGGTCCCTTGGACATCAGCCCTTTGCAGGTGTGGTTTGTTCGACGCTGAGCGGTGTGTGTGGTGGGGGCCCTGAACAGCGAGCGGCCCAGTATCCCTGGGGCACGTCGTCCTGGTTTTGGTGCCCCAGACACTTTTCCTGGGGAGAGTTTGTCATTCTTCACGCCTGAGGTCCAGGATGGCTGACACTACCTCTTTTTCCTTAGGTGCCCGTCAAAGGTCGAGGTCTCTCCTCCCGGATCCCTCCTCGGTTCGCGAAGAAGCAAAACAATCTGTGCCTGGAGCAGGGCGACGCGCCTGTGCCGGGCAGCAGCCTGGGCACCGAGATCTGGGAGAGCGGCAGCCCCGGTAGGAGTCGGGGGTCGGGCTCAGATGCGTAGCCTGCTTGCGGCTGTTGTCTTCTTAGGGAGCGTCCTGCTTTTGGGGCCCTGAATGGAGATGGGGTACGGCCGGCTCCCTGGCAGCCTCTGCGAAGCCAGAATGTTAGGCACCGTCTTAGCGCCACTTGCTCCGGGGGCCCCTGAGCAGATGTGAACTTCCCGCCTCGCATTTGGTGGAAGAGCAGAGAGCACCTGGCAGTCCTGAGATCTGGAAAGGGACAGCCACATCCCCACCCGGCAGAGGGCGCCGGGGAGCTGGCTGGCTCCCCAGCCCACGCTGCTTATCCTTGCCTGTGACGTGGTGGAAGAGCAACGGGGGGCTGCTGGGGTGGGGAGCAGAGTCCCGAGCTTTCTGACCTGTACTCCAGGCCCTTCTCCAAACCAGAAGGCAGGTGCTGACAGCTCCGCCCAGAAATGCTTAGAAAGACAGACTTTAGGCTGAAGTGAGGTGGATTTTGCCTTTTACGAAACTAGTTTCCCTTAATTTAAAAAAAAATTCTATGTTTAAGGCTATTTTTCTGGTAATTTAAGATACAAAATTATCTTAATTGAGCAGATTCCTCTTGAATGCCTGCTCTGGCCAGGGCCCTGCATGGTCCACAGATGGATAAAACAAGGGGCGCCTCCCAGGGGAGCATAGAGAAATCATCTGCTTCCAGCTTATTTATAAACAAAGTAGCCAAGACGTTCAGAGTGGAGTGACTTGATCTCAGAGCCACGTGAGTCACCTAAGACTCTGGGGCTTGGGCCGCAATTCTTTCCGTTTTCCCGCATGGCCGTCTTCATGTTCCTGGTGAAGCCCTTGGTCCCAACACGTTGCAGAAGGACACTGGATAATGCTCAGCTCTGAAAGTGCGATGACCTTTTTTTTTTTTAAGGTTTTAATTATTTTTAGAGAGGAGAAGGGAAGGAGAAAGAGGGAGAGAAACATTAGTGTGTTTTTGCCTCTCACACCTCCCCTGCTGGAGACCTGGCCCGCAACCCAGGCATGTGCTCTGACTGGGAATTAAACTGGCGACTGTTTGGTTCGTAGGCTGGCTCTCAGTCCACTGAGCCCCACCAGCCAGGGCTGATCTCCTAATGAAATACTAATGTCGGACACTCGGCGAGTGTATCCGTGATGGCTGTCGTCACTGGTTGGGCAGAGTGGACCCGGTGCAGGAGCTGGCTTCAGAGGCCTGGGATTGCGCAGTCCCACATGAACGTGCGCACGCACAGGGTTGCAGGGTGACCTGTGAGCTCACTCCATTTCAGTAGCAGCGCCTTGGACTGCTCAGAGGCTTTGTAGCAGCTCCCAGCTGGTAGAAATAAATAGTGGGCTTCAGTGAAGGAGAGCTTCGCCACTGCGGAGATAGCAACACGGCCCTAGCAGGAGTGCGCGAAAGTTGCTGGTGTGTTTACTGCACCATCTGATCCCGTTTACGGAGCTTTGAGAGTGTTGGGAAGGTGGTGAAGCTCCCAGACCAGAGCTGTGTGTCAGATCTGTTCACTGGCATGTTGTTGTTTGGCAGGGGCCTTGAGGGGACTTGGGTTCGCGTCAGCTGCACCGGTGCTTGTCTTCGCAGCCTGGTTGTTTCTCTTCGATGCCCTGACTCTTGTCTTCCTCCCCTGGCAGCCCTTCCAGTTCAGGCCTCAACCAATGACTCCTGGACTAAAGCCGCCACTGCCTTCAACAGTGCCGAGTCTGGCTCTGCCGAGGTGAGTGGCGCTGAGCTGTTCAGGACGAAGCCTGTGCCCCCTGGCCCTGTGCCCAGCTTGCCCTGGGCCTTGTTCATCCTGGCGGCCCGCCCAAGCTTCCTCTCTGAGGTGCCAGTGTGAGAGCGAGGAAGAGGAGGGGTTACTAGGGAGACGGGCCGTGTAGAGCGAGTGCCTGAGGTGCTCGCCTTCAGGCCTGTGACGGGTTCGCTCAGTTTGGTTTGGGTCACAGGGAGATGAGTGTGGCAGTCTCGGTCCAGGGCCCCCGGGAGCCGTACGGTCATGCGCTCGGCGGGTTTGGTGCGCTTGGCCGTGGGCCTTCAGCTGTCAGGGCCGGGCCCACCCGACTCAGGACAAGGCTACACGGGCGGGCGGTGGGGGGCTGGGTCTCAGTGCCAAACCTGGCCTCGCCTCTTGGGTGCTGGCGGTTCAGGGTCTGGGGGCGAGGGCTCTAACCCATTTTGCGCCTTGCACAGCAGGGGTTTAAGAGCAGCCAGGGCGATAGTGGCGTTGACTTGAGCGCCGAGTCTCGAGAGTCATCCGCAACCTCCTCGCAGCGCAGCTCCCCATATGGCACTCTGAAACCAGAGGACATGAATGGGTCTGGCCTAGAATCCAAGGCTGACAGCCACAAGGAGCAGGCCCAGAAGCAGCCTGAGCAAAAGGTGACCTGGGAGTCCCGTTCGCGGGGGCCAGGGCCTGGGCAGAGGGCTCGCTGTCTTCTGTCTCCTGCCCCCATTCCCGGGGGTTTAAGAGCTGTAGATGAGTGTTGTCTAGCCTGTGTGTCTCAGCCTCTCTGCTTTCCCATTTAGGATTCGGAGCAAGGCTCAGGACAGAGCAAGGAGCACAGGCCAGGCCCCATCGGCAATGAGCGTTCTCTGAAAAACAGGAAGGGCTCGGAGGGGGCTGAGCGGTTGCCGGGGGCCGTTGTCCCACCCGTGAATGGAGTGGAGATCCACGTGGACTCTGTGCTCCCGGTGCCGCCCATCGAATTTGGAGTCAGTCCAAAAGTGAGGCTTTGATCTGTTCCTTTTTTCCTTTTTGTTTTTTTACCTTGGGGAGGAAGGCGGGCGCTCAGGCAGGTTGTCTTGTAGAAAGAGCAGGGCGATGGGAGCTGGGGGCCCTCGGGGGGTGCGTGTCAGCATGGAGTCGTGGACAGAGGCACCAGTTGCCAGCCTTCACAGTGTCCCGCCGATACCAGCCGGGCTCTCAGGCTGAGCTGGCTGGGGGGCCCCTCTGCACTGGTCGGGTTGGCCATTGGGCAGTGGCACAGGGAGGAAGGGGATGAGGGATGGCACATGCCATCGGGAAACATTTGGCCACGCGGTTTACGTGGTGAGTTCTGCTTAGTGGCGCTTTGACCCGCTAGGCTGTGGGTCAGATTAAGGCCTGTCTCTGCCAAAAGGTGAGCCAGGACGACGGCAGTGGGCGCTGTTGCCTTTTTCAGGACTCCGATTTCAGCTTGCCGCCGGGCTCCGCCTCCGGTCCCACAGGGAGTCCAGTTGTCAAGCTTCAGGATGCCTTGGCCAGCAATGTAAGCAGATGCTTCCACCTCTGGCCCCCAGCTCCCATCCCTGCGCTGGCTGGCTCTGGGAGAGTAGAGCCTGGGTGGCGCTTTGAAACCAGGGTGTGACCCTGCCGTGGCCGGGGGGTCTGGCAGACCTGGGTTTGGGTCATGATGCAGTTTCTAGCTAGAGATGCGTCTTCCAAGTATTTGAGTATTCCACACCCAGTTTAGAGAACTGAAAGTGGGCTAATGTCTTTCCTAGACCGGGTTTATTTGGCGTTCTTCGATTCTGTGTTCTTCCACGCTCCGTGGTCACGTGTTTGAGAATGCTGGGCTAATCAGGCTTCCTCGCCCTGAGATGTCTTAGGGTCCTGTAACGCGCTGGCAGGCACTGCGCATCTGCAGGAGGAGGGTCTCGCAGTTGCATTTCTGAACCTTTGTTACCGGGGACCTCTTCTCTGCAGTCCCCTGGGGGCTGAGGCAGGACCTGGAGGTCTCCAGGCCTGCATGCTGGCAGCCAGGAGTTTTTATGTTGCTGGCACACAACTGACTGTTCTGCCAGAGGGCTTGGGGCGGGTGGGTGTGGAGGGGCTCTCTCGGGACTCCTGTCGAGGGTGTCCGGGAGGGTGGCTCTGCGCAGGAGATAAACCAGGCTGGGCTGCCGGCTGCATTGTCTCAGTGCGCCTAGCCAAACCCAAGGTGCATCCTGACACCTTGTCTCACTCCGCTGTGCCTGCTTGTTCATGATTTCCTGTCCCCTCCAGGCTGGGTTGACACAGAGCATCCCCATCCTCCGTCGTGATCATCACATCCAGAGGGCCATCGGCCTCTCCCAGATGTCCTTCCCCACTGCCGACCTCACTCTGAAGGTAACCCCTAACCCCGGCTCTGCGCTAGGCCAGGCCCCTCACAGCCTTAGCCTGTGAAGGGGCAGGAATAGGCAGCCCTTCCCACCCCCGGGGCCTAGGTTTGTGCTGCCTGCTGCCTTGCCCTGGTGATTTTGAGCCCTCTCCTCCCCTTGCTTCCGAAGATGGAGTCAGCACGAAAGGCTTGGGAAAACTCGCCCAGTTTGCCGGAGCAGAGCTCTCCAGGAGGCGCTGGCTCAGGCCTCCAGCCCCCGTCCTCTGTGGGAGCCTCCAGCGGGGTCAACTACAGCTCCTTCGGTGGAGTGTCCATGCCGCCCATGCCTGTGGCCTCTGTAGCCCCTTCCGCTTCTCTTCCAGGTACCTCCGCCTGGGCCCTCTCCATTCGCCCTACAGAAGCAGGCCTGCTGGCCTGTGCCCTGCCCCGCCTTGCCTGTGGGAGTCTGTTCAAGTGGGTGCTGGTTTCTAGGCTGGGTGATCGTGGCTCCCCACGGCTGCAGATGATTCGCACTTACTTCCTGCTCCCCACCTTCCCTCCCGGGAGGCGGAGCCTCATGACTGGCCAGGGCTCCCACCTCCTGGAGAGAGGAGCGAGCAGGCACTGGCTCTGAGTTGGACCTGGGTCAGATGGGGACCATGTCACCGCTGCTTGTGAGCAGCTCAGCTCCAAACCTCCCTCCATCCCCTGCTCTGTAAAGTAAGCTGGGGGTGAGGATGGCCCTCCACGAGGCGGCCACACCCCGGAGCGGAGCTCACACCTGGAAAGGCCCTTGTATCAGCTGAGCCCTCCAGCAGTGGTGGCGACGACTGTCCTTACTGTCACCATCCTGGTCCTTGTGTTGGTCCCCAGAGGGAGAGAGCGGGGATTGTGAGGCCCCAGCTGCCAAGGTCTCGGTGATGCAATTCCAATAGATCCTTCTGATCCTCCACTGTGGACTCAATAGCAGGGAGATGAAGAAGACAGTGACTGAGAGACCCAGGCAGCCCTAGTTCCAGGGCCGGTGCTCCTGAGGGTGGGTGCTGGACGAGCAGTTAGGTGGCCAGGGTGGTCTGGAGCCACCTCTCCCCTGGGCCCTTGTGCTGCGGCCTCTCCAGGCTCCCTGCGGTGCTGCAGGGCCCACAGCAGGGGGCTGAGCAGGCCCTGCACTCGCTCCCCAGGAGAGTACGCGCGTGCTGAGCATGTCCCCTAAGGGGACCTTGGGAACCCAGAGACCTGATCCTGTTCTGACTCCTTGGATTCTGTCCCCAGGCAGCCACTTGCCACCTCTCTACCTGGATGGCCATGTGTTTGCAAGTCAGCCCCGGCTGGTCCCTCCAACGATACCTCAGCAGCAGAGTTACCAACAGGTGATGGCAGCAGGCCAGGTGGCCCGGTGGGGGGCGGGTGTGGCATCGTTACTTCCTTCTCTCACTCGTCGTGTGTCTCTTTCTCTGTATCCCTCATGTGTCTTGCCCAGCACCTGGCATGGTATGGCAGCCAGTCAGGGCTGTGAAATGAATGAATGAGAGACCAGGAATGGAGCTCAGTGCTCCAGGCTTGCCCTCGCTTTTCTTTCTCAGAGTTCTCCTTCCTGTGTCCTAGCGGGGGAGTTAGCGGAAGCACATTCTCTGTGGTGATCAGTGTCCTTCAACGAAGCGGACAAAGGCCTGGCCTTCCAGGCACGGTGTGCTAGAAGGAGGCAGTTTTAGACATGAGCAGGTGTTTGTTTTTATGCAGGATTGGCACAGCTTCGGTGCTGCAAGGGGGTGATTTCTGCAGGTCTCCTGAAGTTGGGGTGGGCCTTCCGAATGATCCAGCACCCCTAGACCCGTGTGTCTGCGTAGACCAGGCGCATGGAGCTCTTGGGCAAGGCACTGCTCTGAGTGCAGGTCGGGACAGAGGACTTGGCCTGTCCTGACCATCTTAAAATGTGTCCTTAACTGTTACGTTCTGTAGTGGCATAAGATTGGGGTCTTCTCATAACTGTGTCACGCTGCACATGTTCTGTATGGGGTCGTCCTTTCACCATTGTGTTCTGGGGACCCTCTGCCGGTGTGCGTAGCCGGGACTTGCACTCTGCCGTGCGGGGCCCAGGAGTGCCGAGGGACACAGGAAGGGTGCGCTGTGACCTGCATTGGGGGCAGTGCTCCAGCTGCCGCGCAGACGGGGTCTGGGAGCTGGGAGGGAGCGGGGAAATCCAGCTTGTCAGAGGGCACTGCAGTGACCCGCTCGGCTTCCCCCCACAGGCCGCCGCCGCCCAGCAGATCCCGATTTCCCTACACACGTCTCTGCAGGCCCCGGCACAGCTGGGCCTGAGGGGCGGGCTCCCCGTCTCCCAGTCACAGGAGATCTTCAGCTCCTTGCAGCCCTTCAGGTGAGGGGGCGGGGGCGGGGGCAGCTCCCGGCAGGGCTCAGACCTCTGCAGCGCTGTTCCCTTTGTTCTGTTAGGCTCCCTGCTCCTCTGCCTTGGGGCCTTGGGAGTGGGTGTAGGAGAGCCTGGCCCCTTACAGCCATCAGCTGCACTGCAGGCCAGGCGGGCCGGCTCCCTCCTGCACCTCCGCCGCCCCACTCCCTCCTCCGCGCCTTTGGCTGCTCAGTCTGGGTCTCACTTCTGGTGCTTTTGGCATCACACAGGTTTTCCTGTGCCTTGTCCGTGTGTTCATTTGTTTAATCCAGTGATGCTCAAACTGGTCCCCAGAGCAGCTGCATCTGCACCGTCTAGGATGGGTGTCCAGCCTTTTGGTGTCTCTGGGCTGCACTGGAAGAAGAGTTGTGTTGGGCCACACACTAAATACACAAACACTAACAAAGACAGATGAGCAAAAAAACGATTTTAAGTAAATTTATGATTTTGTGTTGGGCCACATTCACAGCCACACTGGGGCCGCAGGTGGGACGCCCCTGATTCTGGGAGGTGGTTATAAATGCATGTTCTGACTCAGATCTGAGTCAGAAGCTCTAGGGGCGGCCGTGGTGCATTTCGCAGGCCCCATGGGGGCTCAGATCGCCTGGAGTGCCCGCGCACCTGAGCCCCACCCTCCGGCTGGCCTTTGCAGATCTCAGGTGTACATGCACCCCAGCCTGTCGCCGCCCAGCACCATGATCCTCTCTGGAGGCACAGCCTTGAAGCCTCCGTACTCGGCGTTCCCCGGCATGCAGCCCTTGGAGATGGTGAAGCCACAGTCCGGCTCGCCCTACCAGCCCTTGAGTGGAAGCCAAGCCTTGGTCTACGAGAGCCAGCTCGGCCAGGCCGCTGGCCTCGGCGCCTCTCAGATGTTGGACTCCCAGCTCCCCCAGGTCAGGACTTCAGCCTCGCTCACCCGAAACGCTAGGCCTCATTTCCTCATGGTGGTTTTCCCTTTGTCTGCCCCTTGATGTGTGCTGACTCACATGCCGTTTGTAGCTCCCGTGACTGGTCCCTGGCTGCTAGAACCAGGGCCAGATGCGTAGCCTTTTCTGAGTAGCCCTATCACGTCTGTCCCTTTGTCCTGGCCTCCCCTGGGAGCACTGCTCCCACGCTCGCTGAGGCGTCCCAGCTCTCCCAGACCGTGTCCCGAGTCCAGGTCTGTCTCCGGACCTGAACGCAACTCCCGTGGGCTGCCCACGTCTCTGCTCTGATGCCTCATGGCATCTCAAACTTGTAGGAGTATTGTGTCCCCACCATGACGATTTTCTCCCTGGTCCTTCAGGCTGTCCAGCCCACGTCACCCTAGGGTGCATTCTTTCCCTCACACCTCCGTGGCTCCCTTGGCGCAGGTCCTGTTGCCTCTGCTTTTGAAAAGTGCTCGGAGTCCAGCCATTGCCTGTGCCTGCACCCGCCTCCCTGCCCAGGCCTGGGCAGCCCCTTCGCTGCTCCTGTTCTTGGGCCCAACACTCCCTTAGCTCAGCAGCCAGGGAGCCCCTTTAAAACCCGGTCTGGTCACGCACCCCCTGAGCCAGTGCTGCCGGCGTGTCCATCCTGCGCCCCATGGTGCACAAGGCAGAGAGCCGGGCCGGGAAGCTCTGGCTGCCACGTGTCTCGGTGATGCAGTTCCAATAGATCCTTCTGACCCTCCACTGTGGACTCAAAGCAGGGAGATGAAGAGGACAGTGACTGAGAGACGAAGCGTGGCCTACCCTGGGCCCCGTCCTGAGCGTCTCAGGCCCGTGCCCACCTATCGCGCACCTGTTCTGGACGTTAGAAGGGGTCACTTGGCCTCGGCAGTCACCCGGTTTGTCTGGCTTAATGTGCTTTAAGAGCATCCAAGAGGCTCCAGTTCGGTTCTGAGAACCCAATGCCCAGAACCCTGTTGAGTCTTGTCCCCTCCCCTCTCTCTGTAGGCAAAGCAGTAATGGAGTTGGCCTGTCCGCAGCGCACAGGGCGCTGAGGTGCCCTTCCCTGACTCTTCCCTCGCCCCACACGCGTGGAGTTCGCTGCCTGGGCCGTGCACCCTGGCGCCCCACAGCCGTGTCCAGCACGCCTCTGCAGTGTCGTTTCGTTTCTGGGTCTGCCAGGGTCCTGGTGCTTCCCCAGCACGGAATGTGCATTCAGCGAGCCTTTGTTAGGTAGAAGCACAAAGGGCTGGGGACACGCACAGCCCTTGGCTGGCGCAGAGAGGAGCGGCACACTAGCCCTGCGGCCCTGGGCGGCTGCTGCCAGTCTCGCCTGCGGTCAGTTCCTTGCCACCCACTCTATTCCAGCAACAGACTTACCCCTCCTGTTACATGTAAAGTCCGGGTGACCTGCGCTGGTCTCTAAGGGGAACCGCGAGTCCTCACTGCTATATGAAGGCCTCACGTTAACCCTGCTAAAATAAGCATCTGAAGTCTAGCATGCAGTTGCTCTTGAGTGCGTGTGTCGCTGGTGGTTTGTGGCTTTCTCCCCAACCTCCCTGCTCCTCCTGACTGTCCCTGTTGTCAGCAGCTGACGATGCCACTGCCCGGCTCCCAGCTGCCTCTGCCCCGGTATGGCTCCGGGCAGCAGCCCCTGATCCTGCCGCCGTCCATCCAGCTGCCGCAGGGGCAGAGCCTCTCTGTCGGGGGCCCCCGCAGGGTCCTGCCGCCCGGCTCCCAGCCTTCGGTCCTTAACACCAGCAGAGAGGTAAGCACGGCTCCTTTGTCTCATCAAGTCTTTCAAGTTAGTCAGCCTCCACTGTTGTGGCATAAAGCGCAAGCGGTCTCAGGTGCAGCTACCGACTGCCTGCTCACTGTGAGTTCCCCTCACAGTCCCGCTCAGGACACCCGGGTGGTGCATAAGCTAGCAATGGAGACAGGCCCGGGTGTGCGAGAGGAAGGTGGGTGCAGCTGGCGCCCGAGTTCCCTTCCTTTGGACGAGGGGCATCTGCGGAGGCCAGTTCAGGCGCAGGCCCCAGAGATCAGGTAGAGTCGGGGGTGGGCGGGGCTCAGGTCCAAGGATCTGCACTCCCCGCTGGCACCCAGGGTTCTGCTGAGGGTGCCGCCCTCCGGGGTAGAGAGGCCATGCGCGCAGCCCGGCCAGTGCCCTGTGGTGGTGCACCGGCCACTCTCCCTGGCTGCTTCAGAGAGAGAGGACACTAGCACACCTCCAAGGATGAGCCCTCAAGCCTGGGTTCCTTTAGGAGCTGCCTGTCTGTCCAGAAATTCTCCTGGGTCTTCCTGGGCCCCCCTCAGCTCATTCTGGGGTGGTTCAGCGAGGGCCAGGCTGTCCCCAGGACCACCAAATAGCAACTCGTACTTCTTGGTCTCTTTAGTCCTCTCAGATGGAGATAAAGGGCTTCCACTTTGCCGACAGTAAACAGAATGGTCCTTCAGGAGGCTCCATGCCGTCAGCACCGACCTACAGGTGAGGAAGTGCCTGGGGTGGAAGCTGCAGCCGGGCTGGGGCTCAGAAGAGCCGGAGGGCCCTGGGAGGGCAGCGTGGGGCGCCCAGGCAGCACATCCTGTGAAATTCCCGTGCCAGACACCTCGTGCTGTCGGCCACGGGAAAACCAGGGGAGGGGTTTGTCTTTATCGTCGTCGTCAGGGGCTCTGGTGGGAGAGCCTGGTGGACAGGCGGGAAAAGGAGCAGCTGACATTTTCACTGTGTCGGACTGGCCCTGGCACTTGCGGCTTCTCCCAGCTTTTAAAGAGGGTTCAGTGGCCAACGAGGTGCAGCCCGGGCGGGGAGGGCCTCCTTCAGGGCCTTGTGCTACTGGGCCGTGGGGCTCTGCCGTACCCAGAAGGACGGGCACCTTCCCGGCCTCCTTCGTGCCAGCCTCTGCCTCCAGTGTTGGCCCCAGGCCCCTTCGCTGGTTCAGAGATGGCTGTGTATGAGTTACCTTGTTGAATCACTTACTACACTGAGAAGTCAGAGCAGCTCTGGCTCTACTGAATTTTTCAAGCCGAGGAAGCGTGTGGAGGTTGGGCTGTGGGCCCTGGGGTGGGTGCAGTCGATTCTCGTTATGTGTGGGAGGTGCCTGGAAGTCCCTCCTGTTTGTATGTGAGTCACACAGACCTGCGTGGCTGTCCGTGCTCTGGGCCAGGTCCACCGCAAGGCCCTGGTGCCCCAGCAAGTCCCGATCTACGAAGGGGCGCTCCTGCGCAGCAGATGGCCTTGCGTGCGGGTTGTAACGGCCGCAGTCACCGCACCGCCCGCTGTGCATGAAGCACGCGGCCCAGGCCTCCTGCCACCTCGTCCGTCTTCCCGACTGCATTTCCAGACAGAGGGGTTTCTGTGGAGTTTTTCACATTTCATCATCTTTTCTGCTCTTATTTCACTTTTTTGGTTTTACTTACTTTTGTTTCTCAGTGTGCTTTGTTTTCTGATCATATTTTTCACATAGTCCAGAGCAGCAGAACTTGAAGAAACATGCATGGGCTGCAGCACAGAGCAGTGCGTCTCATCTGGAAGCAGGGAGGGAGCTTCGAATGGGAACGGGCTGCTGTCTCCCTGCAGCCCAGGCAGGGCCCTGCGGCTTTGGCTGCAACTTTCCCTTAGGCAAACCCAGAATACTGACACCCATGTAACAAGAGTTGCCTGCATCCAAGACCACAGAAATGGAGATGGCCCCCGCTTTAATCATGGGAAACCATTGAGAAAACATAGCCCCTAGCGAGTAGCCTTTGTGGTGTTGGTGTCTCATCAGGGTTGGGAACAGCGGTGTGTCTGTATGGAGGAGTGTTTCCCACTTTTTCTGGAAATGGCTCTGAGCCATGTCCTGCCACAGGGGCTGTCCAGTCAGGTGCTGGGGATGTGCTGTGTGTGACGTGGCTTGTCGGGGGCCGGCTCCTCGGCTTAGGAGCCGGGCAGCACCCTGTCCTCAGTTCTGGGAACTCAGCACACAGCTCTGCTCACACTTTTTGACCATGAGATCTTTTTTTCACATGGCATCTAATTAGCATCCCAGGGAACAGTTGTCTGGTCAGTGGAACACATTCAGGAAGGTGATCCACAGTTTAGTTCCTTGTAGTGTCTCTCCGCCCCACCTATGCCTAGTCACCCCCGTTCCCCGCCCCCCTTGCCCCCCCCCACCCCCCCGCAAAAGGGGAAGATTAGAATACTCAGCCTGACTCTTATGCCAGGTTTACAGAGCTTTTGTCCAGTCATAGAGTCACAGTGGCCCAGACCCTCTAAAACCCTGGGAGACGGTTCAAGTCCGTCGCCCACCCAGTCAGCCTGCCACCTGGCCAGTGTCTGCCCGCTGTGGAACCTCGGCCTTTGCCCCTCCGGTGTGTCTCCGTGAGCCGCACTGGAGGTCCCAGGGCAGATGGTGACCCTGCTCTCTCCCCTCCTGTGCTCTTGCCATCCGAGGTCTTGGTTTTCCTCCATCAGGAGGTCTGCGAGCCCGCGCCAGGGCCACCGCGCCGGGCTTGACTCCGTTTCCGTGGTGACGCATGTGTTCTCACCCCCTGCCTTTGGTTTTTTCAGGCCTAGCTCTGCTAGCCCCAGTGGGAAGCCCTCTGGATCAGCAGTTAACATGGGCTCTGTGCAGGGACACTGCGTTCACCAGGTAGAAGATGGCTTTCCAGACCCTCCAGCCCTGGCCGCTTAGGCCCGTCTCCAAGCGCCTAAAGGGAAGGGACTGTCCACCCCATTTGCGTGCTCCTCTTAGAAAGAGAGACGTGCCCTAGCGCTCAGAGCCTGGCGCCGGGAGCCCAAGTCCCTCCTGGCAAAGGCACTGCTCCTCCTGACGGGCGTCTGGATCCTTCCTTGTCCTGCAGAGAAGGGAGGATGCGGAGTCCTCGGAGGAGGTGACGCCAGAACGTGGACAATCCCTCCATAGCGATGTGGGCCGTAAAGGCGCTGGGCCTGGGTTAGGTCCGTGGGTCAGCCCTAGAAGCCGGGGCATGTGTGCGTGCGCGTGTGTGCGTGCGCGTGCTAGCTCTAGTGAGTGCTGTGTCTCGTCCTTGTCGTGGCTGGGAGGGACGACGGTGGAATGACGTGCTCCCGCTTTTACTGGGAAAGGGATGTCTCAGTGTCTCTGCCATCAGGCACTGGTCTCCTCGCTGCCACTCTAAAACGTGACGGGGCTGCAGGGCCTGGATGTGCCGGGTGCGGGTTTGCAGCCAAGCAGCACTCCCCGCTGGTGAGGGGGGCTTGGCCGCTCATTTGACCCCTCCTGATGGGGTTCCCTGGAGGGCTGTTCCTCGAATCGCTTGGATTGAGCTTCTGAAGCTTTCTTCCAGAGTTCACACCCCAGTGTGGGGACAGAATCGAGGGGGTCCCTCTGTGACACTGCCCAGTGTAGACCTGCCGATTAATGGGACCCTGACTGGGAATCTTGAGGTCAGACTTGGTCCTGGGGAGCAGTTCCCACAAAGTGTGGGTCGGGGGGGCCACGGTTCTGGGAGAACCAGGTCTGCCTGAGGCCCCGCACCCCAGCGGACCGGCAGGCTCTGCGGGGCCTTTGTTACCTGTGGGCACGGGGTGCACTGATTTGAGAAAGTTCTTCAGCCGGCCTGGGGTGTGCTGCCCCTGCAGGGGTCCACGGACAGCGCAGCCTGCGTCCTGCCACCTCTCCAAATCACTGCACTCAGCGCCCGTGGAAGGGGCAGAGCAGCGCCACCCATGTCCTCCCTGGGAGAGTTGCTTCTGAGTCTGCCCTCCACCCACGGAGGGGCTCTTTAGGGGACCTCTCCTCTGTGACTCAGGAGCAGGAAGGGGCTGGGGGAACTATGTATGCAGACAGCCGTTTTTGTGTGACAGTAACTTCTCTGTCCCCATTCGTCTGTCCAAAGGCAAAACCACGAGTGGACGAAAAACCCAGCCTGGGAGCCGTGAAGCTGCAGGAGGCCCCCTTGGCCGCCTCCCAGATGAAGCGAACCGGAGCAATCAAGCCTCGGGCGGTGAAAGTGGAAGAGAGCAAGGCCTGAGGTGCTCGGCCACTCCTCGCCCTGAGGACAGTGCCGCCACTCGGCCTCACAGAGCGGGATGCTCTCGAGTCTCAGCAGCTCCGCCGTCCAGCCGCCTGGCCCGGTGGAGAGATGTCCCTTCTCTTCTGCACTCCTGAGAGCTCCGACGTCCCACCAGCTTGCACCGTGGCTATGTGGCGTTGACCTGCTTGCTTTAATACACACAAACAGCAGACGACCCCTCCCTGCCTCCCTCCCACCCCCGCTGTGCCCATGTGCGCTTCCAGCCGCGGGCAGGGCAGAGTCGCCCCTTGGGCCTGCCCCTCGGCCGGGCGCCTTCGCTCAGTGCTTCCTCCCCTCCCGCCCCCAGCGCGGTGGTGTGGCAGCAGGGGTCTTTCGTTTGAAGCTTTTTGTTTTAAAAAGCAGCTAGGGTTTTTACAAAGGAGAAAGGAAAACAAAACACAAGCTGTGTCTCTGTAGCTGAACTTTTGTATGTTCCTCGCCAGCCTTTCTGTGAACCCGTCTCACGTTCCAGTCGCTTCCTTGTCTCTCCCGTTGAAGTTGGTACCTCAACCTTACCAGATGGCCCACGTGCCCCTCCGGCTCGCTCTTAGTTGGTTAGCCCTTGAGGGGGTTCGCAGAAGTAGTGAGCTTGCGTGGCCCCCGTCACGAGCACTGCGGTGTCCATCTGCGTGCTCTGGGAGCAGTGGGTCCCGGCCCTGGCCTGGTGACCACAGGGAGCTTACGGGCAGCCCAGTGAGGTTGATGGCATTTTCAACATCAGAATGAGACAGAATTTCTGTCCCGGACTCTTCTAAAGCCACCGAGTGTGCTGAGCGCTGGCCTCAAGGCGAATCACGGAGATAGGAAGTCGTGTGTTCTAGTTGGGCCTAAGCGGCGGCACCAGGCCTCCATCGGCGTCTGTGCCCGGGTCTCGGGCACCTGCAGGGGCTGCTGCTTCCCACACGCCCCTCTCCCGGAAGCCTTGCTCCACAGGTCCTCTCCGCCCCACTCCCCCCGCCCTTCCACCTCTCTCCGCTGAACGCTCCTTTTCCTCTGCCTCACACAGCTCTTGACTGGAAACCGTGTGGTCCCCCTCAGATGGCCACGCGCTGGGCCCTGTAGCGGGGCTGCAGTCTGGGCTGCTGGGGGCTTCCGGTTTGTCCTTGTCTTGGCTCCCAGCCGCAGACCCTGCTTGCTGGGACGGAAGGGCTGCAGGCGGCACAGGGTCCGAGGGGAGGCTGTGTTGCAGGGCTGGCCACGGTTCCAGAACAGCTGGGGCAGCCTCCAGCAACACGTTCGCATGAGCCATGTTACGCTGAGTTTTTGTTCTCAAAATGCAAACTAGAATGATCCCAGGTTCTGTCATTCCAAGGAAAAGAAAGGGGCAGGTCAGGCTTTGCACATGCCCTTCCGAGGAAGTAGTCAGCCGCTCACCGAGAGGACGGGGCTGCTGCTGGTTCCACGGAACCTGTCTCCGAGGACCTGTGGTAGCTGGGTGGGAATGGCCACCTTCTGTGTCACCATGGGTGTGCGACAGCCGCTCAGGCTGTGTTGCTCAGCCCTGCCACCAGCGTAGGCCACGGGGAACGAGCCGCCTCGGGCAGTGCTGCAGGAGCTCTCGGTGCTGCTGGCTCCTCCAAGGATGTCGAGGGACAGCCTCCTGGCAGAGTCTCCGGGTTGCACCCATGCAGCCTCTGGAGAAAGGGCGAGTTTTCTTGGAAGATGCTTTACTGCCCAGCCTGTAGCTTTCAGCGCCCCCTCTTGCCTGTGCCCTCAGACCTTACTTTTTACCGGCTTCTCTCTGTTTTTCCTTCATCCCCTGAATCTTTACTCTGAAGCCCCTCCTTGAAGGGCCGCCCACTTGACAGAGTTGCCCACACTCGCCTGCTCCGTGTGTGAATCTGCTCTGCCCCATCCTCCCCGTGGGCAGCTGGCTGGCTGCTCGCTGACAGCTGCCCCGCCTGCCCGCCCGCCCACAGGAGACGCGCACACCCCGCTGGCGGTGCACCGGGAACCTGGCCAGGCTCCACGCCCGAGTCCAGTGTGCATTGTTTGCCTACAGGAAAAAAGGTTTTCTTGTTTTGAAATTCAACAGAACAGTCCTGGATGCTGTTACAACTCAAGCTGTTCCCTTCAGGTGATCCTGCCATCAGAGTGACAGTCCTTCTGTTTGAGAAAAAAATGAAAACAAAGGGGTCACCTGCCTTCCAGCCCTTTTCTCGATCCTTGTATTTTCTACCCCCTCCCCAATAAAAACAGAAAACACTAGACTTTATTTATATGTATTGATGTTGTAGGTCTAGGTGAAGAAAAAGTAAATGTTTCACTGCTCTATTTATATATGATGTCTGAATTATTCTGTGCAGGAAAGGCAGGAACTTGCATGTGAAGTTCAGTGCCGCTGCCGCCGCTGCGCACCCACGTGCAGCCTCTTCCCGCTGAGGTGCAGATTTCTGGTCGGACTCGGGCGGAGGGGAGGCCTCAGGCCTGCCCAGCACCCCGTCCCTTCCTTGGTCTGATTAAGTGCAGTTTTTAGTGCAGAGATGTTTTTAAGGTGCAATCTCTCTTCCTTTCACGTGGTTTTAGAGCCAAGCTCAAGGTGGTAGGACTCTGGGTCTATTTTGGTTTCAGATGCCCCCTTCCTTCAGAGTGCAAATCCGCACGGAGGCCTCTGCCAGGGTGTCCTGGGGCCTTCGGCAGGGACAGATGAAAGCCGGAACGTGACCTTTGCTGCTGCTGAGGTGGGGGTGGTGTCTGAGCCCTCTCACGCACCTTTGCCTACGAACGTCGCCCACCCTCATGATGCTGGCAGCCGCGCCCGGGCCACCAATGGAGCAGCCCGCTGCTTGGCAACCATAGCGTGTCTGGTGTCACCTCTTCAGTGGAGTGAATCCCAGTGTCGGGCTGTGTGCCCAGGAGGGGGTGTCCACCCACTGCAGGTCTCTGCCAGCTGTGTTTGGTTTGGTTTCCTTTACTGTTTCTTCCCCCTTTATCCACATTATTGTTTTCAAACTTGGATTCATACACTAATGGCTCTAGGTTCCTTGAGGAGGAGAACAAAGGATGACTTGGACACATTCAGAAAAATCAGTGTGTCCACTTCCAAAGCTGTGGTCATTCCAGCCGCTCCTAGGAATATGGGGGTATTTTGTCGTTAAATATTGGCATTCATTCTCTCCAGCTATGCCCTCGCCCTCCTGTCTTCTGGATCTGCCTTCCAGATGGTTGGGGAGGTTCATGACTGATGCTCAAAGCCAAGGAGGCCGAGGGTGTGCACGGCCGTGGTCGGAACTGGCCCATCGCGTGGCAAACTGGTACAGCCCCTCCCTACTGATCGGTTTCCCTCCACCAAGTAGTTGCACGTTGCCTCTCACCTGTACTCGTCCCTTTTCACCTGCAGAGCAAGCCTGGGTTAGAAGGTCTGTCAGAAACAGCCTTCAACAACCAAGGATACTAGTGTTTGTGCTTTGTCGTGTTCTGTGATGAATGGGAAATGCAGATTTCAGAAAGCCAGCCCTTCCTGCTCGAAAACGTGAGATGGACCTAAGATCACCCAGGACAGCAGTGACTCGGTGTTGGGGTCAGACCCCCTGTCCTTGGCCGTGCTCTCCACCTGGACCACCAGCGTATACTTGGCTAGTGATCTTCCGGGCGCATCCGACCTGCTGTTTAGTGTTTTCCGCCCAGGCTGGGTGGCCTCCAACATGGCAGCAGTGTCCCCAGGGCCCTGTCTTCAGCATGTTACAAAGCCTCCAAGTGGACATGTGTACAAAGGCTCTGTGTGGATGACTTTCTTCCATTGTTTAGAGGGGATACTGTACTGTAAGCTTTTGACCTCATGCCTTGCATAGTAAAAAGAGTTTGGGGGTTTTTTTTGTTTTGTTTTGAGAGGGTGGTTTTGTTTCCTTTTGTTTTTATTTTGGCCTTTCCTCTCTTTGTCTTTTCATGTAGACCAGATATTTGAAAGGGCAGACGATGGCTAAAGGTGTAACGTGCAGCTTGTTTATACATTGTTTTGGGGACGCTTGTACCTTGGATGGGAAATGGAATCTTGGGTTCACCAGGCCCTGGGGCCACACCCACCCTTCGCCCTTTCCCTCCGGTTCAGTACCTATTGTTTCTCCTTTCAAATATGTGATTGTACTAACTCTTTCCATATGAAAGAATTCTCCTTATTTAAATAAAAAAAATTTAAAAAAAGGAACACCCTACATCTGGACATGCTTTCTCAGGCTGTGTCCCTCCATTCTCTGTCATTTTCCTCTTAGAGATTACCTGTTAGTTAGGAGTGGCGTGGCTGAATTGCTGTGAAGCGGTGTACCTGTGGGTGAGGTGCACCTTCCAAAGGGGCCAGCACGAGCAGCCCCCCCACTCTGCCCAAGGATGGCACTGGAGACATCTGGACGTCCTGCTGCCCGCCGCCTGCCCTCCCCTCCTGGGAGAGGCGGGTGGGTCTAGTGCCCCTCTTTCTAGGAGTAGGAGAGCATTGTGCTGCACTACGGGGTAGGAAAGGGAGGATCGGGAGGCCTGGGACAGAGGCGGGGCGAGCAGCTTGGGTTTGGGTTCAGGCTGTACTCAGTTCTGCCATCTAGCTGCGTGACTTCAGGAGGCGGCGTTACTCTGTCCCTCCTTTTTTAGCGGCACCGACCTCAAGGGGTAGTGTGGATTTCAACGGGTCATGGGCAGCACTCAGCATAGCGCCTGGCATCGGTTAGAAATACAGGCAACCTGTGAATTGTCCCCAAGTAAGTTTAACAGTTCTCATGAGGGAACCATGCGCCTAGGCACACTCCTCCTGAGAACACCGATCCGCTGGATTCCCTGCCCCTCGGGACGTCGGTTCACAGAACTTTCCGTGGCGCTGAAAACGCCCGAGAAGGGAGCCCCTCCCCTCCCAGGGCCCAGGGAGCCGTCTGGCCACAGCGGGGCGCGTCGCGGGTAAAGCAGAAGTAACAGCTGGAGTCACCTTATGCCGGGGTGACCGATATGTTAAAAAAAAGTCTTCGGAAACAGCAAAGACCCGTAGTCGCAGTTAAGTCTTCAGGAGTCTTTCCGCACTAATACGGACGTAGACGAGGGGATAGGGAAGGAGTGCCTCCGCGGGTCAATGTCGCAGTCCCCGCCGTCCCAATGGGGGCACGGCAGGTCCGCGCCACAATGAGCAAAAGGCGGATACGGTCCCTCCTCTTTTCAAAGACTCAGAGACCCACCGCAGCACAGCCTTTAATAACGCGGGGAAAGGCGCGGCCTTCGCGTAGTGCGAGCCCCCTTGGGTCCCGTAGGGACGCCCGCCTAGTGCGCACGCGCGCCGCCCTCCTCTCCAGTGCGCACGTGCGCCGCTGCCCGTCGGACCCCGCCCCCGCAGGCGTGGCGAATCGAGCGTCGAGCTGGGTGGTGGGTGGTACTGATACCGAGCGGCCTAAGGTCCGCAACCGCCGACGGGCCTCCCGCGTAGCCGGGCTCGGGGAGCATCTCTGCGAAACGCGAGTACGTGTGCAGATCCGGGGACTAGAACACTGTGGGGACCGGCCAGAGTCAGTGCAGGCGGCGCGTGCCCGGCTTGCGGGTGAGCAGGGGCCGGGGCGCCGGGTGCCGTCCGAGCAGGGGGCGGGGCCGGGACAGGTAGGCGCCCAAGGAAAGAAGCGGGACGCCCTCGGGCAGGTGAAACCTCTGCGGGAACTAGTGGCCCGGGACGAGTGCACGTGCGGGAGAGAGGGGGAGCACCCGGGAAGAGGAGCGGGGGCTTGCCAGGCAGTGCAGCTTCAGGGCTGGGGGCGGGGAGGGGGCGCGCACCCGGGCAGGCGCAGCCTGGCGAAGTGGAGTTCCAGGGAGGGTGAAGCCTCAAAGTGGGAACGGGGCGCCAGGAGCAGGTGCTGCCCAAGGACGGGAGCCAGGGAGGCGCGTGCGGCGGACGAGGAGTCTCTGAGGTTCGGAAGGTGGAGGTCACCGAGGTGTGAGCCGGCCGCACCGCCCAGGTGGGGAGTGCCGGGCGGCCATCTCGTTCATCACAGCGGCCTGCCCCCCAGGAGGTGCCCAGCAGGTGCTGCAACGAGGTGTTGAATGAGTGAGTATTAAGCCTGGAAGTTCCGGGGGTCCCACCCACAGCGTGGTTCTCCCCGGTGCCTCTGAGATCCTTTCTGCAGCCTCTGAGCCTTCCTGGCTGCCACCCATTTCCTGGTGACAGCTTTGACGGTCTTTTCCAGGGACTGCGCCCCAGCCTGCTTTTCTGCGAGATGTTGGGATTTTTGCAGCGCCCTGTAGTGGTGACGGCTGATGTCAACCTGAACGTGGTGGCTCTCACTGTGGCGGGGTTGCTGAGCCGACTGTGGCGACTCACCTATCCCAGGGCTGTGGTGTAAGCCAGACAGTGCCTTTCAGGGTGAATCGGAGAGAACTGTAATTTGTTGGTGACAGGAAGTGCCTTTTCACGCAGTGTAAATAGGAGAGTGAAGTTCTGGGCTTGTTGGTGACTGATGTTTTGGGCAGTCAGAGGAGAGATGGTTTTATCCCCAGGGAAACCCCTGCAGAGGCCACTTGCTCAGTTGGGCTGTAGGTCTACAGCAATCGCAGTGGCCTCTGGTGACCATTGAAAACCTGGAGACTGGAGGGCAGAAGACTGAGGAGCATAGAAGTGAGTCCTCATTGACCTTAGAGCGTGTTCCTTGTCACAATGGGAAAGGATTCCTTTTATTATTAAAGGGCTGTCTGTTACCTGATTAATACATGTGTTCTTTTTCATTTAACTGTTTATTATGGGAAACATCAGAGGGGGCTGCGGGGGGATGGGTGGAGAGGTGAGGGGATTAAGAAGTGCAAACAGGTAGTTACAGAACAGCCATGGGGATGTGAAGTGCAGTGTCGACCATGGAGCAGCCAAAGAACTTGTACGCCTGACCCATGGACATTGGGGAACAGTGGTGGGGGGACTGCCTGAGGGAGTGGGGGGACTGGGTGGAGGGGACAAAGGGGGAAAAATCAGGACAACTGTAATTAGCATAATCAATGAAATGTAATTTTTAAAAAGACATCCAACATATACAAAAATAGGAAAAATAATATAATGGTCCCCTCACCAACGTAATTTATCACCCATCTTCAACAGTCATCAGCTCATAGCCACCCCTCACTACAGTGGATTTTGTTTTGGATGTAAATCATAGACATACTTCATCCATAAATAATTCAACATACACAGGTGGGCAAAAGTAGGTTTACCGTTTGGGTGGAAAGTAATACAAAAATTAAGTAATAAAACAAGAATAAACTGTTTCATGTACTCAGAACTGTAAACCTCCTTTTGCCCACCCGTGTATATGTCTCAAAAGATTTAGATTCTTAAAAAACACATGACCACAGAAGCATTTATTGCACCTAAAAAAAATGGACAGCAATTCCTGCACGTCATCATCGGAAAACGGTTCCAGCATTGTGCTGACGATAGCGAGGGGATTAGCCCTGGGCCCACCAGGCCTTTCAGGGGCGTCGCTAATGGCTCACCCCTAGGTCAAAGCAGGGGGAGACACAGAATCTGTCGGGAAGGCCTATCCTTCTGGATGGTGCTATACGTGGACGGGTCTTCACGCCTGGGGTCCCTTCGTGGCTGGGGTGGAAGGTCTGGCCTTTGCCAGTTGCTCTCCGAAGCCATTTGGAAACATGGTAGTACATTCATCGTGGTGCCTTTCCGCAGCTGCGATTTATAGTAAAGTGTCACTGGATTTGTCTTTCAGTTTCGACGAAGTGTATTATGGGCAGTACATCTCTTTTTACATGAAGCGGGTCTTCTTTTTTGATGGCAGTGGACCGCCCTTGGGCCACATGCTGCTGGCCCTGGGAGGTAGGAGCCTTTAAAACTTACAGGTGGAATTTCTTGAGGGCAGAAGCCATGCCTTATTGATTTACCGTTGTTTTCCTATTGGCAAGTTTTGTTGTTTGTTTTTTTAATTGTTTTTAAATTTTTTAGACAGAGGGGGAAGGGCGGGAGAGAGGGAGAGAAACACCAACGTGTGGTTGCCTCTCGAGCACCCCCATCTGGGGACCTGGCCCGCAACCCAGGCCTGTGCCCTGACTGGGAAGTGCACTGGCGACCTTTCAGTTCACAGGCCAGTGCTCAGTCCACTGAGCCACATCAGCCAGGGCTTTATTGGCGACAGTTTTGCTCTCCTGAAATATTGCCCAGTGGGATCGTAACTGACTAATCCTGTTTCAGGTTATTTGGGAGGATTCGACGGTAACTTTTTGTGGAACAGAATTGGAGCAGGTAACGATCATGTTCACTTCTCTCGTTGATTTGCACATATTAGAATGGAGAGGCAGTGGCCTTTGTAGGAATGAACCACCGTGGTTGAGGGATCTGAGTCCAGGATGTGATCAATTGTTTGGGTGCAAGTGAAAGACCTTCAACAAGTCTGGTAAATATCTTAGTGTTTAGTTACAGTAATTATTCTATTTCTAGTTTTTGGTACACATAGCAGTCTTCACGTGCACCGCATCTCAGTTATCTGTTGTACGTGGAAATAGTGTGTGTTGCACAAGGTTTTAGGAAGTAGGCGGGGTAAGTGTATAAATGGTAAAGCGTTAACTCATTTCAGTCCCTTAGTCACTGTTGCTGAGTGTACTGAGCACTGGCCCTGGAGACAGCGGGCTCGCGGGGAAGGCGCACTCGTGCCGATGGCGACCCCAGGCTGTAAAGCTGTCCTGCAGTCTGTGAATGTGCGACTCTGTTTAAAAACATGGCGGGGTGTGCTCGGTGTGCTCAGCTTCTCTGTGGCTGCTTTCTAGAGTACAGCAGCAACGTGCCCGTCTGGTGCCTGCGCCTGCTGCCCGCCCTGGCGGGGGCCCTGTCGGTCCCCATGGCCTACCAGATCGTGTGGGAGCTCGGCTTCTCCCACTGCGCCGCCGTGGGAGCCGCCCTGCTGATGCTCATCGGTGAGGCCGGGCCTGTGCTGGCTGCGGCGAGGCCCTGGGAGGGATGAGCGCGGGCCGCGGTCAGGTTCCGGGTACGGCCCAGCAGAGTTCAGGGTTTAGCAGACATGCCCCCCGTGGCAGCTTCTACTCACAAGAGGGAAGGAAGCGCAGGCAGTTCACCCACATCTGACTCTGGGAGTCACCTCCCTCCCGGGCTGTGGGCTGTGGAGGTGGATGGCCAGACTAAGTATCAGGGAGGTGCGGCCGTATAAGCCGGGGCCCCCCAGACAGCGTGTCCTGGGAGCTGCGCGTGCCTCCACCTGTGCCCATGCCTGCCACTCACTGTCACCAACCGGGTGGGTGCTCTTCAGGGCAGGCCTTTCAGCCCAGGTTAACGAACAGATGAAACTAACAAAGTGCAAGGTTAGACTACGAGACAAAAAGATTCGTGTTTACTCTAATGGAGACCCTGTGCCAATGTACTGCTATAACATTCACGGCGGCCCTACAGAGCTGGCATTTCTTCTGCATCTAAGAAGAAAGACTCCAAAAAGTTCAGTGACTTGCCCAAGGTCACACTGGCCTTAGTAGGTGTGACTCACCTATGACCTTGCCATCACGGTAGCGGGGCAGGTCCCCTGGTTCTGGCCTCCCCGCTTTACGCCCTGCGCCACGCAGGACATTCGCCCCTCTGTGGGTGCTTCCGCTGCGTGCCTGCGCCCTCACGCGCGTCCTCTTTCCAACAGAGAACGCTCTCATCACTCAGTCGAGGCTCATGCTTTTGGAATCGGTGTTAATATTCTTTAATCTGTTGGCTGTGCTGGCCTACCTGAAGTTCCACTCCCAAAAACGCAGGTACGGAATATGGGACCTACCCTTCCTAGTTAATGAGAAAGAGGAGTCAGGGTGGTCTGTCCACCCAAGAAGGGCTGATGCCTTTTCATTCTGGGGAGCTGCTCGCGGTCTTTCCGTCACTAGAACAGCCTTGGGCTCATGACTTCATAACTGCATCCTCGTTTTACTGTGACTTAAACTTAAGCTGGAGAAAGTCGGCCCAAAAGAAAAACCCGGCCAGGCTGATGTTTTGGAGATAAGGACTCATTTTCCTTGTCCCCGAAGCTCTGTACGGCCAGGCGCCCCGGGAGATCGTGGGGCCGCTGCCACGGGAACTGTGCCCAGCCCTGCCTCTCCGTTCGCTCTGCCCCCAGGCCCTTCTCTCCGAGCTGGTGGCTTTGGCTGGCGTTGACAGGGGTGTCCTGCGCCTGTGCGGTTGGGTGAGTCCGGCCCCGCCTCTAGGGGGCGCCCGCGCCCTCCTCATCTCCGTCTCCCTTGAACTTCCTCTCCGTCGGTCTTCTCAGCATCAAGTACATGGGTGTTTTCACTTACCTGCTGGTGCTCGGGGTCGCCGCCGTCCACACCTGGCACCTGATAGGAGACCAGTCCCTGTCAAACGTGAGTGCTGACGGCGCGCAGCGCCCGACTAGCCACCTGAGGTGCGCAGGGGGTGGCATGGGAGCGCCGGGTGGCCCAGCGCCAGGAGGCTGCGCTGTGTTGAGCCGTGGCACCTGCGCTGTGCGAGGGGGGGCCTGCGCGCCTCCGCGTGGGTGGGCAGGGACGCCTCCGCCTCCGCAGGTCCGCGTGCTCTGCCACGTGCTGGCCCGCGCAGCGGCGCTGCTGGTCGTCCCGGTTGCTACCTACCTGCTGTTCTTCTACGTGCACCTGACTCTGCTCTGCCGCTCTGGGCCGCACGACCAGATCATGTCCAGCGCGTTCCAGGCCAGCCTGGAGGTGAGAGGGGCGGCCCAGCCGCCTCAGGAAGAGTGGGGAGAAACCAGATTGAGAAACGAGGCCCCCACTCCTGGTTTGTCGACTGATCCTGTGCTGATGGCATAGAAATGCGCAAAGGCCCAGTTCGCGTTGGGGTGGCCCCCCGGGGGCCGTGGAGAGGTCGCGCGGGCTTTGGCAGAGGACGCGCTCAGCGCTGGGCTTCACTCCCGCGACCTTCGCGGACATAGTGGAACGTCCCAGGTACAGGGGACCGGGGCGGGGAGTCACTCGGCCGTGCTCTGAAAAGCTGAAAGCTGGCCCTGTTGAGCCCAGTTCTGTGTTTTGGGCAACTTCCACTCAAGTCTGGTTTCTCCTCCCTTAAACAGGCGTAACTGTCCTGTCTCAGGGGATGCGGTGGGAGCTCAGTGAGGGGGCGCACAGGGGGCCGTCAGCCAGCGGTAGCTGCAGGCGTTGCTGTTCAGCGTGGCCTGGCAGCGGCAGGCGGCGCGGTTGCGCTGGCCGCGCCCTGAACACGCTGCCGCAGGAGCGGCCTTCGGGCGGGCGCACTGGTCCCCTCTCACCCGCCCCCGTTTGCTCGCGTCCTAGGGCGGGCTGGCGCGGATCACACAGGGCCAGCCCCTGGAGGTGGCCTACGGGTCCCAGGTCACTCTGAAGAGCGCCTTCGGCAAGCCTGTGCCCTGCTGGCTCCATTCACACCAGAGCACCTACCCCGTAATGTAAGGGCGGCCGCCATTCCCACTGGGAAGTTGTGAGAAGCTCTGTCTCCATATTCTGGCTGTTACCAACTTTCACTTTAAACATGGAAAGGTCTATGAGACAAAAAGGAAATCGCGCTCTCGGATCTGATTATCAAAGAGCCCTGGCGTTTCTCCGTGTGAACCAGTGAGAGAGTCTTGCTGAGCAGGGGCCTGGGGCGCGTGACGCCCACGCGTGTGATGCCATGCTGGCTGCCGTCTGCCCCGCGTTTGTGCTGATTCGGGGCACATATTCTAGCCCCTCTTAGATTTAACATTCTTGTCGTTCGGCCTTATTTTCCCAAAACCCCTTGCCAGGCAGTCTCTGTAGGGATCCCGGGGGTGAGGCCCGCGGGCCTTTCGCCGACCCACTGAGTCGCGGCTCCGTGTTGGCTCCTCCGTGCAGATACGAGAGCGGCCGGGGCAGCTCCCACCAGCAGCAGGTGACCTGCTACCCCTTCAAGGATGTCAACAACTGGTGGATCGTCAAGGACCCTGGGAGGTGTGTGCAGGCCCTGGGCCTCCCAGGCAGGGCTCACCTTTATTTTTAATTCAAGTGTGGTTGACAGGGCTCGCCTGCTGGCCTGGCTGGGGGAGGCGCGGGGGCAGCCCCAGGCCCTCCTCGATGTGCCCATGGCCTCCCTCTCCAAAGCGTGGAGTCCCACCCTGTGCAGAGGAGCCTCGGGCATGAGGCGAGATCATCCCACGGTGAGCTGCCTGCTCGGGGTCTCCATGTGTTTCCCAGGCCTGCTTCGGCCCCTCCGTGCAGACAGGGGCTGCCCCCGCCCCGAAAGCCATTTTCCCATTCAGGTTTCCCAGATGGAGGCCCCTCCCTGCCTCCCGCCCGCCTTCCCTCCCTCGCTTTCTCTCTCCCCCTCCCTGTCTCACTCCCCAACTCTGGTCAGCTAGTCCTATGGGTTCTGCCTCGAAAGAGATCTTGACCTATCCAGGTCTCTACCTCCTGTCCCCGCTCCCTGTAACAGTCAGTGTCCACTCCCACCACCCCCTGCCCCAGCTTCAGCAGAGCTTCCATTGCGCCCAGAATGAAGTCCGGCCCCCCCAGCCCCCGGCCTGGGTCCCCCCGCACCCCCGCCCGCCCCTCTCACACACTCACCTGCCCCTGCGTTTCTAGGGCACGGCCGCCTCCAGCCGGGGGCTTTGCCTCGCTGCCTGTCCGCAGCCCGAGTGATCCCACCCGACTGGCTCCTCCTCGCTTAAATCCCGGGGGCTGGCTCCCAGGAGCTGCCGTGACCTCCCCCCAGGGGTCCCCGCCCTCTGTCACTGTCCTACTGGCTTCCCCACATCCCTGGTCACAGTTTGCGCACTTGACCGCGGGTGTCCCACATGGTGCAGTGGCTGGGGACCGCAACCACGCCTGGCTGTGCGGCATGTGCCCAGCCCCCAGCCACGTGTCGGGACCGGTTAGGCCCTGGGTGCACTGGCACTGGGTCTGCGCTGAACAGATGTCTGTCAGAGGGGACGTCTGAGCAGGGACTGTGGCAACCACAGGTTAGAACAGAGCAGCTAATGTGTGACCGTGGCAGACGGAACCACGTTTGGAAGCTTGGAAGGGGACCATAGATTTGAGAAATGAGTTCAGGGAAGCGTGTTCCGTTTTACACGCATTCACCTCATAGAAGGGACAAATGGGTTGGGTGGCCGCGCAATTCCACACTGTCCCCCCTGTGAGCGCTCGGAGTGCCGACCAGCCAGCTCGTCTTCCCAGGCACCAGCTGGAGGTGAACAACCCGCCGAGGCCCGTGCGGCACGGGGACGTGGTGCAGCTGGTGCACGGCATGACCGCCCGCCTGCTGAACACGTGAGCGCCGCGCCTGCGGTCCCGCCCGACCCCACTCCTTTCCCGGGGCCCCTGCTCACTGTTGCGGGGCTCCCCTTCCCGGGGCCTCAGCAGCAGCAGCGTGAACCTGCCCTTGACGTTGGGGGGACCCCCGGGACGGCTGCTGAGGGGAAGGGAGAGGGGGGGGGAGACGGCTGTAGTGAGGGACTGGGGCCGGGAGGCTTCCGTGCGCGTGGAGGGTGCAGTGATGGGGCAGCCCCGTGCAGGGGGCTCCTCCCTCAGCGGTGCCCCCGAAGCGTCAGTGAGCCCGGCAGGGCTGGGACTGGGGTCCGGTGGGGCCGGGAGGGCGGGGCCGCGTTGGCTCTCCGCGCTGACCCGCCCTGACCTCTGGCACCCTGGCCGCCGTGCCGCCCGCCCCGAGAAATGCGGTGAGCACGGCGCTTCTGCATTTTCCGTTTCCTCTGTGGCCGGGTCCTCAGGGGGTGCCTCCTTGGGCCAGGGCGCCTGCAGGGCCCGGTTGTCCCTTAAGGCTGAGCTGGCTTTGTTTCGGAAAAGCAGCCTTTTCCCCTGAAGGGAGTAGCGGATCGGGGATTCCCCCGCGAGCGTTGTTTGGTGTCGCAGGCACGACGTGGCAGCCCCCGTCAGCCCCCACGCGCAGGAGGTGTCCTGCTACGTCGACTACAACATCTCCATGCCCGCCCAGAGCCTCTGGAGGCTGGTGAGTCACGCGGGCAGGGGTCGCGGCAGCGGCCCACACGCACATTTTCTCACGGAACTTTTGAAGCCGCCATTTAGGATGAGTCTGATTCAGGAGTAAAGGTGGGGAACCGACATTTAGTCATAAAAGGCCAGGGGGTCCTCACAGGGAACAGAGACCATGGGCTCCGGGTGGACCAGGTGGCAGTTCGCCAACGGCGGGTAAAGGCTTGGTAATGGGCTCTGTGCGCCCCACGTGGCTCTGCCAAAAGGAGACGCCCCCCCACATGGTCAGGTGGGTCAGCCCCAGGAGCGGGCCACCAAACGTGGGCCGGGCCCGGCCACCCTCAGCCAGGCAGGGAGCCGCCATCAACCTCGCCAGGTAACGAGGCGTGTCCTCGTCCCGGGGTCCCCGGGAGGGGCTTGGCCCTGCAGTGGGGGATCTTCTGGGAACGGCCTCTCCCTGAGGCCGTTGGGATGGTGGCCACCTTCCCTCCGACTGACCAGGGGAGCCTGGTCCCCTTACACAGCGTATCTCGCGCTCCAGAGCGGCCTGGGGGGTCCCGGGAAAGGCAGCTGAAGCACAGTTCTGTCGTCCCCGGCCCATGGGACTGAGTTCAGGGACGTGGGCTGAAGTCAGTGCTCACAGTGATGCCGCGGGGTCGCCTCCCGGAGGAACGCCAGCCCCCGCCCGCATTCGGGTCTCGGCAGCGACTGACATGTCAGCTGGAGGCAGTGGGGCCGGGAGGCCCTCGGCGAGGCGGGCACGGCAGCGGCACGGCAGCGGCACCTCCCCCGCCTCGCGTGCCACCACACTCCCGTGCCACCGACGCCCCCCTGCCGCGGACGTTCCAACGCCACGGGCGCCCACGTGCGCTCTGCTTCGCCGTCCTCCCCTCCAACGCTCCCGCCGCGACGGGAGGTGTTCGTGCGGCCCCTTGCCACCGGGGGCCCTCCCTATGCTGCCGTCTTGCTGCCGAGGGCTCTTCACTGATGCCCTTCCTCCTCCTCCTCCTCCTCCCCAGTCCCTGCCGGTGGCCCCTTGAGTCCCACACGGAAGGGAGGGCGGGGGTGTGGCTGACCACAGCGCAGCGCCCGCCCGGGGTTCTCTTGCCAGCAGCTACGGGAGCTCACAGGGTCGCAGGAAGGCCACCTGCTCTTCAGATACTTGTTTTTTGTTACCTGATAGCAGGCGTCCCCCCAGGGCACCTCCCAGGGATGGTCTCCAAGCTCCGCTGTGCGGTCTTTGCACTGGGGCCCGAGCCCCTGCTCCGAGGGCAGGGAGGGCAGAGGCCTGGTGGGTTCCGCCCCGAAGCCTGAGCTGCCTCTGCAGGGGGGCACGGAGTCCCCCAGAGCGTCGGCTGCTGGCTCCCCTCACACCAGCCAAGTCAGTCTCGGGCTCGCTGACTGGTTTTCATTTCTGCCTGTAAGGAAATCTGAACAAGGAAAGTAATCGGCAGATCTGCCGTTACAGGACATCGTGAACAGGGACTCAGACGTGGAGACTTGGAGGACCATCCTGTCAGAGGTTCGCCTCGTGCACGTGAACACCTCCGCCATCCTGAAGGTCAGGGCCGCTGCGTCTTGGCTCGGCCCATCCCGGCCCCGGGCCCACAAGACCTGCACGCGAACCCCAGGCTGAGTGGGCCCTTCCCGGCGGCATGTCCCCTTAGAGTCAGCGCTGTGTTCCCGCCGGTGGAGCCGCGCCCTGACGTGTGGCTCCCGCGGAGGACAGCCTGCCGTCCCCCCACGCCCTGCCGCCCCTGTCTTCCAGCTGAGCGGGGCACACCTCCCCGACTGGGGCTTTCGGCAGCTGGAGGTGGTTGGGGAGAAGCTGTCCCGGGGCTTCCACGAGAGCACCGTGTGGACCGTGGAGGAGCATCGCTACGGCAGGAGTGAGTCGCTGCGCCCGCATGCGTGCCCGCAGCCGGGGGCGCAGGCCTTTGGGAGGCGCCGGCACTGGGTGCTTGTCTTGCTGCGAGCCGAGCACACCTGCCCTGCTCTAACCGACCGCAGGCAGTGCCCCGCGCTGTCCTGGGCGGGCAGGGAGAGCCGAGCTTCCCACTGGTGCAAAGACCCTAATTTACCGGTAGTTTCGTGTGGGGAAAACGAAACAGGCGCTGCAGGGGCTTGAGAAGCCAGGGACCCAGCTTGGGGCCAGCCAGCAGCTGGGCTGAGCTCCCTGACCTTGTTCCGCTCCTGCTCTGGGCGCTGGGCTGTTCTCTCAGGCCAGGAACAGAAGGAGAGGGAGCTGGAGCTGCACTCGCCTGCCCAGATGGACATCAGCAGGAACCTGAGCTTCATGGCCCGGTTCTCGGAGCTGCAGGTGCCGTGCGGGTGGAGGGAGGCGTGACTTTGCTCCTTGGGAGTGGGCTCCTTGCCAGCGACGGCACTGCGGTCGGTAGAGCTCTTGTCTGCCCAAGGCTAGTCTGTCTTTCTTTCCCTTTTTTTTTGAGCATTTTATTTATTTGTTTATACTTTTTTAAGTGCACACATTTGTATAGTTTTACCTTTTTCTAAAAGATTTTATTTTATTTTTAGACAGAGGGTAAGGGAGGGAGAAACATCAATGTGTGGTTGCCTCTCGTGCGCCCCCTACTGGGGACCTGGCCTGCAGCCCAGGCCTGAGCCCTGGCTGGGAATGGAGTTGGCGACCCTTTGGTCTGCAGGCCCGTGCTCAACCCACTGAGCCACCCCAGCCAGGGCCCAAGGCCAGTCTTCAAACTGGGGCCTGACCCCGCAGTGAAGGAGTGTGTCCCTCCGTGCGTCTGGGACATGCGCAGCACTATCCGTCCTAGGCCTGTGGCTTTGCAGGCCTGTTGACAGGGTACATTTTGAGGCCCGCAGGGCAGGTCACAATGGTCCCTGTGATGGAGCCCTAAGGCTGTCGGAACTTGGAATTTACGGTCCCTAATCCAGCCATGCCCTTAGCTCCAAGACCAGTCACTTTGTCTGCGAACGAGGTGGTGAGCCCTTGGGGCAGGCTTCCCCCAGGGCCACCAGCAGCTTAGAAGTCAGATCTCCTGTCGCGTGGCACGCTGCCCAGGCTGCCTGTCCCCACTGAGCCTGAGGTTGGGCCCCAGGTGACGGGGCAGCGGTTCGCCCCAGGCCCTGGCGGGCCCCTGAGTGACGCAGGGCCGGCTCCGTTGCAGTGGAGGATGCTGACGGTGAGGAGCGACGACTCGGAGCACAAGTACAGCTCCACGCCGCTGGACTGGGTCACCCTGGACACCAGCATCGCCTACTGGCTGCACCCCAGGACCAGTGTGAGTGGCGCGCGGCCCCAGGCCCCGCCTCCTGCCCCGTCCCGCGGCCTGGCTTTCTCCCGGCAGGCCTCACACAGGCCCGGGCCCGCTTCTCTCTCATGGGGCCGACACTGCCGCCAGACACCGAGGAGTAAGGTCGCATCCGCGTGTTGAAGGAAACAAGGCTTTTCGGCTTTTCTGGGAGCACGCCGCTCCCTCTTTCTGGCAAAACGCGGTTTTTGAGGTGCCCCTGCTGCTTCTGCGCAGCGCCTGGTGTCTGAGCTGCTGAGCCTGTTATGCAGCTGCCGTGGCCTCGCCCAGTAGGAAAGGCGGCCAGGGCACTGCTCCGGCAGCATGCACGTGGCGATGGCGCTCCCGGCGCTCCCTGTGTCCTGACCCTGGGCAGCCGGCGTCACCTGCAGCGGGAGCTGCTCTGGGTTAGCCCTCTGGGAACAGCCGCTGTTAAACACAGAACCCGGCCACTCTTGGGTGTAGACAAGTCAGCACCTTCTAGAAGGGGTCTCGTCGGGAACGGCCCGGCCCATCTGCCTGAGCTGTAGCTGGGGGAGGCTCCCTGGGCGCAGGCAGCATGGACAGCGCCTCCCTGCTGCTCGCAGGCTCAGATCCACCTGCTGGGAAACGTCGTGATCTGGGCTTCCGCCGGCCTGGCCACTGTGCTGTATGCTCTGCTCTTCTGCTGGTACCTGCTCCGGCGCCGCAGAAACATCTGCGACCTCCCTGAGGGTGAGTGCGGCCTGGTGCTTCCGCGCCGCCCCTGCCCCCCGCCCCCTCCCCCCACCAGTTCTGACCACAGCTCAGCTGCCAGGAAGCCCTGCCTTCCGGCAACATCTCTGTCTCTGCACACAGGGGACTTAAGTTATTTTTGTCTCCAGAAGCTGCATGTTGCAATTCAGCTCCCACATGGGCTTGGAGGCCCCTCCGGGGCGGTCGGTGCAGGTGCAGGTGCCGGGCGGAGGTTGCTCCGTGAGCCCAGGACGGCAGCAGCCTCGGTGCTGCGTCTCCTGCTGGCCCTGAGGTGGCTGCGTAAGACAGAGCTGCCACGCGGGGCTTTGCTCGTAACAGGAACCTGCTTAAAACCATCTTGAGACAGAAAAGGAATAAACCCCCAGGACAGGCAGGGCCCTGGAGGCACCACCCCTCTGCTGGGCTCCAGGAGCTGGTCCCCCCACCCCCACCTGGGCGGGTGGCCCCTCCACAGCTGCTGCCAAGCAGTGGGACTGACTAGATACTCCTGATGCATGGCAGCCAGTGGGGCCAGGAGCCAGCCCGCGGAGGCTGGGCCAGGCCCCCGAGGGGCACATTTCTCAGAGGGGAGGGACAGTGAGGACCTGGCAGGAAGCTGCAGGGGGTTCTTAGGACAGTCTGTTCTCCCTCCGGAGATGGAGGTAGGGGGCGGGGGCAGGGACCGAGCCTAAGCAATGACTCACAGTCGAGGGAACCAGCGTATCCTTCTGGACTGGCAGAGCCTTGCCAGGTCGGCCCCAGTCAGCGGCACAGGCTTAAGTCAACGTCCCCACAGCCTCCTGGCTGCGCTGGGTGCTGGCGGGGGCCCTGTGTGCTGGCGGCTGGGCAGCGAACTACCTTCCGTTCTTCCTGATGGAGAAGACGCTTTTCCTGTACCACTACCTGCCTGCACTCGCCTTCCAGATCCTGCTGCTTCCTGTGGTCTTGCAGCATGTGGGGGAGCACCTGTGCAGGTATGGGCCTCGGCAGCCACGCCTCTGGGCAGGGGCAGGGTCCAAGGGACCCCTAAACAACAATTTCAGCATGATGGGGAAGGGGTTAAGGTCCCAAAAGGCGCAAACAAGGCGCCATGGGGTCAGAGGAGGAGCTGTGGCCCCCGGGCAGTGAAGCGGCTGGTGTGGACGGGAACCGTAGCGGGAACGGGATGGCTGCCGAGTCGGAGGAGGCGGGGCGCAGGCGCAGGCGTGTTCTGGAACGGGAACAGCCATGGCTATTGGCCAGACTGTGTGGGGCCAGAGGCGATTAGCTGGAGAGTAAAGGCGCGAGCCACCTGTGGCCAGAGCGGAGGGCCCCAGGGTCTGGGGTGGGGCTCCCTGGGGCCCCTTAGCACCGCAGTGAGGAAGGGCCTGCTCCGCCCTCAGGCAGGATGAGCTGGGGTGGGCGACCGCCAGGCTGTGGACGCCGGACCTGTGCAGTGCAGACGGGGCGAGGAGGGGCCAGCCTCCCTCACTCCCTGCTCTGCCCTGGCTCCTGCAGGTCCGAGCTGTGGAGGAGCCTCTTCGGTGCCGTGGTGGTGGCGTGGTTCTCTGCCGCCTGCCACGTGTTCAACGTGCTGCGCCCACTGACCTATGGGGACACGCCGCTCTCAGCCAGCGAACTCCAGGCCCTTCGCTGGAAGGAGAGCTGGGACATCTTGATCCGCACGCACACACAGGACGCGGCCCAGTGAGCCCCTGGGCGGGTGGGATCGCACGCGGCCGCCTCCGGTGACTGCTGCTCGGGGGCTGGTCAAGCCTGGCAAAGGCCGCTCTGGCTTTGTTGCTGAAACAGTCCTAGGATGAGCGCCGCATTTTAAGCAGTTTGTTTTTACCTGGTTTAATAAAGGACACGCCATGTCCCGTAGTTCTTAGGGCCCCTCAATGAGGACATGTCGTGTTGACCGGCTGGTGTGGGGCTGGGCGGCAGAGGGGGAAAGGCGGGGAGCAGGCGGTGGCGGACGAGCCAGGGTCGAGGAGACAGGGCCTTTCTTGCTGACAGATGTGGGCGGCAGGGGTGGGGACGGGACCAGCCCTCCCTTTGGAGCACCAGCGGACTCGTGAGCCAGGGCCTCTGTCCCCGCTGAGGCCTGGGGTCGCCCTGGAACAGTTCAGTGTCAAGCCACTGGAATGACTTTTCGAAACAGGCCACAAGCCCTGGCCGGGTGGTTCAGTGGTTGGAGCATTGTCCATGCACTAAAAGGTCGCAGGTTCGATCCCCAGTTAGGGCATGTCCGGGAGGGAACCTATCGCTGTGTCACTCTCTGAAATCAACATCCTCGGGTGAGGTGCAAAAAAATAAAAACAAAAAAACCTTCGTGAGATTCTTGCTGAGTGAGCAGCACCTCCTTGTCCTGATTTGCCTTTTGTGGTAAAATGAGACGCAGACAAAGTGGCATTTGTACTGGTGGTGTTTATTGAGTCCCTCTCCAAAAGGGTGCAGGACGCTCGACAACACTGTCCGTCGTGAGATACCAGCCCCAGGGCGGGGCCGATGTCACGCGCTGTGTAACAGTAGCCGTGCGCTAGAAAGACACCCGATGGTGCCCGTGCCTCGCAGCTGGTGGCAGTGGGACAGGACCGTTCTCAGGACGCCCCTCACGGGAGGGCAGGCACGCCAAGGCGACACAGACGGCATGTTTGTGAGGTGTGGACCTGGATGAGGGATGGAGACGGGCTGGCTTCGGGCCACGGCCCTCGCTCGATCCTTGGCCAGCACACGCCGTGGCTGGGGGTGGAGAGCCCTGGACTTGGTCCTGGGCTGTACTAGGAAGGCCTGTCCAGACAGCACCTGGGCTCAGGTACCCCACCTGCCAGGGCCAGGCAGGCTCTGGGCTGGGTGAGCAGGAGGCCCTGCCTTGTGCCTGGTGCTGGTTAAGAAAGCGCTTGTCGCCGGAGCTCCTTCCCCAGCCTAGGCCAGGAGAAAGGACACGTTTCTGGCCCCTGGATCAGCATGTACCAGACTGGGTCACCACCCACTGGCAGGTCATGAAACTGGGTTAATAGGTCATGTTAACTAGCGTGTGTAACGAAAGAATAAAACAGCACACACTGGGAGGTAGAACATACAAAAAGGGGAAGTTTTATCTCTTCGAACTTGCAGCTGTATGTGTGAGAACCAGATCAAACTAGAAAAAGCCGCTCGCCGTGAGAGCACTGTCAAACCGCGCACGGCCGTTCTCCCAGCCCGGCCCGGCCTTCTCCCGGCAGCCAGCAGCAAAGGGCCACCCCCCGCGACCCTGCGCAGCGACCTGCCGCCTCGACCCTGCGTACTGGGAGGAAGCAGGGCCAACACCACTGTAACCCTGTCCCACCGAGTTGGAACATGTGTACGGGCGTCCCCGTTGCCAGGGACGCCCTGACCCTCACCACCGGCCGTCCTGGCGGCGAGAGGACGTGGCCGGGGTGTCTGGGGGCAGGCTGGCACCCCCGGGGCACCTGCCTGAGGCCAGGCGCTGCCGCTCAGTGTGGCCTGCTGCTGGACTCCAGGTGCGACCGCTTGCCCGCCGTCAGTGCCCCGGGGTGGCCTCCTGGCTCAGGAAATGTCCTCTTGTAGCTCCGCCCGTTGGCCCCTCCGCGCTGCCACTTGCAGATGTCCCCGTTCAGGATGTCCTGGATGTGCTGCACAATCAGGTTGATGGCGACTGCGGCAGAGACAGACGAGCGTGTCAGCCGCGCCCTCGCAGCCCGCGCTCAGAGCAGCTGTCCCGCGCTGGCTGCACCCACCGGCGACACTCGGCCCAGAGAGCCCCCTGCGCCGGAACCCCAGCGCCGCCGCCTGTCTGGCCCCACGTCTCAGCAGGCAGAGGACGCAGGCCGGGGCCGCGCAGCCAGGCTCGCAGGCTCGGTTAGCGAGTGCTTCTGTTGACGGGGGCCCGATTGAAAGGCCCGCTAACAGGGGCCCTGCCCTCGGTGTACGTGTGTGTCTTGCCACGAGCTTCACCGAGGTGTCACTGACGTGGCGTCCTCAGTGGTGGCACTGGGATGGGGCCATCCCCGCCTGGGACCCAGGGAGCAGAGGGGCCGGGCGGCCCGTCCGGCGTGTTCTTACCCATGTTGTCGACCCCGCGGGGGATGATCACGTCGGCGTACTTCTTCGTCTGCAACACAAATGGGGACCTGTAAGGGCCTGTCTGCCCTCCCTGCCCCAAGGAGACGTCAGGTTGCTTGGGGCTCAGCTCAGTGCAGTGGCCGGGGAGCAAGCCTGGGTGACCGGATGCCTGTGTGACAGGCAGGACAGGACAGGGACTTGGGTGTGAGGGACGGTGCCAGGCTGTGAGGCAGGTAGGCAGCCGCAAGGACCGCCGTCCGTGCTAACAGCCTAATTCACTGGGCCCAGCGGAGCACGGACTCCACCACACGCACAAGCTTCCTCTGCAACTGGGGGACCTTCTGCAAGGAGAGCCCCGGGCGGTGAGCAGGGCCACACAGGCGCGCGGCCCGGGCGCCAGGCACCGCTCATGCCCCTGGCCCATGCTAGGGAGGGGCAGGGCTGCTGGGAAGGACCCAGCCAGTGCTGAGGGGGCTGCACCCGAATCAGGCAAAGGGCGGGGGGGGGGGGCGCGACAAGGCGAGCCCGTGGGACAGTTGTAGGAACTGCTGGATGCTACTGGCATGTGAACTTGGGCCGAGGCGGCAGGCGGCACCGAGTCCCAGGGCCGTGGGGTCTGCAGGCAGCGGGGACCCGCGGTCCCCCTGGGCAGGCTCACCGCTGAGGGGGGACGGAGGCCAGCGAAGAGCCCAGAGAGGTCCTCGCTGCGGGCAGGGCCACGGTCAGCTCGGTCCCAGTCAGTGTCGGGCTCCCCGGGGAGGGTGAGGGACAGGGAAGGTCAAGGGAGACTCGGGGCTCCGCCGCTGAGGGTGGCTTGGCCCACACAGGGTCGCCAGTCAGACTTGGTGTCCAGGGTCACCAGTTGGTTTTCCAGTTATCGTTCAGAGACTTCAGAGCACGTGAATGGAAAATGGAAAGGTCTTCTTTAAGTAGCAGCAGACAGAACTTGCCAGTCCTGTGTACCTACAGCAGGACCTCTGATGCCAATGTCCCTGTGCTGTACTTTTACCTTTAAGTGTTAAGTGTCCCTTTAAGACACTGTGGTGAGAGGAGAGCCACAGCCCTACCTGGCCACGAATGTCAGGTGGAGGAAAGGACAGATGGCTCTTCCAACTGGGGTTCCTTCCCCCTGCCAGCTGACGGCAGCTGGAGACCCCAGCCTGCGGCCAGACAGCCCCGTGGACAGTCCAGGGACAACCCCCTCGCCCCCGAGAGGCCTGCCTGTCGGGCTGGGGCAGGGCGGGCCGCCAGGGACCAGAAGCGCCCAGGACACAGGAAGCCGGCCAGGGCCAGGGGTGGAGGGCCTTCAGGGGTCTTTGGGCTAACCCCGGGACCCCAGGGGTGGCCTGGCAGAGGCCTGGCGCAGGGAGGGGGAGCCGGGGTGGCCGCGGGGGAACAGGGCCTGTCCAGGTGGCGGCGCAGCAAGTGTGGCAAGGCCTGTGGTGCTGAGTACACGTCTTGCGTACTCGGCACCAGCTAAATCCTCCATGTGTAAGTGTGACCACGCTCGCCCACGGCTCAGCCCCCCCAGAACCTGGCGCCGCGTGTCTCCGGGAAGGGAGACAAGGCACTCCCACAGAAGCGAACGGCAGGTACCGGCAGACAGAACTCCTCGAAGGCCGGCTTGACGAAGGTGGTGTACTGGGTCAGAATCTGCTCCAGGTCCCTCCCGCGGTTCACGTCTCGGAGAACTGCAGGGACAGGGGCCAGGTGGCCACCTTCAAACCTCAGGACGCGTGCCCCGCCTCGGCCAGGGCCCGGGCGGCCGAGCCCGCCTTACCTCTTCTCGACAGCCTGACGTCGGAGTCAGTGTCCACGAAGAGGCGCAGGTGGAACATGTCCCGGATCTCCTGGCTGTAGAAGACCAAGATGCCCTCGAACAGGACCACGTCTGCAGGGTAGACCACCGTGGTCTCTGGGAGCCTGCACGGCGAGAGCAGGACATGGGCCCCGCTGGGGACGGAGTCTCCTGGGCACTGACTCCCCAGAGAAATGTCATCATGGGAGAGGGGTGTCCACGGCAACCAGCAGGCCGGGCCGGTCTGTGTGAGGCCGGAGGGGCGGCCCCAGGGGCTCCCAGGAACCCCCTGCCTACCTCGAATGCGTCACAAAGTCATAGGTGGGGACCTCAACAGTTTTGCCCTCCACAATGTTTTTCAGAGTCCTGTGCATCAAATCGTTATCAAAAGCATCTGCAGTGAAGAGACAAAGGCAAGACAACCCAGATGTCTCGTGCTGGGACAGGAGGGAACTTCCTCTGCCTCCAGGTCAGCCAGCCACAGCTTGGGGCTGGTGGCACCAAGGACCCGAAGGGACATGCAGATTGAGGGCTGCCCCTCCAGGTGGCATTGGCAGAGCCTTCTGCAGTCCTGTCCTGGCTGACCTCAGGCAGTGCCACTGCCCAGGCTGCCCACCCAGAGGTCTGAACACAGGGGTTTCCTGATTGGCTAACGCTGAGAAGTGGGTGGGTGGGTTGGGCGTCTGCTTCTCTCTCTCTGGGAAATAACCACAGAATGACGCTGGGTCAGGCCACCTTCCCTTGGTTCCCCCAGAGAATAATGAGGGTGGGAGTCAGCCCGGCCACGGCGGGGAATGGCGGGGAATGGCGGGCGGGCGGGCGGCTCCGCCCCCATCTCCACCTGTTTCCCTGGCCCCGGCCTGCGCGCTCGCTAGTTCACCAGCCGCTTCCCACTGCCGGCCCCGGAACTTTGCCCCAGGGCAGGCGGGGAAATGAAGGGCCACAGTGGACAGTGCTGTGTGCAAAGGCGGTGGGAAGCTGAGCGGAGTTCTCCACGCTCGCGGGGCAGAGTGGCAGACCCCAAGGCCCCTCTGCGGGGCAGGCGTCCTGACTGGCTCCCACCAAGGGTTCGGCACAGCCCGCCTGGCTCCTCCTCGGGGTATCTGGGTAGTTTCGCAGGACCACTCGGGTCTCTGTGCGGCCCTGGGCCCAGTCCCCACCGCCTGCCCTCCTCCCCGCCGTGTCCACCCTCGGGGTCCCTGGATCTACCTGGGTGGTCGAAATTGTACTGCCCCTTCAAGGCCTTGGCCTTCTGCTCTGCTGTCAAGACCTTGTAGAACCGGTCCTGGCTCAGGATGACCAGCTTGCGCTGCCGGTGGTCCACTTCGTTTTGACCCAGCAACTCCATAATCTTCTCACACACAGTTGACTGGGACACAGAAACGGGGTCCCCGCCTGAAACCGCGCCTCCCGCCACGCTCGGGCCTTTCCGAGGTGCCTGTGCGCGGAGCTGGCTCCTGAAGACACCGGCCCACCAGCCCGCCGGGCCAACGGCGGGAGGGCCGGGCCTGGCCGGAGGGCCGCGGCGTACTGGCGGGGGCGGCCCGGGGCCGGGGCCCGAGGGCAAGCGTCCCAACCGCCGCCGGCGCCCTGACCCAGACCGAGCCCACCCTGGCTGCAGCCCCTCCGCCCCCGCCCCGCCCACGCCCGGGACATGGCACTTCGGCAGCCGAGGGCTGGGGTCTCCCGTCCGGACAGAGACCGGACTGCGCCGCGCGCAGCCCCGGAGGCCGAGGGGAAACGGCCGGCGCGGCCGGGCCGCCCAACCCCTTACCTTGCCGCTGGCGGTCCCGCCGCTCACCCCGATCAAGAAAGGCCGCTGGTGAGGCCGGTCCGCCTCGAGCGCTGCGCCCCCGCAGTCGCCGCCTCCAGCCGCCGCCATCTCCGGCCCCGCTCGCCCGCATCGGGTTCCTCGCTGCCGTTGCCTCCCGAAGCCAGCCGGCGCGACCCCCTCGCTGAGGTCGGAGACGCGCCCCCGGAGCTCCGCGGCGCGGCGGGCGCGCGCGGGGCGCGACGGGAGTTGTAGTCGGAGGCGAGCGGCAGCGCTGCGCATGCGTGAGTCGCGCCCGGCCGCGGCTGCCCGGCGGGGTCTGGGTGTTAGGGGCTCGGAGTGCGGCATGTCTGCTGCAAGGGACAGAAGCCGTGCAGCCTCGCAGCCGACTGCGGGAGTCTCGCGGCCTCCCCAGCGGAGAACTGTGCCCGGGAAGCCTCCCTCCAACCACACCTCCGGTGCCAGGGCCGTCGGGAAAGATCCCCGGGATTTCAGGGCTCGGGTGGTGATACGGGCCGGCACGTGGGACTCCTGAGACCCGTGGCCCGGGTCGGAACCTGGAACCGGCTTTGCCGCCTCGAGTGCGGTCACCCTAAGAGCGGGGCACCCACCTCCACACCTAGCGGGTTCCAGCCGCTCCTGCCTTCACCCCCCGGGCCAGACCGCACTCATCAGGTCACTGCCTTGGCCACGAAGGCTCACACACCTCTCTGGCCCATCCTCCACACCCCACCACGCCCGGCTCGTACCCGTCCCCCGCCCCCGCCTCCCCTGCTAGAACCTTCAGTTGCTCCCCACTGCCTTCTGCAGCGAGTTCCTCCTGCCCTTTTCGGCCTCCGGCACGTGGTGGGCAGATGTCATGGGAGAACTAATTTTTAGACCCATGAGCCGGGCAGAGACCAGATCTGTTGGGCCCACCCGCGCCCCCAGTGCCTGGCACGCAGAAGGCAAATACTGATGGATTCAAACTACATTTCCCCAAGGCATCCGGACTCTGCAGCTCTAGCGCCTAATGCATTGTGAGCATGCCATGCATATTTGATGATGCTGAAACATGATGCAGGAGAGCACAGAGTAACATGCAAACATCAGGCAAAGTCACTGTTTATGTAACTTCAGAGCTATTCACCTATCTCAGGGGCGGTTACAGGCAGCTCTGGTCGATCAGGGGGAAGGTATACAAGGGGACTTGGGCCTCCGGAGCCCTGGGGGTCTGGACAGAGGGAAACTGATGAAGGGACAGCTGGGCCAGCATGAGAAAGTCACCCTCTGACCGAGAGCAACTTACACAGGAGCTCAAAAATGGGAGGACCGTTCATGCCTCCATTTGCAGTGAGCCTGGCAAGGTTAGGAGCCAGGCACTGGGGCCAGCATTGGGTACAAACCTTGCCTCTGCTGAGTGACCTGGGCAGTGACGTGATCACTCTGTTTCTCCACCTCCCAAATAGGGGAATGGTGGAGTGGTAAGGCTTTAGTAAATTAACATTTGTTAAGTAGAGCACAGGGTGCCGGCCAGTGAGCGCTTGGCAGCAACAGACCGGGAGGGAAACTGAAATAGAGAAGTTTATTACTCACGGGTCCTGGAGGAAGCGCAGGGCTCGCCCTGAGGGGCCACACGAGAGGTCAAGGCCGAGTGCAGACAGAGGGAGGCTGCAGGGGGCACATGCCTCTGTCAGGGCCCAAGGGTGGAGTGTGTCGGGGCTCCTGGGCTAAGGCTGGATCAGCCAGTTCAACCCACAGACCTTATCTAGGGGGCACAGCTGGGGGTGCGCGGGAAGGGGGGGGCGCGGGGGACTGCTGGTCCCCGAGCTGCCTGGGAAGCCCTTCCAGGAGCTGGCGTTGGCTGTGACTGGGCCCTGCCATGGGCGTGCGCTGTGGGGAGGGGCTGGTGTCCTTGAAGGTCTGCAGGCTGCTGGGCCACACGGACGGACGTGGAGGTGGCAGTGCCGCGGCGTAGCTGAGCTCAACTTTGGAAGGAAAGTAACACGGGGTGGGGTTGGGTCCCATGCCAGCGGGCACACGGAGGGCTTGCACAGGGCGTGGCCCACGCGACGTGCCTGGTGAGTGTTTTCCTCGACACTGTGTTTATCTGTTTGTCACAGTTAATCATATTAACTATTATCTTTTGTGTCCTTGATGTGCTGGCCTTCAGGGGCCTTACAGAGCTGGGAGAGACGCGCCCCCCCCCCCCCGCCCCGGGGCCAGCCAGTCCCCACCTCCTCTAACTGACAGGGCACCGCGCCCCGCCTGGCCTCCCTTCCTCCCGGGCCCCACCCTTTGCCTGACCGCCTCTTCCCAGCATCCCTTCTCCAAAGACGCTGCGGCCGCTCCCTAGCTGGACCAGGCAGGCCTAGTCTGTGCCCTCAGTGGCCCAGGCACATCTCCTGGAAAGCTGCCAATGCAGCCCCAGCTAAGTGGTAGATGCTGCAAGCGCCCGCGTCCTGTTCCTCTGGCAAGCAAAGGCGTCACGAGGGCAGGGCCACGCTGGCTGGTTCGGCTGCGCCTCCCTGCCACACAAAGTGAGCGTTTGGTGTCGCTGAATGAGGCGCTGGTTGAGACTTGTTGCTCTCGGGGTTTGGGTTTCCCAGAACCAGGGGAGGCAGAATTTGTGCGAGTGACCAGTGACTACCCCCCTGGGATTCTGCTCCAATTGTCGCCGACCCCCCCCCCGCCCCCAAAGTTCGCTCAGGCACAGCAAATGCCAGCGGCCCTGCTCCGCCACCCCCTTCAGCAGCCCAGCCGCCTGCAGAAAGGCCAGCCCGCCCCGGCCACGTCATTTTTCCTTGAACACACGCTGGAACTCAGCCCTTAAAACAGTGAAACGTCTTTAGTTTCAGGTAGCATTTTCTGCCCTTTTTCCTATTCACAGAAGGAACCCGTGCCGGTTGCAGAAAAAGACACAAACACAAGTAAACCGACTCACCACAACCCCTCCCCCAGGGCGCGCCGGGTTTTGTGTTCTGGTGTTTGCTCTTCTGGTCTGAAAGGGCTGTGGCTGGAGAGCATGGCGTTCAGCAACTTTTGGTTAAGAATCTTAATCACAGTAGGGCCTCGCAGCAGCCTGTCAAAAGTTCAGACCGAGAAACCAACGAATTGCTGACTAGTAATTAGTAAAAGTTTATTTTGCACACACCAGGCAGACAGTTTGGAGCTGGGAGCTCTCCAACCAAAACATGGAGCAAGGCCCAGCGGTACATCGCTATTGGGCTGCTCACCTAGTGAGGGGCAGTGACTGCTTCCTGCTGGTTGGTTACACTAGAATTTTCCTAAATGATTGTAAGGTGGTTAGTGGTTAACCTCATGTCAATTTGGGGAAATGGATTTTGCTTATGATTTTCAGAGGCATAAGCAGGAAATGACCCAGGTCAAGTTAGTCTTGGAAAATACGCTCAGGTAAGCGCAGCATGACTGAGCTGGCTTTGTCTGCCCCGGGCATTTTCAAGGCTGGTGCCCGCTTGTCTTTGGCCCTAACCAACCCTGGGAGGTGGGTGCCACCGTTGTCCCACTTTCCCGGTGGGGAAACGGAGACGCAGAGTGAGTCCATGGCTGGCTCGCCTGGGGTTGGCGGCTGCAAGTGGACTTTCTGGTCCGGGGAGCTGAGTTTGCAGGCGCAGGGAGTCTGCGCACCGCCTTCACGCACATGCGCACTCCAGACACAGAGAAGTGCCCGGTCTCCCTGGTCTGAGACAAGAAAGGGAAATCCAACCCTTTTCAACGATACCCAGGCCCTTTAGTGGAGAAGGTCCCCATGGCCGGCCAGCGGTTGGAGCCGAGCTGCCCTTAAAGGGACCGGGACCAGATGCTGCCTTAGGGCGTGGGAGCCGCCACACAGCAGCGGGGCTCTGGAACTGGCCCTCTGCACTCGGCTGCAGCTGGAAAGGGGCTGCTCTTCAGCGAGACTGGAGCGAGCCACCACCAGTGGCTCTGGGTAGGAGGACAGCCACCCCTGAGGAAGCGGGACCTGCAGCCCGCACTGCGGGGTCCGCCCGCACGTGCAGAGCCCCAGGCAGAGAAAGTAACAAAGCTGGCGACTTCCCAGGACCCCCTAGAGACAAATGCCAAACTGTCCCATGTCCCAGGGCACACGTGTGGCACCTTTACAAGATAGTTCCTGCTTTAGATAAACTCGCCAAGATTCCAAAGGCCGTGGGGACAGCTGCCACCGCAGGGCGGATAGGCAACCGGTGCTGCGAATGGCCCAGGGTGCATCTGAGACGCTGGAAGCGAATCACCAACTCAGAAAGGATTTTACTTATTGGGCGGCCAAAAAGTCCATTAGGCTTTTTCCGGACAATGGCTCTTGTGGTGCTTGCCTTTAATGTCATTTGAAACGATTTTGTTAGATTGTGTTGTGACGGCTGTCATAGCAGCGTGCATTTAAAAAAAAACCATCAAAACTGGTGAATTTGGGGGCAGCCGTTTTAATATTGAAGATGGAAGAAAACACGCAACATTTTTGGCGTATTATGTTTTAGTATTTCAGGAAAGGTAAAAACACAACAGAAACGCAAAAAAAGATGTCCGTAGTGTGTGGAGAAGGTGCCATCCCTGAGCAAACGTGTCAAAAGCGGTCCGCCACGTTTCTTGGTACTTTTGACGTTTTGGCCAAGGGCGTCTTTGCTGTGGGGCTGTCTGACCCGCCGGAGGACGTGTAGCAGCCCCCGGGCCTCGGCCCACTGAAGCCACTAGCGGGACCCAGCCAACGCACCCAGCATACCCAGAGCAATAAAATTACTGGTGAAATTGAAAAATGTGCCGTTTATTTTACAGAGAACATGTAAGGGACTTTTTGGTCGGCCCAATACAAAGGGCCTATAAAAGTGAAGACATGATTCCTAAATGCAGCACATAACCCTGAACTGAACTCCGTACTGGCAAAAAATATGTCAGAAAAAAGCATTATCGGGTCATTTGTACCATCCTTGCAGCTGTTCCCTGAGTTTAAAATGATTTTCAAGTAAAAGATTAAAAAAAAAAAACCATTTGAAGAGAAAGTGCATGGATTGGAGTGCATGAGGATATTGTGGGTAGACATTGTGTGTGTGTGGGGGGGGGCGTGGAATGTGAATTTTTACGAGCAGAGTGGAAATTCCAATGACAAGCAGAGGCGCCGCGGTGGTTGGGAGGGCGCCCCTCGGGGCTCGCGTCTTATCCTCGGCCGGGGGTGGGGGGCCACGGGCGCGCACCCCTGTTCCTTCGTGACGCCGTGATGCGGGCCGGGACCGCGGGGCCAGCCCCCCAGACTTGCCGGGTTCCCTTCGAACTTCCTATTTTGCAGGAGGTTCTTCGTGCAGGTAATTGTTTCTGTTTAAACCGCGTTCGCCCACTGAGCTATCGTGCCCGCGGCAGTTGCTACCGCGCGGGTGGGACGGCGGTGTTCTGCGTCCCTCATCCCCGTCCTGCGCGGCCGCGGCCCCGGTCTCGCCGCCTCCCCCGGGCCAGGCGCCCTGAGAACCTGCGCCGCAGCCCCCTCCCCGCGGGGTGGGCGGCTCGTGGGCTCGGCCCCGCGCCAGGAGCACGGGGGCCACCTGTTGACACAGCCTCGCGCAGCCCAGGCGGTCAATTATTAACCGGTCGTGCCGCCCGCACCAGGAAACCCGAGCCGGCGGCGAAAGCGGAGCCGGGCCCGAGGGCGGCGAGAGGCGCCGGGCTCAGGAGCCGCGCCCCGCCCGCCCCGCCGCCGGCCGCGCCATGGACGCAGGTGAGGACGCGGGGACCCGGTGCACTTGCGGTCCCCCAGCCCGGACCCCGGGGCCCCCGCGGCGGGCCGGCGGGCGCAGGAGCGGGAGCCTCTTCGCGCCGGTCCCCGAGGCCACCCTGCCCTGGGACACCCCCTCAGGCCCGGGGACAGGGGACCAGGAGGCGGCCGTGGACGGCTGGGCAGCCTGGGCCGGGCTCCTCCAGCTTTGCGGGGGGCGGGGGGGCCCTTGGGGGAAGGGAAGTCAGGAAGGGGCGGCCTCTGGCTAGCCCTGGGCCCCTGCAGCCCCACCCTGTCCCCAGGGCGGGCAGCAGGGGCTCGAGTGGTGGACATTTGGGGACATTTTCCACTACCCTACCCCCGCTCCGGTCGGGCTGAGGTCGTCAGCGCGGGGGCAGGGGGGCCACCCTGGCCAGGGACGCATAGACAGGGCCAAGGGGAGGGGAGAGACCCCCCTCCGACTGAATCAGGGACCCCGGGAGGGGGCACGAGCCAGAGCGATGGCGGACAAGAGCGGGGCGGTGGGGCGGCTCGTTCAGGGAACCCCGACGGCCCGCGCCGGCGCCAGGCGCTGGAAGGGGCGGTGAACCGAGGCCCCCCGGTCCCCGTGCCGGCCTGGCGGTCCCCGGCTGCAGGGAGGTGGGGGGCGGGGCGGACGGAGCACAGCCCTGCTAGGCTCTCCAGAGACACCCCGGGGCCGGAGGGACACCTGGATGTCCTGGGCCACCGGCTCTCGTGCGCGCGCCGCGGCGGCGAGGAGAGCCCGCGACCCTTGAGCCCCTCCCCGCCTCCGACCACCCCCTCCCTCCTCCGGGACGGCCCGCGGAGGCCCGGTGTCCAGCTCCCGGCGTCCCGGCCGTGACCCGCAGCCCCGCCGGCACAGGTGTTTACTCTGCAGCCCTATCTCCGCGCCCTCGGGCCAGGTAGGTGCCCTGGCGGGGCCCGGGGAAGCTGCGGTTTTTTTTCCCGATAACCGGGGCAGGGGCCCGGCCTCCCGCGGGACTGACTCCGCAGCGGCCCGGCCATGGGGCTCAGGTTGCTGCCTGGGCCCCGCTGTCGCGTCTGGGAAACCGGGTTAGAAGGAGAGCAGCGCAGGGCGGGCGACCCCCGAAGGAAGCCGGCCACAGGTCGCGGTTACCATTTTTAACTGATTGCTGCTGCCCTGGCCTCCGGTTACAGGGCAGGAAAGGGAGGCGCCGGTTCGGTCGCATTCCTGCCTGTACGGTCACCCAGCCTGAGGAGACACGGGGGCACCGGGTTGAGAGCGAACTCACATGGGGTGTCTGTGGGCGGAGGACCTGGCACCTAATACGTATGAACTGACGGTGCTGGCTGTTGGTGGCATTGTCACTGCGTCACTGGGACCTCTCACCGCAGAGCTTTGTCCGCTGAGCAGCCCCAAGGGCACAGGAACCTGCTCAGGTTACCGGGTTTTTGTAGGGTTTGTGTACAGAATTGCGTTTCTGGCCTAGAACGCAGGTGCGTGGTAGGGGCTCCATCACAAAAACGCGTGGGGTTGTCGAGGTGCCTGGCCGGCTGGTGCCTCTGCATCACGACACCTTCATAGGGTGGCCTGGGCCTCCGGCAGCAGGGTTGGCGGGCGTTGGCTCCGAGCTTCACGGCTCAGTGGGCCGCTGGCCCTCAGGCCTCCGGCTTGGACAGTGAGCGTGCTCCTCACTTCCCTGGCGCTGCGCAGGGTGCGGCCGCCTTGATTATCGAACGACTCCAGCCCTTGGTGGGCGGGTGAGCTCGGGGGCTGCCCTGGAACCCTGGGCGGGGTCTGGCTGGTGCCCCCCCAGGGGATCAGCAACCCCTCAGCCCCCCACTGGGGTCCTCGGTGGGAGAGCCCAGCTCTCTGGGTCACAGCAGGCACAGACCTTTCAGACTTTAGTGTGGACCTTCCTTCCCAATAGCTTTCGTCCCCGACACCCCGTCCGCGTCCCCTCTCCCCGCCCCCAGACTGGCCAGGCCCCTGCGGCTTCTTGCCCTCCTACCCTCACAGAGCAGCCAGCCGAGCGCCTGCTCACCTCGCAGAACCAGGAGGAGGCGCAGCCGCTGGGGAGGCCGCCCTGGCGCCTGGCCCCTGAGCCCCACTTTTCACTGTCCGGGACCCTCATCCCCGCTCCAGCAGCCCTGCCTGGCCCTGGACACTGAGGGAGGGGGTGAGAGAGGGCCGCCCTGGCCTGTCACCCCGACGACTCTCGTCCTCTCCTGGACTCCGGGTGCTGTCAGGCCCGGCCGCTCAGCAGTGCCTGAGTCCAGCCACAGGTCCAGGTCCTGCCCGCCCCCCGCCCGCGTCTGGCTCAGCCCCTCGCCGCCTCTCCCCTTGTTCAGCTGCGGCCTCTTCCCCACTCTCCTGCCCTCATTCCGGGCAGCGGCTGCCAGCGAAAGCTTTGTACCAGTTACCAGCCTGCTTCTGCTGTGTAGCAAACCACCCGAAACTGAGCGGCTTACAACAGCATTTGTTATTGCTCATGATTTCTGCATCTGTTGAGATCATAAGATTTTTAGCCTTCACGTGGTTACTGTGGCGTGGCACATCAATTGATATGTGGGTGTTAAGCCATCCTTGCATCCATGCAATAAATCCCGCTGGATCACGGTGCATGATCCTTTCAATTTATTGTTGAATTCTGTTTGCTAGTATTTTATTGAAGATTTTTGCCTCTCTGTTCATAAGGGATCTTAGCCTGTATTTTTTTTTCCCCTTGTTTGGTTTTGGTCTCAGGTAATGCTGGCTTTGTAAAATGAGTCTGGAAGTGTTACCTCCTCTTCTATTTTTTGGGAGCGTTTGAGAAGGATTGATGTTAATTCTTTGAACGTTTGGTGGAATTTCCCGTGAAGCCGCCTGGTCCAGGACTGGTCAGAGGCTTTGGGTTACCGCTTCCATCTCCTTATTAGTAACTGGTCTGCGCAGGGTTTTGTTTCTTCTTGAGTCAGTCTTGGTAATTGTCGATTTCTAGGAATTTACTCATTTCTTCTAGGTTGTCAAATTTGTTGATTTATAATTTTTCATAGTAGTCTCCTATGATCCTTTGTATTTCTGTGGCATTAGTTGTAACATCTCTTCCATTTCTCATTTTGAATGTTCTCTTTTTTCTTGGTGAGTCTGGCTAAAGGTTTCTCAATTTTGTTTATCTTTTTAAAGAACCAGCTTTTCATTTCATTGATCTTTTCTATTGTATTTTTAGTCTACATTTCATTTATTTCCACCATGATCTTTATTTCCTTTCTTCTACTAACTTTGGGCTTCATTTGTTCTTCTTTACCTAATTCCTGGAGAGTGAGTTGAGTTTTTTGTTTCTTGATGTAGGCATTTATTGTTATGAACTTTTATCTTAAAACTGTTTTTGGGCCCTGGCTGGTGTGGCTCAGTGGGTCGAGCGCCAGACTGTGAACTGAAAGGTCTCTGGTTTGAATTCCTGTCAGGGCATGTGCCTGGGTTGCGGGCCAGTCCCCCAGTTGGGGACATGCAAGAGGCAGCCAACTGATGTTTCCCTCTTTTTCCGTCCCTTCCCCTCTCTCTAAAAAACACAATAAAAAAAGAAACAAAAAAACCAATCCTCTGCTTTTGCTGTATCCCATTAGTGTTGGTGTGTTGTGTTTCCATTTTCATTTGTCTCAACATACCCTTTGACTTCTCCTTTGATGCCTCTTTGGCCCGCTGGTGTCTCAGGAGCATGTTCTTTGATCTACAGCTGTTGTGATCTTCCCGATGGGTTTTGTTCTTGTAATTGATACCACTGTGGTTGGCAAAGATGCTTCATGTGATTTTAATCTTCCTACGTTTTAAGACTTGTGATCTCTCCTGGAGAACATTCCTGTGAACTCTAGAAGGACATGCATTCTGCAGTTTTGGAAGGAGTGTTCTGTGAGTGTCTGTTAAGTCCATCTGGTCTACTGTGTCGGCTAAGGCCAATGTTTCCTTATTGGTTTCCGTCTGGGTGAAGCAGCCCCTGATGTAAGCGTGGTATTAAAGTCCCCCATCTCACTGTAATGCTGTCTGTTTCTCCTTGTAGGTCTGCTAGCGTTCACTGCGTGTGTGTAGGTGTCCCTATGTTGGGTGCATAAATGTTTATAGTGTTGTTTTCTCGCGTTGGATGGCCACTTATCATTATGCAGCGCCCTTCTTTGCGTCTTATTAGTCTTTGCTTTGAAGTTTATTTTGTTTGCTATAACTATAGCTACCCCAGCTTTCTCTTGGTTTCCACTTGCACGGAATATGTTTTCCATCCCTCCACACTCAGCCTGTGTGTCCCGGCATCTAAGGCGCGTCTCCTGTAGGTGGCATATAGATTGGTCTTTTTTTTTCTTAAATCCATTTAGCCACTCAGCGTTTTGATTAGATAATTTAGTCCATTTACATTTAAGGTAACTATTGATAGGTGTGTACTTAATGGCCATTTTCTGGTTGTTTTGGTGATCCCGTTTTCAAAGGGCAGGCAGAGGCGCAGAGCCTGAACGCAAGGGCGAGGGTCAGGGGCCCTGTGGGGCCCAACTGCTGGGAGGGCGGGGTGCTCCCTGCTGCCGGGGATCCCTCCCCCCAGGGTCCCTGGCCTCTGAGGCCGCCAGTCAGCTCTGTTGGGGGGTGGGGCAGGGAGCCACGGCATTTCCGCAAGGCGCTGCCCCTGCCTGACCTGTCAACGCTGTGTCTGTTTCACTTCCCGGCCTTCCGTGACCAGAAGGACGCTTAGGAAGTGAACTTGCATGGCCAGTCCCTGGGCCCTGGGCTACCACGCCTGCTGTGGGGCCTCGAACACCAGCCCAGGTCCAGGTGTCTGCTCAGGCCTCCCCTCCAGCACCTGCCGAGACCTGGAGGTGCTCACCTGGTCAGGATGCTCTCAGGGGGTGCGGGCACCTTTAGGACGCGTGGAGATGCCTCTGGAGTTCACTGTGTGGAGGCTGGAGCCCAGGGCCCGGGTGAGGGCGGCAGGGCAGCCGGGGGCCTCGGGACCCCTGCTCCAGGTGCCTCTCCGCCCCCACTCAGGTTTGGTCCCCTCTCTGCCGTTAGTGGCCTCCTGGCTTTTTGCTGTCACTCAGTTAGCCAGGGCATGGCAACTCCTGAGCGCCCTCCCCAGCTCCCAAGCCCAGACTCCGATGGTCTCGGCTCACAGCCCCGCCCAGCCCCCCGGACTGGCTGTTGGGGTGGCCTCTGCGGCGGGGACTGCTGGGCCCCTGTTTCTTTTTCGGGCCCATCAGCTGTGGCAGCAGCACCTGGGGGCAGGGTGACCTTCCCAGCGGAGGCAGGGCCTGCGTGCCCACCCCCAGCACTGGCCGTGGGACCACGAGCAAAGCGCGGCACCTCCGCAAGTCGCGGCTTTCTTGCTTTGTCTCTGCCCTTTAGGTAGGGAGTCTTCGAGGGCCCACCTGGAGGGGCCCCAGCGTGGGTGCATGAAGGGCCAGTGTCCCCCTGTGACTTCCTCCACGGAAGGGCTGCTTTCGGGCCCGGGGGAGGAGTCCCACCTGCCCCAGTGTCCTCTTGGGGTCCGTGACACCTGCCATTTCTTCCCAGGAGCAGGCGCGAAAGGGGGTGCTGGCCCCGCGGCCCCCGAGGATCCCCAGGGCCTGGAGCTCCCAGAGCTCCCACGCCGCCCGCAGCTGCTGGACGAGGACCGAGCGCCCAGTGAGGAAGCGGCTGCGGACGGGGCCAGCGCCCCAGCCCCGGAGGACCCTTTGGGCGACACCCAGGCCCAGGCCCAGGCCCCAGCCCAGGCCGAGGCCGAGGCCTCAGCAGCAGCCCCTGCCCAGGCCCAGGCTGCGGGCGATGCCAGGCAGGAGCCGAAGGCGGCGGCCGGCGGCATCCCCAACATCGGCTTCGTGGGCGAGCCCCCGCCCTACGCGCCGCCGGACCCCAAGGGCGTGCACCTGCTGTACCCCCCCTTCCCACCGGGGCCCGTCCTCTTCCAGCCCGGGCCCTCGCCCCCCGCCATGTACCCGCCGCCCGCCTCGCCCCTCTACCCTGCACCCGCCCCGCCTCAGCTGTTCGCGCCCTTCCCCGTGGTGAGTGGGGAGCCTCTGGCCCGTGGTCGCCCCGCCCGCCCCTGCTCCGTTCCCACCCTTGCTCCCCTCCCCCCACGTGCGCGTGCCCCGCTTGCCCCCCCATGGCCGTGCACCCCTACTCCTTCAGCCCTCCTCTCGCCCTGTGGCCCCCGTCCCTGGGGGGAGAGTTGGGCTCACAGACAGTGAGTCTCCGTAAGCCACCCCTGCAGGGGGCTTCGGTGCCCAGAGCTGGACACGGAAAAGGGTAGCCCGCCTGGGGGGGCGCGAGCCCGGGAGGCTGCCCAGGGGCGCGGCGTTCCCGCCGGGCTCTGCGGGGTGGTCGGGAGAGCTCAGCCAGCAGCGCGAGGGGGCCCTCCGGCCGGGGCCGCAGCCCAGGCGAGGCGGGGAGGGCAGGGTGGGCGGGGGGCGGGGGGGGGATCTGTGGTGAGGGGCCCGGGGCCTCGGTGGGAGACGGTTTGATTAGGTTTTTAGACTAAAACAAGGCACCTGGGCTGCCCTTGGAGGAGAGCTTAGAGGCCCCCGGCGGGGGGCGGTGGGGTGTAGGGGAGCCCCATGGGGACATGGTCACACAGTGGTGATAGGGCCCCGAGCAGGGTGGTAGGGCCCCCGCGCAGGGCGACTGGCGGAGGGGGCTCCTGGGGGCGGAGCGGCCTGACCCGCCGGTCCGCCCCGCAGTACGGCAGCGCCGTGGCGGCCGTGCCGGCGCCCGCCGCCGTGGAGCACAGGCCGCTGCCCAAGGACCACATGATGGAGTCCGTGCTGGTGACGCTGTTCTGCTGCCTGCTCACCGGGCTTATCGCCATCGTCTACTCCCACGAGGTAGGGGGGGCGCCCGGGCCGGGCGCCGCCTGCGCAGCCCCTTTCCCTCCCCCGCAGCCGGGCCTCTGGGGTCTCCCTCCCGGGAAGGGGCAGAGATGGGGCGCCCTGGGTCCCCGGCCCCGCCCGCGTGGACACCTCCTTCCTCTCGCGTCGCTGCCCCTGCCGCTCGAGACCTGCACTAGAAAGCCCGGCCAGAGCGGCTCACACCGAAGGTGTGAACGGTCACAAGGCCTCAGCGACTGGCCCGCGCGGGGGCTGGTGTGCGACGGGGTCCAGGCTGCCACCCACCCATCCTCGCGCTTAGCCGACCGTCCTGCCTGTCCGCCCGCCCGCTGTCTCGATGGCTGCCTTCCTCCTCCCTTCCCACCGCCGCCCCGCTCAGAGCCAGGCTCTGGGCGCCCAGTGGCCTCCGCGTGAGGACGTTCTCTCAGAAGGCGTGGGTAGGCCTCTGGGGTGTCCTGGCCAACGCTGACCCGGCCACGGCCTGACTGCCCCCATGGGTCAAGCTCCCGAGTCATCAGCCAGCCAGGACGCGGAGAGGGCCTGCTCCGCTCGGGCAGCTCAGGGCGGGGCTCTGGAGGCCACCGCCCGCCCGCCCGTTCTGGCTCTGCCCCCACCCGTGTGGCCCTGGGTTGGCCACGGAGCCTTTCTGAGCCTTCGTTCCCTCATCTGCAAAGCAGGGGGCCACAGAGGCACCGCAGGCCGTCGGGCGTGGTGGGGGCTGTAGGAGCCGAGAGCGAGGGTCCTGATGGCCCGAGGCCGGCGCCCCGGAGCCGGCAGCCCTCGCCCGCATTGTTCCCAGGCAGCCCCCACACTTCTCGGGGAGCCAGCTTCCCCGTGGGGGCTCACCCTCACCCCATCTCGTTGCAGACCCGCGCGGCCCTGAGCCGGGGTGACCTGGCCCAGGCCGAGGAGGCCTCCCGCAAGGCCCGCTCCCTTGTGCTCTTCAGCCTGCTGTTCGGGGTCTTCGTGTCCACCAGCTGGGTCATCTACGTGCTGGTCGCACTCTACCTGCCCTGAGGGCTGGAGGCTCCTTCAGGGACCTGGAGACTCTTGTGGACTTGGATCCCTGCTGGTGGCTGGCTGTTGCCTACAGAGGGGACCCAGGGGCAGGAGAGGGTGGGATTTGGAGCGCTCAGCTCACCTGTGGCTGGCGCCAGCCCCTGCAGGTGGCCTCGGACAGTGTCCTCACCTGCAGTGGCCCCTGGGCCCAGGCCCAGCTGTGGGGTGGGGACCCCCTGGAACCCCGTCTCTGCAGTGCCTCCTCCCGAGGTCTCCCGGGGGCTGTGCTGGCTGGCCCCGCGGCCCTTGCCTGCACCTTACCTGCGGGGGACCCTTATGGGGCCTGGAGCTCTCAGTGTCTTCAGGGCTGTCAGGGGGACACCACAAACCCCAGCGTCCGCCGGCAGCCTCACTCAGGGATCGCAGGGCACCGCCGCCGGGGCTCCTTCCTCCCTGGCGGGCAGTGGGATTGGCCTCCCTCACTGGTGGCTGCTGGCAGCTGGTTCTGTGCCCCTGCCCTGCCCCAGTGTCCGGCTCTCTCCGGCTGGCCCCGCGTCCAGGAAGCAAGGCCACTGTGTGTGGGCAGTAAACAGGGACAGCCTGGGCAGAGCTGGCAGGCCACTCCCGGCCCCCTCCAAGGCAGCAGGTCCGTCCACAGCCGGCCCGGGCCGCACCTGCCCCTCGCAGGTGCCGTTCGCACCCAAGCGGCTCCGGCCGGCGTCCGTGCGGCCACCCCCCGGCAGGGGGCGCTGTAACCGCCGCCACTTTCTTGGCTTGCCCAGCCCCCGGCCGAAGAGCAGCCGTTGCCTTCAGAGTTTCCCGTTGCCCAAGGAGGTCGGGTTTTCCTCGCTTGTGAGATGGGGCCCTAGCGCGACCTGCCCCTGGGGCTGTGGGCGGAGGCAGCGAGGGGCACCGCAGGGTGCGCACGCGCCGGGCTCGCGCGGGCGCTCGGGTAGTGAGGGTGGGGGCTTCTATAGGGTCTCCCCCGGGGAGAGCGCAGAGCGAGGGTCTCGCTGCGAGCCTCAGCACAGCCGGGAGCCCCCAGAGGGCAGACGGGGACTCCGTTAATGGGCACTTTACTGGAGCGGGGTCCAGAGCTTCCCCCCGATTCTCAAAGGGGCCTGTGACCCAACCAGATTAAAAACCACATGCGCGGAGAGAGGAGGAGGGGTCCTGGCTGAGCCAGGGAAGCCCGGCGGCTCATGGTGGGCGGATCGGGGGCTGCCTGGGGGGCGAGACGCGGAGCAGGGCGCCGGCGCCCAGGGCGCAGGCTTGGGGCGTCCCGATTCGGGACACAGGGCGGTGCCAGAACGAGCACCGCAAACACCGAAATGAGTGGTGGCCACCAAAAAGGAGCAGTACGTAACTTTTTAGGGCTCCATAGAGGCCAGAAAGTATTTGGTACAACCCACAGCTACAGCTATTCTTACTACATTTTTAAGTAAAATCAGAAGAGAAGGAAAGCATCTACACTGGCGTTCCTTAACGTTAAAGCACGTAGGAAACACCTGGAAAATCTTTTTTTAAAAAATTGATTTTAGAGGGAGGGGGAAGTAGAGAGAGAAAGAAAAGAGAAAAACATCACTTTGTTGTTCTACTTACTGACACATTCACTGGCTGATTCCTGTCTGTGTCCTTCCTGGAGACCAAACCCGCAACCTTGGTGCGTGGGGACAACGCTCTAACCCCCTGACACCTGGCCCGGGCTGCACCTGGGGGATCTCATGAAGACGCAGATTCTGACCCAGTAGTTAGGGCCGGAGAGTCTGCATTTCTAATGAGCTTCCAGGGATGCCGAAGCTCATATAGGAGCCAACAGCAAATGGCACGTTATGTGGGAAATTATTAAAACCGTTAAAAACCATTATAACCAGGATCCATCAACGGATGCCCCGAGTGTCTCTATTCAACATCGTTCTAAGGTTCAGACATCTCATGTACAGACAGCTAAGTGAAATATGTAGTGTGAGAATCTGAAGAGACAAAATGATTTTCTATAGTATCAAAGGATCAACAAATAAGTTAGCACAAGAGAACTCAGTAAAATAGTTGGATACAAACTAAATATATAACAGTGAATAGCAACAATCAGTTAAAATAGAAAAAAATTCAAAAGCTCTACTCACAGTAGTAATAAAAACAGTAAAATCAAGGAATAAATTTGACAAGAATTTTCTGGACCCAAGTGAAGAAAATGACATTTAATTTTATGCATTTTCTATTTTAAAAAGCTGAACAAAAATATCTGGATAGCAAGATGTAATATAAAAATACCTAGCCTTCTTAGAGATTTCATGAAACACCCCCCAAAACCAAGTTTTCAAACCTGTGACAAAAATGTTTTCAAAAATTAGTGTAGAAGGAAAATGGGTAAAGACATACTTTAAAAAAAAAAAAAGTTGAATGAGGGGGGACTTTCTTCACCAGATAGTAACACATCATTAAGCTACAATAACTAAGGCAGCATGGCTTGGCCACAGAGAGAGATCAGAATAAAACAACAGGCCGCCCTGGCTGGTGTGGCTCAGGGGCCTGTGAGCCACCGAGCGCCGGCCGGTGGACAGAAGCGTCGCCAGCTCGTTTCCCCGTCAGGGCACAGGCCTGTGCTACAGACCAGGTCCCCAGTAGGGGGCGTGCGAGAGGCAGCCAACTGAGGTTTGTCCTGCACATCTGTGTTTCCCACCTTCTCTTCCTCCCTCCCTTCCCCTCTCTCTGAAAATAAAATAAATAAAATCTTGAAACAAAATATGACAGGTCATCCAGAAATCATCCCTACTATGTGTGGGAAGTTAAGACCTGATCAAAATGGCATCTTAACCGAGTCCAGGGGGCTCATCAGCAGAGTTGGCCATCTGGTTGGAAAAAATGATTCCCCTGTTGTATGTAAAAAATTCCAGATGGACTCAAGAGCTAAGCGTAGAATAAAGTTCTGCGACTAGAAGGCTTAGGGGAATACCTGTAAAATAGCTTCAGGGTGTGGGGGAGGCTCTGCAATCTGGAAAACTGAAGTGGGAAAGACAGATTTGAGTTCTACCCACTTAGAGAGAGGACTACGGCCTGGAACTGTGCATTGACTTTCACTCATCAGGCCAGGAAAGCATTAGAAAGGTTGACCATGTCCACGGAACACAGACACTTGCGCTGCGTGTGGGTGCGTAGCCACAGTCTCCGTGGAAAGTGGACGGACGGCCTTGACCCACAATCCGTGCGCTGGACACTTAGATGCATGGACCTCAAAGGACAGAGTCTAGGGGGTGTGTTCCCAACTGCGGAGAGCGGCAGGCTGCCCGGGGGCCAGGCGGGGCCGTGCCCGGCTCGATAGAAAAATGCAGCTGTGTTCACACGTTGTGTCATTAAAAACAAATGGAGAAGTGCCCGCACCACTGAGCCGGCCCTCCCAGCTGCAAGGCCCACAGCCGGGAAGAAGGCGGCCCGGCTTCCTGAGGCCCCTGGCCCGGGGGGCCCCAGGCAGACGGTCACCAGGCAGCGCGGCCGGCGACGGTGCCAATGAGCAGGCGGAAAGGCGGTGAGAGAAACCCCACTGCACTGCGTCCGCCCTGGTTCCCGCGGTGCTAACGCTCGTCGGTGCACACGCTCGTGGGTGCAAGGGCGTTCGGCCCGAGACGGAGGAAGCTGCGAGCTTATCGTCGCCTGACCCAGGGCCAGGCTGCGGCGCTGCGTCCTGCCGCCCGCGCGGGAGGGTGCCCCCGTGGCTCCGCGGTCTCTCCAGCTCCTGGTGCCGCCAGTCTCCTGGGTTTCAGCGCCGCCTCTGGCCACCAAGCTGCCGGGGCGTTTCATTCTGCGCGGCTTGGATTTGCCTTCTCTGATGCCTAATGGTGTAGGGCCTTTTACCGTGCGCTCGCCAGCGGACCGGGCTCGCGTCGCGTGTGTGCCTCTTTGGGCCTGTGCCTGCCGTCGCGCTACCTCGCCTGTTCCTACCTGTGCAGAGCAGCTCTTCGTGCGCCCTGGGCGAGGCCTGCGTTAGGCGCAGGTGCTGCGAGGCCCACGCTCCACTTCCAGCTCCGCTTTCACTCCCAGTGGTGTCGCCTGACCAAGTTCCCAGCGTTAATCCACAGAGTGGGGCAAAGGTAGGCGAACGGGGGTGGTGCAAATAAATAATAATAAAAACAAGAATAAACTGTTTCATGGACTTACAACTGTAAACGTACTGTTAAAAAAGATTTTATTTTCAGAGAGAAGGGACAGGAGGGAGCGAGAGGGAGGGAAACATCAGCCGGTTGCCTGTCACACGTGTGCCACCTGGGGACCATGCCCGCTACCCAGGCATGTGCCCCGACCGGGAATCAAACTGGCGATCTTTTGCTTTGTGAGGCGAACCCCAACCAACTGGGCCCCGCTGGTCAGGGCTATAAGCCTACTTTTTGTCCCACCCTGTACTCAAGTTGATCTTTTCCTTTGTGGATAATGCTGCTTGTGGCTTAGGAAAAATTTCCCTGCTCCTAGGGCATGGAGATACATTCCTATCCTGTCTTTTAGACCTGGAAGCTCTATCGGCTTATTTCCACACCTAGATCTGCCAGCCTCCTGGAACAGATTCCGGGGCCTGTCCCTTCGGGCACCACGCTTGCCCTCCTGCTGCGGCTGGGTGGGTAAGTCAGGGCCTGCCACTGTCCTCGACAGTCTTGGCCATTTAAAATCGTGTGCATTTATAATGAATTTTAGAATTGTTGATTTTCACCAAAATAAAGGTTGGGATGTCAACTGCGATTGCCGTGCATCGGTGGATTAGCGTGGGCACACTGGCATCTTTATGGGGTGCTGTTCACCGACAGACGCGGTGGACTTCCCTACTTGTTTAGGGATTTAAAAACTTCTGTAGATTTTCTAGTTTTTGTGAAGGAATATTACCCACATTACTATCCCTGGGTATTTGATTTTTATGCTATTATAAGTATGGTCATTTTTATATTTTGTTAGTTGCTAGTAGGCAGTTGATTCTTGATTACTGACTTTATCAAGTAATCTTTGTAAATTCGCTTAACTCTGATAATTTATCTGTAGCGTCTCTTACATATTCTATGTACACAATGTTATCTCGGTAATGAGTTTTTGTCTTCGTTTCCATTCCTGCCCCTCTGTGTTCTCCTTGCTCCCGCGCTGGTGAGCGCCCGGCACGCACCGGTTGACGTGCTACCGTGGGCAACGGTGTCTTTTTCTAAGTCACAAAAGGGAGGCTTTCAATGTCCTGCCTTTTAAAACAGAGATATCCCTTTTCAGATTAAGGAATTTCCTTTCCATTCCTAGTTTGCTAAATTAAAAAAAAAAAAAAATCTGCATGGATATTGAACTTTATTACTTTTATGCACCTACTGAGAAAATTATTCTGCTACTGTGATTTAACCCTGACTTTCAAATGTTAAAGTAACTTTTCATTCCTGGAATAAACCCGTCTCGATCATAACGTATCATCTTTATATATGACTAGATTCCGCTGACTATTTAGCTTAGGGTTTTTGGAACTGTGTTTATGAGTGAAATTGATCTGTAATTTTCATTTTTGTTCGTTTCAGTATCAGGTATGGTGGCCTCATCACAGAAATGGGAAATGCTGCTTTTATTTTTTTGGAACTGGTGTGTAAGGTTAGAACGATCTCTGACAGGCTCCTCAGAGGTGTGAGC